CGAGGGTATCTTTCTCATGCCAATCACCATGGGCATGGTCAGCGACTCAGAGCCATCGCCGCACTTTCGCTGTACGCGCTTGCGGGTGTCGCCTTGTTGGATAATCAGAGCAGCACGGCACCTCGTCGTGCCTCATCGTTGCAGTTCAGTACTCTTTATATGCTCAGGAACTCCCGTACGTGTTTGCAGCCTCCAGTATTGGCTGCTGCATGCTCGTCGTGGTTCCCAATGGCCGACGCGATCTCATGCCTGCAGCCACTGTGCGACTGCTTGGATGGCACCGGCCTGCTCGATGCCGCAGGAAGGGAGGTCGCCTCTTTCCTTCGGCTCAAATCAAATTGGGGTGATCTTGACAAGGCCAGGGAGAGCCTGGGGGCTGTTGAGAGGATGGTTCGAGGGCGGGTAACCGCGGAGTTAAACAAGCTGAACGTCTGTGATCCTCAGGTGGAGCTGTGGCTGAGGCGTGTCGATGAGCTGAAGCTGGGTGCCATTGATGAGGACTATAGCAGTTTGATGAATTACTCTAGCATTTGCCAGTGCACCAGGCATGCTGCTCGGCGTTCATGGATTGGCAAGCGTATCGTCGAGGCGCTGGATGAGGTGAATAAACTGATCGAGGAAGGGAGGCGGTTTAAGAAGTTTGGATTCAAGCCCTCACCGGAGATTGTCGAGCGCTTGCCTCAAACCAAGACATTTGGATTGGAGACCATGCTGGTTCAGCTGCATGATCTGCTTGAGAAGGCTGACTCGAACATAATTGGTATTTGGGGTCAAGGGGGTATTGGTAAGACGACACTACTACATGCCTTCAACAATGATCTTGAGAAGAAGGTCCATAACTACCAGGTAATGTGCTGTTTTCTCAAAAACTGCATTTTATTATGTATACGTTTATTTCTGGTTCTCTTTTGGGATGAATATAGATGATTGCTTCAATCATGATTTACATGTGGCACCATATTCAGAACTGTTGCATGGGAATATGGGACTGCTAGGGGGGTATGTATGATAATTTTCGTTTCAGTTATGCCAGGGGAATGTCATTGTTCTTGCACAAGAACACAATAGCGTGTCCCTTGCATGTATAGGATGGCTAAAATATTTTTCGCAAGTGCTAGTTCAAACTGAAAATTTTATAATCTCATAGGTAACATGATCAGGTACACACTAACCTTACATCTTAGAGATTTTTAAACACATCAGAGTTAATAAAGAGGAAGTAGCTAAATTTTGCATAATTGCACACTGAACATAGAAGAGTTAATCTAAAGAAGTATGGATTTAGCAAGCAAGTCAGGCCTTACTATCATACACCTGACAATAGTGTGTGGGAGACTGCCCGGAGTTGCTATTTTGATGAAATAGAGATACATATCTTATAATGTATCCAAATAGTTGGAAAGAAAGGTAGTAATGCATCCAAATGGTTGTCTCTTATCTAATTTTGTCCTGCAGCTGGGAAGGGTCAAACATTTTTTTAGATAATGTGCAACGCCCGGCCTCTGCATTCTAAGGTGAATGCACATTGCCATGTTGGCTCTCACAAATTTTAATTGGATGTACAAAACCCACCAAATATGCCAATACAATTGTATCTTTCTTTACTAAATTTTGTGAAGGGAAATCCATGGTGCAGGGCAGCACTTCCCTATGTAAGAAGATGCTATGTTGAACTCATACTATTAAGAGGTTTTCTCCAATCCTTTTCTAGTCGTTGTGGGGTATAGAGAGGTATACCTCTAGTGTTAGTCCAGATGTATATAACTCTTAGTTAGAACCAATATCTATACCTCTAAAAGAATGTAAGAACAAGTAACAAATATCTATAAAGATAAGTTTCCAATCCTCTTTCAACATGCAAGTTTAATTTTGGTACCTCCTTTTATGGAGAGGTATATCTCAAATATGGGGAGGTATATACCTCTCCAAGGATGGGAGAAAAATATCTATTATTAAAGTGGATACCGAGTTGCATTTTGCATAATTGCACACTGAGCATCGTACATACTTCTGTTCTACTTCTCTTCCATGTTGCATTTCAATAATATTTCTGAATTGCTTTTACCTTTGGAGTGAAAATCATGTTGCTTTTTTTTTTATTAAATTGGTTGTGCCAGGTTGTCATATTTATTGAAGTATCCAATTCAGAGACACTTGACACATTGGAGATGCAGAAGACCATCTCCGAACGTCTTAATTTACCATGGAATGAAGCAGAGATAACTGTGAAACGGGCCAGATTCCTTGTTAAGGCCTTGTCCAGGAAAAGATTTGTACTGCTTCTTGATGATGTAAGGAAGAAATTCCGGCTAGAAGATGTTGGCATCCCAACTCCAGACACCAACAGCCAGAGCAAGCTGATCCTAACTTCACGTTTCCAAGAAGTATGCTACCAGATGGGCGCATAGAGGAACTTGATTAAGATGGATCTTCTGGATAATGATGCTGCATGGAAACTGTTCTTGAGCAAGCTAAGCACCGAGGCTTGTGCAGCAGTTGAATCACCTAGTCCCAGCAATGTTGTTAGGGATCATGCCATAGCAATAGCTCAAAGTTGTGGAGGTCTACCACTTGCGCTCAATGTCATTGGGACTGCTGTGGCAGGCTATGAAGAACCAAGAGATTGGAATTCAGCTGCTGATGCAATCAAAGAGAATATGAAGTTTGAAGGTGTTGATGAAATGTTTGCTACGCTGAAATACAGCTTCGACAGGCTCACACCTACTCAGCAACAGTGCTTTCTGTATTGCACTCTTTTTCCAGAGTATGGATCAATTAGTAAAGAGCATCTTGTTGATTATTGGTTGGCTGAAGGTTTGCTACTTGATGATCGCGAGAAGGGTAATCAGATAATCCGAAGTCTTATTTCAGCATGCTTGTTGCAGACCACTAGTTCAATGTCATCAAAGGTGAAAATGCACCACATAATCAGACATTTGGGGCTTTGGTTGGTTAACAGGGAAGATAGAAGTTTTGTTGTTAAAGCAGGGATGGCCTTAGATAATGCTCCACCAGCAATAGAATGGAAAGAAGCTACAAGGATCTCCATCATGTCTAATAACATCACAGAGCTTTCTTTCTCACCAAAATGCGAAAACCTCACCACACTGTTAATCCAGAATAACCCAAAGTTGAACAAGCTAGGCTGGGGTTTTTTCAAATATATGCGATCCTTGAAAGTGCTAGATCTATCACACACTGCAATTACTTCCATTCCAGAATGTGATAAATTGGTTGCATTGCAGCATCTCGACCTGTCATACACACATATTATGAGATTACCTGAGCGCCTATGGTTATTGAAAGAGTTGAGGCATCTGGACCTCAGTGTGACTGTTGCACTTGAAGATACTTTGAATAACTGCTCAAAGTTACACAAGTTGAGAGTGCTGAATCTCTTCCGCAGCCATTACGGGATTCGTGATGTTGATGACCTGAATCTGGATTCACTGAGGGATCTATTGTTTCTTGGTATCACTATTTATTCACAAGATGTGCTTAAGAAATTGAACGAGACCCATCCTTTGGCAAAATCAACGCATCGCTTGAACCTGAAGTATTGTGGAGATATGCAATCAATCAAAATTTCTGACTTTAACCATATGAAGCACCTTGAGGAGCTGCATGTCGAATCATGCTATGACCTGAATACACTGGTTGCCGATACTGAGTTGACGACTTCTTGCCTACAAGCACTGACCCTCTCCGTCCTTCCCTCATTAGAAAATGTCCTTGTTGCACCAATGCCCCATAATTTTCGGTACGTTCGCAAATTGTCCATTTCACAATGCCCCAAGTTGTTGAACATCACATGGGTCCGAAGACTTGAACTGCTTGAGAGGCTTGTCATATCCAATTGTGATGAGATGCTGACTATTGTTGAAGAAGCTAACAGTACTGAAGAGCAGCAATATGGAACACAAACAATAAAAATGCAGGGTTATTATTCTGAAGAACAAGACGATCATGCAATGGCTGAGAGTTCACGCAATGAGTGGAATGATGATTACCAAAGCGTCAATGGAGAATCAACCAATGGCGCAACGAGGCAACCTGACTTCCCAAAGTTGAGATCAATTGTGCTGACTGATGTGAAGAAGCTGAGAAGCATTTGCACGCCAAGAGATTTTCCCTGCCTTGAGACTCTTCGAGTGGAAGACTGCCCAAATTTGAGACGCATCCCACTGTGCAGCACTCACAACTGTGGTAAACTGAAGCAAATTTGTGGTTCATCTGATTGGTGGAAGAAACTGCTGTGGGAGGACAAGGAGGCGGTGGCACATATGGAGAGCAAGTACTTCATTCCAATCTGACAGGATCCCGTTTTCAGTGGTCAATTATGTACACTATCGACATTTACCATCATTTTTTCAGGACCAACGTTACATTCATTTTTCATGGTATACATGTATATACAATTTTTTCATTTAAGCATTATGTGATTAATCTCTTTTCAAGAATAATTCCAGTGATCAATTTAGCTCCATTTCACTAGTGCAATCTGTCTAGTGGGACTGCTAGCGGTCGCACATACTTTAGGTAGTGGTAAAACTGCAGAGAGAGACAAGATTGCTTTGAGATTAGTGTTAGACTAGGGCCGTGTTTAGTTGTTTTGGCAAAAAAGTTTTGACGAACACATAAATGTATTTCAAATGTAGACTAATAACAAAACAAATTACAGATTCCGCTTATAAACTGCGAGACGAATCTATTAAACCTAATTAATCCATCATTAGCAAATGTTTATCGTAGCATCACATTGTCAAATAATGGTGTAATTATGCTCAAAAGATTCATCTCGCAATTTATATGCAAATTGTGCAATGGTTTTTTTCATCCATATTTAATGCTCCATGTATGTGTCTAAGGCCCTCTTTGTTTAGGCTAGGCTTATTGGTTTAGACTTTTAAGTCAGCTTATTAGCTTATATGATTTATAAGCCGGTGGATTTACTGTCCTAAGTTTAATGGTAGAGTCATACATCTACCTCACATAAGCTAAAAAAGCTTCTCCAACCTAGTTTTTGGTTTAATAGTGTTAGAGTGGCTTATGGTTTAAAAAAACCAAACGAAAAAGCCGCTTGTTTGTTTAGTCTTAAACTTTTCGGCTTATAAGTTGGCTTATAAGCCTAAACAAAGAGGGACTAAACATTTGATGTAACGGAAAAATTGAAAGTTTGAACGAATCTAAACACAGCCTAGGTCAGAGCGTCGGAGACGTCGTTGACAGTTGTAGAAGAGGGGCAATATTGCTTTGAGATTGTGGGAGAGAGCTGCGGTCTCAACCCCCCAAGTCCCCAACGCACACTGCGCACATGCGGCGGCGGCCGCGGCCGTGCACACATGCGCTCCGCCGCCCGCGTCCGCCTCGCGCCCAAACCGAGAGCCAACCAGCCTCCTCCTCCTCCTCCTCCTCCGTTTCGGCTCGCCCCCGCCGCCGTCGCGGCGCTCGGATCCCACCCCGACGCCTCCTCCTACGCCAGCCTCCTCTCCTCCCTCTCCAGAGAGTGCCACGCCCGCCACCCGTTCGACGCAAGTCCCCCGAGAGCCCGCCACTCGCAGACATGCAGGGCCTTGCACGGCCGGATACTGCGCGGCGGATCACCCCTCCTGGGACGCCTCGGCGACTCGCTCGTCGAACTGTACTGCAAGTCCGGCCGTGTGGGCTATGCCTGGAGCGCCCTGGGATACGCCGGGGAGCGGGCTTCAGGCGCGGCGAGCTCCCTGCTGTCCTGCCATGCGCGGTCGGGGTCCCCTGGGGATGTTCTCGGCGCGTTCCGGTATATCAGGTGCACTGCCGGTGGCCGGCCGGACCAGTTTGGTCTTGCGGTCGTTCTGTCGGCGTGTTCCAGGGTGGGTGTTCTTGCTTACGGCAGGCAGGTGCATTGCGATGTGGTCAAGAGCGGGTTCAGTTCCAGTGTCTTCTGCGAAGCGGCGTTGGTGGACATGTATGCCAAATGCGGTGATGTGCCCAATGCTCGCAGGGTGTTTGATGGGATTGCTTGCCCAGACACAATATGCTGGTCAAGCATGATTGCTTGCTATCATCGAGTTGGATGCTACCAGGAAGCGTTGGCTTTGTTTTCTAGGATGGATAAGATGGGCTCTGCTCCGGATCAAGTGACACTTGTTACCATCATTTCCACACTTGCAAGCTCGGGCAGGCTGGACCATGCAACAGCTTTGCTGAAGAAGATGCCTACACCAAGCACAGTTGCTTGGAATGCTGTCATCTCTGGTCACGCACAAAGTGGACTCGAGTTTAATGTGCTTGGCTTGTACAAGGATATGAGGAGCTGGGGGTTATGGCCCACTAGATCAACTTTTGCAAGCATGCTAAGTGCAGCGGCTAACATGAAAGCTTTTGTTGAAGGCCAGCAGATGCATGCTGCAGCAGTAATGCATGGCTTGGATGCAAATGTATTTGTGGGAAGTTCTCTGATCAACCTGTATGCTAAATGTGGCTGCCCCAGTGACGCGAAGAATGTTTTCGACTTGTCCTGTGAAAAGAACATTGTCATGTGGAACGCTATGCTCACAGGTTTTGTTCAGAATGAATTGCCAGAGGAAGCTATTAGAATGTTTCAGTATATGATGAGGTATACCCTTCAAACCGATGAATTTACGTTTGTCAGTATTCTTGGTGCATGCACCTACTTGAGTTCCTTTTATCTGGGAAAACAAGTACATTGTGTAACAATCAAGAACTGCATGGATATAAGCTTGTTTGTTGCTAATGCAACACTAGATATGTACTCAAAATATGGAGCAATTGGTGATGCAAAGGCACTATTCAGTCTAATCCCTTACAAGGATAGTATATCCTGGAATGCCCTTACAGTAGGACTTGCACAGAACCTAGAGGAGGAAGAAGCAGTGTGTATGCTCAAAAGGATGAGGCTGCATGGTATAACACCCGATGATGTATCTTTTTCTACTGCAATTAATGCTTGTTCCAATATCCGAGCCACTGAAACTGGAAAGCAGATCCATTGCCTGGCCATCAAATATGGTATCTGCTCAAATCATGCTGTTGGTAGCTCTCTGATTGACTTGTATTCAAAGCATGGAGATGTAGAGTCTTCTAGGAAGATTTTTGCACAAGTAGATGCGAGTAGTATAGTGCCAATAAATGCTTTAATTGCAGGTTTTGTGCAGAACAATAATGAAGATGAAGCAATACAACTGTTTCAGCAAGTTCTAAAAGATGGTTTAAAGCCCTCCAGTGTTACATTTTCAAGCATTCTTTCTGGCTGTAGTGGATCTCTTAATTCAGCTATTGGCAAGCAAGTTCATTGTTACACACTGAAGTCTGGTGTTCTATATGATGATACTCTCCTTGGTGTTTCATTGGCTGGAATATATTTGAAGTCCAAAATGCTTGAGGATGCAAATAAACTCTTAACAGAAATGCCAGATCACAAAAACCTGTTTGAGTGGACAGCTATCATTTCAGGGTATGCTCAAAATGGTTATGGTGATCACTCTTTGGTGTCATTTTGGAGAATGCGTCATTGTAATGTTCGCTCGGATGAGGCAACATTTGCAAGTGTTCTTAAAGCTTGTTCGGATGTAACGGCTTTTGCAGATGGGAAAGAGATACATGGCCTCATCACTAAATCTGGGTTTGGTTCTTATGAAACTGCAACTAGTGCCCTCATAGACATGTATTCCAAGTGTGGGGATGTCATTTCTTCCTTTGAAGCCTTCAAAGAATTGAAAAACAAACAAGATATAATGCCATGGAACTCTATGATTGTTGGATTTGCAAAAAATGGTTATGCTGATGAGGCACTTCTGCTTTTCCAGAAGATGGAGGAGTTGCAGATAAAGCCTGACGAAGTTACATTCCTAGGTGTCCTAATTGCTTGTACTCATTCTGGGCTAATTTCTGAAGGTCGGCATTTCTTTGGTTCCATGAGAAAAGTTTATGGATTAACACCTAGACTAGATCATTATGCCTGTTTTATTGATCTCCTTGGACGTGGTGGTCATCTTCAAGAGGCCCAAGAAGCTATTGACCAGTTGCCTTTCAGACCTGATGGTGTGGTCTGGGCTACGTATCTTGCAGCATGCAGAATGCACAAGGATGAAGAAAGGGGGAAAATTGCAGCAAGGAAACTTGTTGAGTTGGAACCACAATACTCATCTACATATGTGTTGCTTTCAAGCTTACATGCTGCTACTGGTAACTGGGCTGAAGCTAAGGTAACCAGAGAATCAATGCGAGAAAAAGGAGTGGCAAAATTTCCAGGATGTAGTTGGATTACCGTGGGAAACAAGACAAGCTTGTTTCTTGTACAGGATAAATACCACCCTGACAATCTTAGAATCTATGAAATGCTTGGTGATCTAACTGGAATGATGAAGAAAGATAACGATATTGATGAGTATGGTCTACTTTATTCAGCTGAAATGCTTGCTTGAGTGTGCTGGTGCTGCTTAAGAGCAAAGGGCCTTAATTCATCTTCTGGATCATCGAGGACCTTCAATAAATGCATGTTTAGTTGAGAGATTTGGAATGTTATGCATATTATTTATTCAAAAGTACATATACTCGTACCAATAATTGCTTTACTTGCTGCAATTGCAGCACCAGACTTTGAAAAGGATCAGCACCGCTAGGTGATATTGGATTGGCAAATATCAGAAGTGGACATGACAATGGGCCTGCTATTTTTCATCTGTAAGCAGTATTTCAATACCTAGGTTGTTAGAACATTGTATTGCTTTTGCCCCAACTTTTTTCCCTGCTCTCGTTCAAAAACCCTACTTTGGTCATCTTACTTCACCTTTGCCTATGTTTCTTGTTCCAGAAATGATCCTCAGAGGATTATTTGGACGGAGGACAACTGGCCATATTTGGAAAAGAACCTACTCAAGTTAATTGTTATGTCAGAAACAGTCCAAACAGCAAAGTAAGATTCTATTTAGTTTTCACATAAAATTATTCTCTCAACGAATATATGTGAAAGGCCACATTTTGTCACTATCAGCTAAGTCACTGTAATTCCAAAAATATGCAAGATGTTGTCTGCTATTTGGCAAAATCCTATCACAAATCACTTTCTCCTCAGTGATTTCTGTTCCTGACTTCATAGTCCAAAATTTAAAGAATTCTTTATTGAATTGCTGGCAAATAAAGTTCTCATTACTTTGTTAATCAAAGGAAGAATTATAAAGTTAAATACTAAGTTATCAAAGAAGAAATAATTGTAGTTAAGCTCCAAGTTATTACTCCCAGATAGTAATTTAGTGATGGTTCAAGAACAAATGAACAATAGAAATTATGCTGAATACAATTTTCCAATATAAACTGAATTGGCACAAATTATTACTTTTTCTGAAATTAAACTTGATCTTCCAAGTAGGGAAAACCACCAAGCAACATAGCCTCATAGAATACCACATACTTGTTGACAAGGTTTTTTTTTTTTCTGAAAAGAATATGATGTGAGAACTAACAATCAGCATGCAAATATTTCAAGCCTGATTTGACAAAGCAGTCAACCTTTCGTTAATATTTCCTATCCTATTATACAAAAACAAAATTGTCTCAAACGTGACTACCTTTTGTATAGGGCACTAACACTGGCCATGTGAATACTATTCTTCAACTGTTGTGAAAAAGAACTTGAATAATTGGCAAGTATCTATCTACATAAACTGTTATAGATGTTCACAAATGAAACAGCATGTTGGTCCAGCACGTTGCTTAGTTCGTGGCTACTGTCTTCCCTTCACAAACATCACATACAATTGAACCAAGGCCTTCACAGTATGGACACTTCGTATCTTCACCGACCCACTCCAAAAACTGCATTTTGAGGGGTAAACAGAAAGGTGCATATCAGAGAATAAATAGCATACTTATATTCACTATATGATGCGATCCTGCAACTGGAACTCGAGCTTACCTGTGGTTCAATGTTCGGCTCACCTGTTCCATCACATTCTGCAGGAAGAAAGAAAAAGGTCTTGTCAGGAGTCGCAACTCACAAGCAGCTCATTTCTCAATACATTACAAATGCTGTACATGTTGTGCCACCAAGCAGCAAATGTTATTACCTACGCACATGAGGCGGCCTTCACCCCGACAAGAGATGCACTTCTTAGTTGATGCATTGGTAGCGCTGCTGATTGGTTTATTCTTCTGTGTTAGCCTAGATGGGTCTTCCCACCTGTTTTCACCGATGAGAAACACTCTATTTTCAGACAACCCTACTCCTGAGACACCATTTCCTTTCACAACAGTTTGTTGAATCTCTGCAATTTCTGTTATGGAGGGAATGGCTGCTCCATTTATGCCATCCTACAAGAGAGTTGGATTAGAATATCATGCCATGACTACAGGTACTGCTTATCGCTTGAACTTTCTTTATATGCAAAGTAAGGAGGCCCTATATATGGGAGCAACTGCTGCAGAATTGTAGATAGCGAATTTCTTGTTCAGAAAAGATAATTGTGTTTCCTTAAACACAGAATGTGTTCATAACCGTTTCTTATTAGTTTGCCTTTATCTTAGCAATAGTGTTACCAAGTTAATAGGTGATAACTTGTGCAGCAAAAAAAGTGTAGGTTGATTGACTCACTTTTGTTTTCACATCCTGCCCAACTTGTCCTGTAAATAACATGTCAAGCAGATCTGATGTCATAATTCCACTCTCCGAAACCCGTACTGTTGCCTGCAACAGAAAGTAACGTGTTTACACAAGTTTATGGAGTAGTTAGCTATCTGAAAATATACGTTGAATTGAACGAAATAATGAAGCAGTAACCTGCCATGTCTTCACAGCTCGTTCGGTGCCAGATGAGAAGCTGGAGAACTCCATGTCTTCTTCGCCCGAATAGTAACCCAGCTTTTCCAATGCTTCCTGCGTTAGTGCAAAGGGCTCAAAATTATGTATTCTACCGATTAGTCTTGTAACTGCTACGGTGCAGAGCATTGCCAATTTGCCGTCGCGTGTGATCAGATTTACTCTATTGCAGTTAGCAGCTTGTATATTGTGACCACCACAAGTCCGTCGCAACCGAACAAATTAAAGCTGTGGCGCGTCAGCTCGGACACAGTTGATGCAACGCGAATCCTAGCCAGAACGAGAGGTGCACGACAACGCTGACCTGCATCGCGCGCACGTCCTCCCCCTCGGCACCCACCCTCAGCGTCCTCCTCCCGCCGCCGTCGCCGCCGCCGCTCTTCGCCTTGGCCGCCTTCTGCTCGACCACCACCACCTCCTTCCTCACCTCGACCTCCTCCTCCACCACCAGCGGTGGCCTGGGCGCCGCCGCCGGCGGAGGCGGCGGCGGTGGCACCGCCGCAACAGCGGGCGAGGGTGCTGGTGACGCCACTGCGGCGTCGACGGACGGGAGGGGGAGCGGGCCCGCCTCGACCGTGCCGAGGCGGAGGCGGAGCGCGGCAATCTCGGCGAGGAGGGACTCGCGCTCGGCGCGCCACCGCGACTCCTCCCGGAGCCACCGCTGCTCCTCCCGCAGCCAGCGCTGCTCCTCGCGCAGCCACCGCGCCTCCTCGCGCTCCTCCCACGACGACGCCGAGCACCGGAGGACCACAACCCGGCGCGGGAGGCCGCCGGGCCTGAACCGCGGGCGGTGGAACGAGGGGAAGAACGGGATGGTGGCGGTGGCAACGATCATGGCGGAGGAGGAGACGGCGGCGCTGAGCTGCCGCTTGCGAGGAGTGAGGAAGTGGCGCGCGGCGAGCAGAGGAGATTAGCCGCGGATATTTCTCGCTGTCCCGCGGTTGATTTTTCTTCCCCGCGGAGCGTTTAGCCTGCGAGAGGCGAGAGCAACGTGCGTGCGGCCTACAGGTAAATTTTCTTTTGGGCTGTCGGTTTGGCCCAACAAAAGCTTTCAAGCCTACCTCGGCCTTGATGGGCTCTCGTCTTCTCTTCACAGCCCCTCTCTATGAGCATCTTTCCCATCCTTAAGGTACCACGATGTACCATGAAGTACCAATCTAATCTAACCGTTGGTTTAAGAGGGGTAGGATCGGCTAACGAAAATGAGGTGTCCCTGCTAATCACCACCCACTCGGCCAATAACGAGTTCGTCCGTGCCGCCCTCTTCTCCTCTCTTCCATCTGCTGCATCGCCGTTGCATCGAGGCCTCCACGGCGCCTTCGCATCGAGCCTGTTCTCCCACCGTGGCGCCATCGCATCGACCACGGCGCGGCTGCCGTCTCATCAAGCCCACCGCAGCTTCCGTCTCATCAAGCCTGCTGCGGCCGCCGTCGCATCTAGCCCGCCGCCCCGCGGCCACCGTCTCATCGAGCACTCAGGCACTTTGCTAGACGGAGCTCCGAATCCATCACCGGTCAATTTGTCATCCCATCCTCCACCCTCACCTCAACTTCCCTGGCGGACGACAGAGCAAGCGCTCCAAATCGGTGGCTTTCATATCCAAATTTTATTCGGTTGGTAGAAAGTGGAGCTATTAAAATAAAGTTGAAATTTATTCGGCGGGAGCCGGCCCACGGAGAGGACTACCCAAGCCTCGATCACTCGGGGTAGTTCTTCCTTCACTCCGAAGGTGGTGAACTCCAAACCACTCACAAACGGCGCCGGGCCTCCTCCACAATCTCCTCGGAGAGGTCACCAGGCAACACCTCCACAAGCCGTCTAGGAGGCAGCAACCTCCAAGAGTAACAAGTCTAGGATGCTTGCCGAGGATGATCAAGTGCCACACTAGCTATAACAATGAAGCAATGCACTTGGATTGGCTTAACTCACTCTCTAACACCTCACTAGATAAACTAAGTGCACAAGGGTGTGAGAGCTCTTGCAAGGGTTCAAGATAATGCAATGGAGTGCCAAAACCTTACCCTTGCTGCTGGGGAGTGGGTATATATACCCCCAACCACCAAAACTAGCCGTTGGAACCGAAATCCCCAACTCTGTGCTCTGCCGGTCAGACCGCCGTTGTGAGGCCGGTCAGACCGGACTACTTTGTAACGGCTAGAAAACTAGCCATTACAGGGCAATCATTGAGCCCACTCAACCTGGTCGGTCTGACCGCAGTGTAGTGACCGGTCAGACCGTCCACGGCTCGGTCTGATCGGTTGCAGCTCTAGCGGCTCTGTATCGCCACCAAAACCCAGACCAGTCCAACAGACCAGTGGGGCCGGTCAGACCGGCCTAACCACGCCGGTCAGACCGGCTAACAGGCCCGGTCAGACCGACTTAGGGCCCACGGTCAGACCGCAGGTCACTTTTTAGCTCAACCGACCGTTAGTAAAACGGCGATATCTCTTGACTCGGGTCTCGAAATTTGGCGTTCTTGGACTCTATGGAAAGCTTATTCAAAGGGCCATCCAAACCATGAAAAAACCATCCAAGAAACACAACTTAAGTCAAGGATAAAGGGCTCACACTCCAAAGGATATCCACCGGACATACCCACAAGATGTCACTCACTCCTATTGGACATGCCCACTTCTCTCTTGGTTTAGGACTTGAAAAAACTCATCACACTTGGCTAGACAAGCCCACCAAATGCACCTACATGCATATGAACTAATATGGCACAAGATCATCCACAAGCTCGCTTCATAGACCCCTCTTGATAGTACGGCGCCTATCTAGCAAATCTGGTCTACACCAAACACCAAGACCGGGAAAAGACTAAGAAAACATTCTTAGCTACATTATATCTTTGCCTTGCGCCATCCATCTTAGGGTCAAGCTTGAGTCGAGATCAACACTAGTGACCATTTGATTCAACCATGTTTATACCAAGGTATTTACCATCATTTGTCAAGACTTTCTTCTCATCACAAGCTTGATTTCATTCTTTGCCAACATGGCGATGTCCTTGGCTTGGTGACCATTAACCCATGGTGTCATCCATTAGCCTCATCATAGTGGGACCTATTCCTTTTCACATCTCAAAGGAGAACATTAGTCTCAACAAATCGGTTGTCATCCTTCACTTGATGACTAACCGGTTGCATATGAAAGATATGGATATATTTGTTGAGTATTCATTTACACCACAAGTGTCATATACTCGTATGCAAGCTCAAGTGCAAAAATCCAATATGAATAATAGGTGAATAACATGGATCTAGAACATGCACAATAAATGTATAGGATTCGCTCCCCCTAAACATATGCATACAAATAAATTTACAAGAGAGGCGAGTGTATGCATAAGTAGTGAATAACCAATGGGGTTTATCCTATACACATAGAAAAGGCATGTAGCAATGATAAAGATAAACAAAAACACATACCTACATGATCTCCATGTTCTCAATGTAAAGGAGACTAAATAAGATAAGGCTCAAGTAAACATTAGTCTCACACTTATATAACAATAACATGGAAATCATATATATGAACCTATCAAAAAGTAGGAGATAAGAAGTGATACATATCGCTTTATCTCCATGAATTTTATCCTTGTCATGATTAAGGTCCATCACCAAAGAATGCATATCTACCATATCTCATTATCGGGAAATAACTTTGTTGAAAACTTATGTAAAAGAGAGGTTAATCCCATAAACATCGGTTTATCATCTATCACCAAAGCAACAATTACACAAATTGTTTAATCCAAGATTTTTCAATCTTTTCTCTCTTTTGTGATAGATAATAATCCGATATAAACAATACAAAGAGATGAGATGAAAGATAATTTCAAATCAAGGTAGAGATCTTATAATGAACCAAATATAGAATAAGCTCCCCCTCAAGATGTGCATATATATGGATATGAAGTAATGCATATGCACACAATCAATCAAGATCAATGAGGAAGCTCACACTATATTTTGGATCCACAAGAGAGACCAAGTTAGAATATGTGAAGTTTAATACATACCTCCCATCATTTTTACTTTCATATCTAAATAAGACTAATCAAGGAAAGGCTCATAAAAACGTTAGTCTCATATAATTAGATTTGTCATTAATCACCGAAACCAAATTAAGTCACTTGAACTTACAAATGTCTCTGATTCAGTTCCTCCATCCCTCAAGGATGGTAAAATCTCTCACTATAATAAACTCACCCATGGTTTAAAATTCCGGAACGAAATTTCGGTTTTATCGGACCCTCTAATATAATATTATTTTGGCTAAATTTTTTTATTGTTTCTACTTTTTTTTAATTTAGCAATATTTGTTTGAATTTGACCAAATTTTGTTTAAAAATTCAAATAATTTTGGACCAAAGTTTCCAAAATTTCGGAGAATTTTAGCATATCGGCAACCCCCGATACAAATTGAGAAAACGAAATATTAAACCCTGAACTCACCACGATTTTGCTATATATTTGTCGAAAACTGGTTAATGTAAATATACTATAATTATAATGTAATTGCATCGTAATTTACATGTAATGACAATGCAACTTGTATTTACTTTTACATAATTTTAAATCGTTGGATTTGTTTTAATATTTGTATAAGAAGGAAGGAAAAAAATCACAACATGCGTATGGGTGAGGACGTTCTGTCCTGAGACGTATGCTTCATATAATTAACGTGTTATTTTGAGATTTTTAAAAGTTACATCTAAGTTGTATTGTAGGTATATACAAGTTATAATATAATTACAGTACGATTATATTGAATCTATTAAATTTTTATAGGAAAATTTATAAGTCACCAAGAGCCTCATCCATGTATCTAGCTGGGATGAGACTCCCCAAACAAACATTGTGTAGTTTACAGTATGACTCATATGCCAGTATCATAATTACAAACTACGTAAAGTTAGAGGATCTGTTTTCATCCAGCTGGCCACCGCCACAGACGGAAACAGGCTACTGAACTGCAACCACAAAGGCGCCCAACTTAAGCTGCAGAATCCGTCAATCTGACCCGCGCGTAACAAGAAGCACGTTGACGGAACGACTCTGAATCACACAGATCGACCGGATAAACGTAGCCATACCGTCGATGGTCCGGTGACAAATTAATCAACTTGACGTGGAGATGAAATCTCCTTTCCTGTCTTATCTACTGGCCAGGCACGATCGCGCGAACAGCGACACGTCCCTCGTCCGTCCACAGTTGGATGATAGCAATTCTCTACCCTTTTCAACTGGTTCTTGTCGGAAAAGGTTCCGTGCTACCCGTTTTCCCGATGGTCCTCCAATTTGTCAAAATCTATCTGATGGTTTTCCGTTAATTTGCCTATGATCGTTTCCTGCATGCTCGCCTATCCCCCTCTTAATTAACATCAGATTATAATATCCGGTTCTTGTCGTAGAAAGCTCCGTGTTATCGTTTATATTCCAATAGTCGGTGAATTACTGAATTTTTCAATTTTCATATCTGGTTGTTTGATGTTCGCTTATTCCCTTCTGAATTAACTGCAGATTGTAATATAATTTCCACGTCTTGATAGTTATGGTCACGACCTTCCTCCTTCATATCCACGCAAGTTTAGCAACGTGATCAACGCGAGAATACGGAGAAATCACGGTACAAAATGGGTGACGATCTCTAGACCGACCAGTCTGGAGGAAAAATGTTCATTTAACAAACGTCTTAAACAGGGAAACCGCATATGCATGTATCATGTATGGATAGATCCCTTGATGGGCTTCTCTACCTGCGCAGTGTGATCGATTAATCCCAATTCTCAAGCACGCAAGCGACTTCTAGTAGTTACATAAAGAGAGAACTACGGACGTAGTAAATGTTTATCTGAAGCTGAAAAATCAAAACACTTGAGCACAACAATATTTCCTTAGATTTTTCGGCTGCGTATATCAACATGTAGATTTTTTTGGTGGGACTCTCTCTCTCCACCGCTCGCTGTGGAGCTGGACGGGACGCCGGCAAGACGGAGTGGCAAGGCGCCGACGACGAGGAAGAACCGACAACGGCGACCAGATCCGGCGCCGGGATGCACGGATCCGGTACCCCCATGGCCGGATCTACTGCTCCGGGCGGCAGCGACCCGGGTCGGCAAGTCGCGGCGTCGGCAGCGTGGAGGTGGCGGCGTCGGCGGCCGGAGGGCGGCCTCGGCGGCGTGGAGTTGGCAGCGGGGCGGAGGTCGCAGCAGCATGACAGTGGCTGCGGCGACAAACGGCGGGCGTGGCCAGATCTGGCCGAACGGCTGGCGGCGGCGGCGGCGGCGGCTGGTGAGGGCGGCGACGGCTGAGGCAACCGTTGCGGTGGCTGGCGATGGCGGCGACGACTGAGGCAGCCGCGACAGCGAGGTGGCGGCGGCGGTTGAGGCAGCCGCAGCTGTGGTGGCGGCTACACGCGGTGCCGACCGTGGATGAGGGGGAGGAGGCACGGTGGCCTCGGACGGCTAGCCGAGGGCGTTGCAGACGGCTGCATCTGGCCGGCTCAGCAGCGTTTGGAGGAGGGGTCGGAGACCGGCTAGGCGCAGAGAGGCACAGCCGATGGCAGCGAAGGCCGGCTCGGCGCGAGAGGTGCGGGCAGCGGAGATGGAGGCCGGCTTGGCGCGAGAGGCGCGTCTGATGGAGGGAGGCCGGATTGGCGTGAGAGGCGAGTCCGGTGGAGGAGGCCGGCTCGGCGCGGCCGGCGGTGGAGGAGGCGACCTTGGTGAGTGGAGGAGCTGCTGGTGGGTCTGGCGTGGTCTTCGACGCACGAAGGCTAGCCGGCGGAGGGCGCCGGTGCAGGGGTCCCACATGTCGGCGGAGGTTGATTGGTGGTGGAGCATCGGTGTGTTAGCTGTGGTTTCGCAGGTGGTAAGCGGTAGGTGAAAACCCAGCCCAGCCTTGATGGTTAATTCCCCCTCCTGAGGGCGTTGTCGTGTTGTCTCGCCCCTCAAGGGTGGTTGCCGGGCGAAAGCCCAGTCCTGGCTCCTTTGAGCCTTGACGGACGGCGGCGGCGGTTTTCCGTCGCTTCTCTTCTTGAAGACGTTGTTTTGGCACTCTCTTGCTGTGTGGCGATCTCGTCTGTGTTCCTTTGTTGGTCTAGCGGCGGTCGGTCACGCTTAGCGGCGGCCGGTCCGGTGCTAGCCTTCTCCCAGACTTGTGTTTAGGCGCTGTCGATGTGTGGGTGGTGGTATATTTTTTCTTTTTCCTGGTTTCGACCCTCCAGGGTTATAATCTTGTAATTTTTTCCTGCTCTATCAATAGAACTTCGCACCGTCTTATACGAATCGTTCAAAAAAAACATGTATATATATATAGAGGCTGGATATCTACCCATTATCTAATAAAAGAATCCCTTAAATTTTAAGACATATATACCACACGAAAGTGTGTAGCTAGGTATACTGATAGATAGTATTGCTTCGATCGTATTTATTGATTATTTTCACTATCTAAAAATACGCATTTGCTTCGTAAAAAAAATGAGGAAGAGATGATTAACACACGCAAGATCATATCGTACTATCTAGTTGATGGGACTCTGTATTTGCATCTGAATTTTTTTTCACCCTCTGTTTTTTTTAAGAAAAAAGTGACAAAAGTTTTGTCTCGTATATATTGATAGACAAGGGACTTTTCACCACTGTATTTGCATCCATGTAAGCACGGTTCAACTGTCCTGGTTAGCTTCTTCCACCCGTGCGCGCGTGTGCATGCAGCAGGAGGAGAAGCTTCTTCTTCATTAGCTTTTACGTGTGGGCTTCATTACATGTTGGCTGTTGTATTCAAGCTAAAACCACGTCGTCTCGTCCATCCAGTCGTCAATCGATTCTCTATATAAAGTCCAGACAGGTCGATCGATCGTTGGGGATAGATATATCGTGCGAGCTTTTTCTCGTCTGCCGCACACGTGTTGTACTATACCCCTTTGTTGGGTTCTTTGCCTCATATAAGGTTAGAAGAAGGTTAGAAGAGGCTAGATATAATCAGCATTGCAGCCTTCGCGACAAGTTCAGAAGATATATGGCAGGAGGCAGTAAGACGCGGATCCATGCCTCGCTCGTTTCCACTCTCCTGCTGCTGCTCCCATTGGCGTCTGCGATCCACAGGAGCGACTTCCCGGCGTCGTTCCTCTTCGGCACGGCCACCTCCTCGTATCAGGTCGGTTTTTCTCGCTCCGTCGCTCGCTTCCTCGCCGATGATTCATTCTCTCGATGCAGATATCCAGCGGCAGACTCTTGGCTGGCTGGAATGCTGGATTTTTGTAGGATCTAGAGGCCACCGACAGTCCGAAATGGTGGTGTTCTAAAAGAACTCTTATCATGAACACTTGGATAGGAGTAGCCGAGTAACAGTAGCACACCTACCTGCAAGGCTGCAACCGCTAGAATCTTTAATTGGCCCTCAATTTGTTGTGGCCTCAATCTTAGGTGATGTTTGGATATAGGGAATTAACTTTAGTCTCTATATTTAGACACTAATTTAGAGTATTAAATATAGACTACTTACAAAACTAATTACCTAAATAAAAGCTACTTTGCGAGACAAATTTTTTAAGCCTAATTAATCCATAATTAGAGAATGTTTACTGTAGCATCATATAGGCTAATCATACATTAATTAGGCTTAATAGATTCGTCTCGTGAATTAGTCCAAGATTATGGATGGGCTTTATTAATAGTATACATTTATATTTATAATTAGTGTCCAAACATCCAATGTGAGTCCTATCTAAACAGGGACTTAGTAGTAGGTCCCAGTCCTGGCGTGTCCTTCAAAATAGCAGTAATCAGTACGTACTACCTCAGGTTATATAATTCTCGATATTATGTGGTATTCAAAATATATCTTTTAATCTTATTTTTATATTAATATATATATATATATATATATAATAAATTAATATATTTCTATTTTTATTATAGTACTTTGTATGACAAATCTATATATGTTGTTTAGTGTCTCTAAATTAGATATTTTTAAAATCATTGATTAAAAAATTTGAATCTCAATTTTGTTTAAAATGTCAAGAATTATGAAATCATAGGGAGTATTTCAGCGCCGTAGCGCCCGTTCCGTCGTGGCGCCTAGCGGGAAAATTATCTCTTAAAAACCCTAATTGTGAAATTTGTTTCTTTGCTTGTCGTCTAGTGTCCGTGCCATCTTAAGATCTCAAATCCCCGATCTATCGTCAAGTTCATTTCCGAATCCAATCCTTCCAAATCAAATCCCTCCGCAAAAGTCTATTTTGCCTCACCCGGGGTCGATGGGCCGAATCTCTCTCGGCCCATCTCCCCCTCCCCTCCCCCGCAGCGCGCGCTCTCTCTCTCTCCCTCCCTCCCCCTCCCCTCCCCCGAGCAGCGCTCCCTCTCTCCCTCTCCCCCCTCCGCTCCGCCGCGCGCTGCGCGCACGTGCGCGTGAGCCGCCCGCGCCGAGCCGAGCCCTCCTCTTCGCTCCCTCGCTGCCGCTCCCCGCGCGTCGTTCGCGCGCGCCACGCCCGCGTGGTCGTCGCCCGCGTCGCGTCTGCGCCGCCCGGCCCCGCTGCCCTGCCGCGCCTGCAGCCGCTCGGCCCCGCAGCCAGCGCGCGTGCCCGAACCGCGCCACTCCATCCGCCGCGCCTCCCGTTGCAAGCCGCGCGCGCGTGCCGAGTGGCCGACCGCCTGGTCGCCGCCGTCGTCAGCGCCTGCCCGCGCCTGTCGCCCGTGTCGCCGCTCCGCTCCACACCGCCCCGCCGTCATCGCCGTCGTCATCGCCTCGGCCCCGCCACTCCGCGCGCAAGCCGCCAAGGGACGGAGGCTGAGCCCTCCTCCCTCTACCGCGACGCCCCCGCTCCCCTCCTCCTTTTCCCAAAGAAGAAAGGGGCGAGCCCCCCTTTCTCTCCCTCCTTTTCCCCTTTTCCTCCCGCCGGCGTTATCCTCCCTCCGCCCTGTCGCCGATTGGACGCGAGCGCTGAGCGCCAACTCGCGCCTTGACCGCCCAAGTCGGTTCCAAACCGACATTGCCGCACTTAAAGCCCAGGCGCCCTCCCTCTCTTCTCCTCCCATCGCCATTGTTGCCCCTTCCGAGCTCTGTCTCGCCTCCGCCGTTCATCGCCAAGCGCCGGGAGAGCCGGTGCGTTCGTGGACGCGGAAGGGGACTCCGGGCGCTCGTCTTCCTCCTCTTCCCCAGCCCGAGGCCGGAGAGAATACTCCCGCGCCGTCGGCCTCTCGTCACAGCGCCCCTCCTCATCTCGGTAGTGCCTCCCTCCGTTCTTCCTCCTCGCTCCATCTCTCCCCCTTAGTTTTCGGTGGTAGCACGAGTAGCCTCCCCGTAGCTAGCCGGCGCCGCCCCGACCGTTGCCGTCGCTCGCCGTGTGCTCCCCGCCGTCGCCGCCCAAGCTCCGTAGCACCCGCTCGTCGCCGGCCTCGCTCGGCGTAGCTCCGCCCAATCCGACGCTAGCAACGGATTCCCGTAGCCGCGTAGATGCTCTCACCGCCGGGAATTGGCCCCTCGTGGCCTCGTCGCCATTTCCCCCTTTGCTCTCTGCCGGTTGCCGCCGCCGAAATCCGCCGCAGACGGGCTCCCTCCAGCGAATCCAAGCCGTTGGCTCGCTCCCTCTCCCTCTTCCTCGTCATCCCGGTGTACGCCCCGTCGCCCCTCATCGTCGCAAGGCGCCCCGGAGAAACCGCCGCCGCCCGCCGTCCATTCGCGGCCGGCGCCTTCGTCTTCCTCCCGCCAGCCCACGTGGCAGCCACGTAGGCGCCACGTCGGCGCTAGCTCAGCCGAGATCGGGTCGGGCCGACCCCGGCCAGCCCCTCCCGTGCGCGCGTTCCACCGCGAGCCGTGAGGCTGCGCGTCGGCCCGCCGCATCCGTTCCTCCGCGGACCACGCGCGTGCACCGCGTCCCTCCCCAGCCCGCGCGCGTGCGCCGCGTGCTCGCTCCGCACGGTGAACCGTGTCACCGACAAGCGGGTCCCACCCGGGACCGCGCGCGGTGAGCCCGGTCCACCGGCTCTCTCTCCTCCCTCCCGCGCGCGCGACCGCCTTGGGCCGGCCGGCCCATTAAGCTCGGCCGGACCGCCCCAAATTCTCTCGGGCCGCGCCCTAACCGCCGAGGAAAAGTCTATATTCCCTCCCTCTTTTCTTTTCTTTTCTTTTCTTTTCCAAAAAGGATTTAATTAAATCCTTTTCCTTTAGACCAAAAATCCAATAATCTTAGAAATTCAATATCTTCCCAACCGTGAATCCGTTTGACTCCGTTCAACTTCCAAAATTCCTCAAATCTCGAGATCTATCTAATGGCACGCTTAGAGGTCATTAATAGGGCTTTATTTTCACCGTTTGTTGAGTTGTCCCGTTTCGCGTGTAGTTTCGGAGCCCGAAGACCCACAGTGCGAGGATTTCGAGGATCAAGTTCCAGATCTCGAGCAAGGCAAGCCACCTTTGAACATCTTGAGCCTATATTTGAAATCTAATTATGTTGCTTGAAAAATATTATGCATTGATAGGACCGCACTTAATCTGTTAGTCCCATCTGCAAGGCAGATTGGCGGACCTACCTAGTTTGTTGCATTTGATCCTTCCTATGTTAATTGATATATCATGTCCCCTTGTAACCATCTAGATTGCGCCTCGATATTCGTGCACCCTGTGCGAGTATCGACGGTTGCCTTCAAACTTAAAATCTGAAAAACTTCTTGAGTAAAACTTGGGTTTTACAAAAGACTTGGAAAACCCGACACCTGGGTCGGTGCTTGCGAACTAAATGAATTTCCAAAACCGCGGACCGGGGAACGTACCGGGTGTACGGTTTCCCGCTCTCGCACTTAAGGACCGATTCCTTGGAATTTCATCCAAACATAAGACAAGTACGACCACATGGGTGGAATGGGACACCCCTGGCTGAGTAACTAGCTTATCAGGGGAGCCTTGATGCCGAGAGACATGTGGATTCGCCGGGGTGGTGTCGGGGAGGACCCCTGGGCTTCCTGGCACAGTATGGTCTGGGACCTAACCTGTTGTTGGTCTGGGACCCCTCTCGTCGGCATATGGTAAACCTGTGTCGGCTTTGGAAATGCCTTGTCATGAAAGCTTGGAGGTCTCCCGACGTGGCTGATCCCCACGGGCTGGGTGATCCGGGTTAGTAATGTCGTGTGGGTAAAGTGTACCCCCTCTGCAGAGATTAACAAACTGTTCGAACAGCCGTGCCCACGGTCATGGGCGGATGTGAGGTGATTCCTAGCGTAGTTTTGTTTGACTACTGCTTGTGAAATTGCTGTTGTGGAAAGGGGTTCGATGTTTGAAAAATCTGCAGCTGAAGGGATCAGCTAGGCCCGGGTGGCCGTTTGAAAGTTGTTGGCCCGGATGGCCGTTTAAAAGTTGTTGGCCGGGTGCCAACCTTGAACAATTTTAAAGACTGATACATAGCACAAACTCCGACCGGACGAGACGCACTGTCTCATCCGTGTCGTTTGAGAAGCACTCACTTAGTTGTTTTCAGAAAAGAGTTCAAATAAAATCAATTGCAAAAACAACAGCCTTTCCTTGAAGCCTGCATTAAACACTTAATTCCCATGGCTTGCTGAGTACTCCCATACTCACCCTTGCTCTATATAAATAATCCCCCCCAAGTTGCTGAAGGAGATGAAGCGGATCCTTCTGATGAGGAGTTCTTTCAGGAGCAAGCCGGCTACGATGAGTTTTAGGGTTTCGGCCTAGTTCCCAAGTCGCGCCTGTGTCGTATGGTCCAAGTCCTGGCTTCCGTTTCCCTTTTGTAATGCAGTTGTGAGCTCGGGATCTGTCCGCAGCCCAACATGACTGTACATCTACTCTATAATAAAGAGACCTCTGTTGCTGTGATATTCTGTCTCCCTGTGATACCAGCACTGTTTCCTGGGACTGGTATCGAATAACAGGTTAATTTGGAGCGTCACGGGCTAGTTTCGGTCGGGACTAGTTCGGGGCGTGACAATTAAATATAGACTACTTACAAAACTAATTACCTAAATAAAAGCTACTTTGCGAGACAAATTTTTTAAGCCTAATTAATCCATAATTAGAGAATGTTTACTGTAGCATCATATAGGCTAATCATAGATTAATTAGGCTTAATAGATTCGTCTCGCGAATTAGTCCAAGATTATAGATGGGCTTTATTAATAGTATACATTTATATTTATAATTAGTGTCTAAACATCCAATGTGAGTCCCATCTAAACAGGGACTTAGTAGTAGGTCCCAGTCCTGGCGTGTCCTTCAAAATAGCAGTAATCAGTACGTACTACCTCAGGTTATATAATTCTCGATATTATGTGGTATTCAAAATATATCTTTTGATCTTATTTTTATATTAATATATATATAATAAATTAATATATTTCTATTTTTATTATAGTACTTTGTATGACAAATATATATATGTTGTTTAGTGTCTCTAAATTAGATATTTTTAAAATCATTGATTAAAAAATTTGAATCTCAATTTTGTTTAAAATGTCAAGAATTATGAAATCATAGGGAGTATTTCAGCGCCGTAGCGCCTGGTACAAGCCTCGTGGAGAAGCAATAGCTAGTCCACGAGGCTCATACTTCAGCGCCGCAGCGCTTGGTACTCGAACCTCGGTAGTGGGGCTGGAGTTTTGACCTCCTTCAGTCTACAATTTTTTTTCTCATACGAGTTAAAGAAGAGGATATAAGGAAACACTAAGTGGCACATAATTAATTAAAATATTAGCTATATTTTTTTAAAAAAATAAATTAATATGGTTCTTTTCAAGCAAATTTTATATAGATAATTTTTATGAAACATATACCATTTAACAACTTGAAAAACGTGTGCATGAGCAACGTGAAAATAGAAATAAGAAAAATAGAGGGAAGACCACACAGCTTAATCACCTAGGTGAGGCTCTAGATTAATGAAGAGGGTAAAGTGGGACCGAATTTTAAACAGGTCGTGTTTTTATTACTCTCTCTGTCCCAAATTATAACACATATATTTTTTTACATGATCTTTAATAATATACTTTGACCAATATTTTATTTCATTCTATAGTCCCAACAAATATGAAATTAGCATAACATGAAAGTACTTTAAAATATGAATATAATGATATAACATGCATAATACTTATTATATATATATATATATAGTTAGTATGATTATTAGTTAAAAGCTACAAAGTTTGATTTTCTTTTAAAATAGGACAGAGGGAGGGAGTAATATTTTTCTAGACGAGAGGGGTTGGAGAAGAAAACTCCGACCCACTTATTAATGCTCATAATATATATATATATATATATATATATATACACGGTGTACCGTACTGAGTACAATGTTTTTCTTTTTGTTTTAGATTGAAGGTGCATATCTAGAAGGCAACAAAAGTTTAAGCAATTGGGATGTGTTCACTCATCTACCAGGTATGTTATTAACTCTGATTATTGTACGTCATCTTGTCATCTATAAAATAAAATAATTAAGCCTTACTTTCTCTGTCCTATAAAAAATTAACCTAGTACTAAATGTGACACATCATAATACTGCGTATATATACTTCTATCCAGGTTGGTTATATTAGAATGTGTGTCACATTTAATACTAGATTCGTTTTTTTTATAAGACGGGGGAGTACATCTCTTTTGAGGTGCCCATAATTTCCTTGTTGGATGGGCCCAATTTGAACTGCAGTATGGGCCTTCCCACGATGGCCCAGGGGATCGTTGACTTCTAAATTAGACATTAAAATACTGATAAAGGAAATTCTGCCGAGATAAGGCCCAGTGAAATTTCGAATTTAATTTCTAGGTAGGGAACGTATAAAAACATGATTTTGATGAGGGATCCGTACGGAAAGCCGCAAAGGATACGTGAACATCCTATGAAAATCCATTCATTTTTACTGCTTATTTGGTGCACACTACTGCAAGCGCCAGTCAAAAAGAAAAAAACACCGGAACGAGCGGTCATGTATATATAAACTGTATTTTTCGAGGTAAGAAGTATATATAAAATGTATGTGTTTCAGGAAATATCAAGGATGGAAGCAACGGAGATATCGCGGATGATCATTATCACCGCTACGAGGTGCAATGCAATTAAGCAAACACCATATTGAATTTACAAATCCTGTGCTTGCCTAAACTGAAATGGTACTGAATATTTCCTCTTTACAGGAGGACGTCGAGCTGATGAACTCCCTCGGCGTAAATGCCTATAGATTCTCGATATCATGGTCCAGAATCCTTCCAAGTGAGTTGAGTTGTTTCCATAGCTAAGTTTTCCCAGCTGACCAACTCTGACTGAATACAGTATCACCTCAATCCTTTGCTTAATACAAAATTTTCATTATGCATTTGCTGAGCATAGAAGGGAGATTTGGTGGAGTCAACCCAGCGGGCATTGATTTCTACAACAAACTTATCGATTCAATTTTACTGAAAGGTATCGATCGATCATCACCATGTGTCCATGTGCATTACAAATTACAAATTACTACTTCTTCTTCCCATAGTCCCATATTTCATCTCTGAATTTAATTCCTGATACATCTACCCATACAAATTTGATCACCTTTATTTTTTGCTGGAGCAGGAATACAGCCATTTGTCACCCTGACACACTACGACATCCCACAGGAGCTCGAAGACAGATACGGAGCTTGGCTCAACGCCGAGATACAGTACGACGCGCGAATATTTCCCCAATCAGACAACAAATGCCATGGATTCGAATTTTTAAACCTCGCATTTTGACTGGTTGGCTGGTTGCGATCAAGTTGTGAGATCTTCTTTCTGTGCATTCCAGGTCGGATTTCGGGCACTTCGCCGACGTCTGCTTCGGCGCGTTCGGCGACCGCGTCAAGTACTGGACCACCTTCAACGAGCCCAACGTCGCGGTGCGGCATGGCTACATGCTCGGCACCTACCCGCCGTCCCGCTGCTCGCCGCCGTTCGGCCACTGCGCCCGCGGCGGCGACTCACACGCCGAGCCCTACGTCGCCGCCCACAACGTGATACTCTCCCACGCCACCGCCATCGAGATATACAAGAGAAAGTACCAGGTTGGTGATCGATTCATTCTTGGTTGGTTGATTATTCCGTCGGCGTCAGCCATCAGGTGCATCACCAATTCACCATGGACGCCGACACTCGACGTATACACCGGGGCTTTGCTTGTGGTTGTGGTTGTGAACTTGTGATGATGAACACAGCTAAATTAGCTTATTCGTTGACACTTCCTCTCTTTCTTTGCTCCGTTGCGTGCAGAGCAAGCAGAGAGGAATGATTGGCATGGTGTTGTACAGCACCTGGTACGAGCCGCTGAGAGATGTCCCCGAGGACCGGCTTGCCACCGAGCGAGCCTTGGCGTTCGAAACTCCGTGGTACTACTACGAATTATAAGATCACTCGCTCCATTGCAGTGATTGAACGTGCTCGTAAAAAAAATGTGGATTTGTTCTGAATCAACAGAGGTTTTCTTCCGATTTTTGCCTGTATGTACTCTTGCAGGTTTCTTGATCCACTGGTCTACGGCGATTACCCACCGGAGATGCGCCAGATTCTCGGCGGGAGGCTGCCGAGTTTCTCGCCGGAGGACAGGAGGAAGCTGCGGTACAAGCTGGACTTCATCGGGGTGAACCACTACACGACCCTGTACGCCAGGGACTGCATGTTCTCAGACTGCCCACAGGGGCAGGAGACGCAGCACGCGCTGGCGGCTGTCACTGGAGAGAGCAACGGGCTTCCCATTGGAACTCCAGTTAAGCATAGTTTCAATAAGAAATCAACATCTATAGATGCTTCGAGGGGATTCGGAGATTAAAACTCCGAACCCCTTGAGCCATTTTTGTCCTTTAACGATGTCAGGGACGGTTGGAAATTTAGGATTTAAGGGGTTAAAGAATGTACTTGCAGACAGCGATGCCCACTTTCTACGTGGTACCGGACGGGATTGAGAAGATGGTCAAGTACTTCATGAGAAGATACAACAACCTGCCAATGTTCATCACAGAAAACGGTACGACAGAACAGAGTGACTGAACAGTTGTACTACCCCTACTAGTTGTGCAGTTGCTTTTTATTTCTGTTCCATTTACATGTTCTGAGAAGATTTGTTGCGCTGAAAAATGATTCAGGATACGCGCAAGGTGGAGATAGTTACACCGACGCAGAGGATTGGATTGATGACGAGGATAGGATAGAGTACCTGGAAGGCTATCTCACAAAACTTGCCAAAGTTATCAGGTCAGTTGGAATATTGTGCATATTGCCAAGTTTATACATGTGGATGTCAAATCTATCTATCTATCTATCTATTATATTATTAAAACAGTTTTGAAAGGAGGCACCACGTTTGCTGTGAGGACTAAAAATTCCCACATTAATCGGAGAAAAAGAAAAAAAAAGAAAATGAGAGTCCAAGTAGAAATACAATCTAAAAATAGCTGAAATTCGGAATTAAAAAATAAGCAATATTGAAAGAAGTTTCCATATAAGAACCCAATACGAGATTTATCAAAATTCAAAATAAAAATAAAATAAAAACCAAAATTAGAAAAGGAAAGAAAAGTCCAAGTAGAAATACAATTTAAAAATATCTGAAATTCGGAATTAAAAATTAGTAATATTGAAAGAAGTTTCCATTTAAGAACCCAATACGAGATTAATCAAAATTCGAAATAAAAATAAATTAAAAGCCAAAATTAGAAAAGGAAATGCGAGTCCAAGTAGGAATACAATTTAAAAATAGCTGAAATTCGGAATTAAAAATAAGGAATATTAAAAGAACAGTCCATATAAGAACCCAATATGAGATTAATTAAAATTCGGAATAAAAAGAAAAATAAATCCGAAATTAAGGCAAAAGAAAATAAAGAAGAGTTCAAGTAGGAATACAATTTAAAATTAGCTGAAATTCAGAATTAAAAATAAGCAATATTGAAAGAAGAATCCATATAAGGACCCAATATGAGATTAATTAAAATTTCAAATAAAAATTTAATAATATCCAAAATTAGAAAAATTAAAAGAGAGTTCAAGTAGAAATACAATTTTGAAACAACTGAAGTTGAAAATAAGAAATAAAAACATTAAAAGAACACAATATGGTATTAACTAATTTTTTTAGAAAAAATAAATTCTGAAATTAGATAAAAAAGATTTCAAATAGGAATAAAATTTATAAATAACTAAAATTTGTGATAAAAATAAAGACTATTGAAAGAAAAGACCATCTAAAACACACGACGAGATAAATTAAGTAACAGGCCTATAAATAAGTAGAGTTGGTGGCGGTTGATATGGCATATAAAAATTGTTAATGAAACACCAAATAGAATCCTAATGACGATTAAAAGGAGGGACGTCATGTAGGACGTGAAGCAAACAAGTAAAGCGGTTGCCGTGACTTCTAGAAAGTAAAAAGAAAAAAAACCACATTGATAATTATTTTTGATTTTTAAAATCTTAATGACAATAAAAAAGAGAAGTAGCGGGCGGGGTGTATAAGAGTACAGTTGCAGAGCCTCCGACGGTTGACGGGACTTCCAGAAAATAAAAAATAAATTGCAACGATAGTTATGTTCGATTTTTAGAATCACAATGAAAATAAAGAGTAGGCGGCGGACGAGGGCTGCAGAGGGGCATAGTGGCATCGTTTGATGGGACTTCTAAAAATTATAAAAAATAAAACTACAAGTCCAATTTTTAAAGGTTCGGAACTTCTAAAAAGTTAAAAAAAAACCCAATGATAATCATGTTCGATTTTAAAATCTCAATGAAAATAAAGAAGGGAGGCAGCAGGCGAGCCGTAGAGGAGCATAATGGCAAAACCGCTGACGGTATGGCGGGACTTCTAGAAAGTAAAAATGAACCCAAACTATAATTATGTTCGATTTTTAAAATCTCAATGACAATAAAGAGAAGAGATAGTGGACGGGAGTATAATGGCAATGTTTGACGGGACATCTAGAAATTATAAAAACAAAACCCAACGTGACAATAAACTCTAAAAACTATAAAATCCAAGTTTTAAAGGCTCCAAGAATAATAAATAGAAATAGTGATAGATCGAGTAAGCAAATAAAGAAGGAGATGACATAAGAGGTAGCAACTGGTGTGATTTTAAAAACTATGTAATTAGAAACACGAGGATGATAAGGTTTGGTCTTTTAAAGTCTTAACATTGAGATAGCTCTTTAATAAATTTTAAGTAAAATTATACTTAAAAAAATATATGATTTTTTTCTGCTAGCCGCGCAAATTGCGCGGGCTACCCAGCTAGTTATATTATTAAAGAAATAGAAAAAAGAGCCTCCGCGTTCGCTCTCGTGGTCTAGAAATTCTCACATTAATCGAAGAAAAAGAAAAAACAGAGTCCATATAGAAATACAATTAGGAAATAGCTGAAGTTCGGAATTAAAAAATAAGGAATATCAGAAGAGGAGACTAGAGTCCATATAAAAATATAATTAGGAAATAACTGAAATTCAGAATTAAAAATAAGGAATATTAAAAGTAGAGTATAGAGTCCATATAGAAATACAATTATGAAATAACTGAAATTCGGAATTAAAAATAAGGAATATTAGAAGTAGAGTATAAAGTCCATATAGGAATTTAAAAATAACTAAAATTTGGAATAAACATAATAAAATTAAAATTAGAGTTTAGAGTCCGTATAAAAATACAACTTATAAATAACTAAAAATTCAAAATTAAGAAAAGCATGGGAATAAGAGTTTAAAGTCAATATAGGAATACAGTTTAGAAGTAACTGAAATTTGAAATTAAAAATTAAAGAATATTGAAAGATGAGTTTAGAGTCCACATAGAAATACAATTAGAAATAATAAAAATTCAGAAATAAAAATAAATAATATTAGAAGAAGAGCATAGAGTCTATATAGAAATACAATTTACAAAAAATTCGGAATTAAAAAAAATATTAAAAGTCGAGTCTAGAGACCATATAGGAATATATATAATTTACAAATAACTAAAATTTGATATTAAAAATAATTAATAACTAACACGTATATAAAATACAATATGAATATTACACATTAATAGTTTTGTAAAGTTATTGCAAAATTTAAAATCATGTTGTCATTTTAATATATTTGAATAATATAATGAGAAAACATATATGCTATTATATGAGAGAAAATATAATGATGCTAACCGCATAATATGCGCAATTGAGGCTCACATGCTTTGCTACTAGGGACGGAGCTGATGTTCGTGGCTACTTCGCCTGGTCCGTCGTTGACAATTTCGAGTGGTTGTTTGGGTACACCCTTCGATTTGGACTGTACTACATAGACTACAGAACACAGGAAAGATCTCCAAAGCTATCTGCGCTGTGGTACAAGGAATTCCTCCAAAATCTGCATGAAAATCAATAGATAAAGTTGTACTTTCGAATTTAAATAGGGTGTAAAATGATAGTAATTCGTGTAATGATGTAACTGTAGTACTGTACATTAGTACATAATGTTGATTAGAATGGATACATGATATCCACCTATATATATCCAATTTATTGGACAATTTACTGTAAACTATCAAATTTAAAAAATGTGGTTCGACGTGCCTAATAAATTTAGCTAATACATACTCCAATACGGAGTATATATTTTTCATGTAACTTATTTTATTATATGGAGAATGTCCATCGTCGAGTACCCTATCCAATATGAAAAATCGGACTTCTGATCCAACACAAAAACGGGGCACCCTTCCACTCCTTGCTGCATGCGGCACATGCATCACCTTCCTCACACCCACCCTTTCATCATGCACTGCCTTTCTCCCACCTATAGATGACTCTCTTTTCTCCTCCACATACTCTTCTCTACATGTTTGCAGTTCTTAAGTACCAAATCTCAAATGATTTTTATTGAACTTTTTTTCGACCATACCATTGTATTTGTTAGAATAAATCTTTATAACAAGATCTCGCATAATTATATTCTGATAAAAATATATGTGCTTCAACCGTTAAGATTCGATGTTTCATGTGAAAAAAAGTGAATGTTTTAAGTGGAATTGTGATGTTGCATATTTTAGGTTTTCTTTTAAAAAAATTTTCTGATGTTTCAAGTTTGGACTCGATGTTTTATGTAGAGGTTGTTAGTGTTGTGGTAAAATTTTTAAGTTTAGACACATGCACTTATATAAATGAGAAAATTCCATGTGTACTATTAAAACTTTGCCCCTATAAATACGCAACCTTCGAAAATTGGACCATCATAATATAGTGTATTCCTCACTACTGAAAGAATAGTTATCCATAAACACAAGCATCTGTATCGAGTTTATGACTACTTAACCCGGATAGAAAGATTTCACTTTAAGAAACCAAACCAATTAAGTTTATTTTTTATTTTTTAAAAAATAAGTTTATTTTTAAATATTGCCTTTTTTGAAATATTTTATCAAGTGAGTTGAAATATTGTATTAAGTGATAAAATATTTTTTTAGAAGCGATGGAACAATGTGTACCCGATTTAAAGTCATCCCGGACTTATCAATTTCGATTAGAGATGACAATCTCTTCTTACAAGTGTAATAGTATAACAATTTAAATTACCAAAGGGAAACTTATTCCCTTGGTTGTAGGGCATACATGCGCTTATCTAAAGTAGGAGTATTTGGCAACAGAGTTATATTTGGTCATAAATCACGTTCAGTTTTGCGAAGAATCTAAAATACTCGGTACTATAAGACATAATTAATCGGAAGAATATATAGATCGGGCGCCCGATTGATTTTTCCGATTTCTTTTAAAAAAATCAGATGGTCAAATATTTTAGTTGATCAATGAGTGAAACATCAATTTATATACGGTGAAACCAAAAAATGAACAATTGAAACATTTAAATTTTTGTGAAACATAGTGAAAATATGTGTTGAAACATCTTACTATCACATATGAAACAATGAGTTTTAACGTTTTAGAACATATGTTTTTCTTTCATCAGAATATAGTCATACAATATGTTGTTGTAAAGATTTAAATATAACGAATAAACTAGTATGATTGAATCATATATTGGATAAATAATTTACAAGAAAAATTATTTGAAAGCTTGTTAAATGCATACATTGCACAGAGTGGAGAGAGAGGCATGAGAGATAACAAGGGAAGAAAGTTGCGTGAATCTTGTAATACACAGTGGAACACACGTTGAAACATGTTGATATCACGTATGAAACAATGGGTTTTAATGGTTTGAAACACACTTTTTTATTGGAATATAATCATGTGGTATCTTGTTGTAAATATTTAGTTACGATGAATATAATAGTGTAATCGGACCGTAGATCAGATATGTTGTTTAAAAGAAAAATTATTTAGAGTAATGAGGAGGGAGAGAGAAAAAGCTAGTTGTATACAATCTACTACTCCATCAATCCATAATATAAGTATTTTTGACTTTGAGATGGTCTCCGAGATTCTACTTTGGCCAACAATATTTATAAAAAGTAAGATATTTTAAATAAAAAGAGTTGTATATTATGATAGTTTGTTGAACGATAAATCTATTAACATCAATTTTACATGAATGATCTTTTTATTTTATTTTATTTTAATAGTTAAAATTAAAAATATTTGACTTTTCATTATGCATAAAATGCTTTAAGACGGATGGAGTACCATGCATGCTGCGGTAGTGGTAGCTGACAGGTGTTCTGACTTTTCATCTCTAATCAGACGCCTCTACGTGTGTATTCTCCTAATTAATCTACCTCTCATTCAATAAGTTCTAAATTGATGTCAGCTCGTGTAGCGCCCGTTCCGTCGTGGCGCCTAGCGGGAAAATTATCTCTTAAAAACCCTAATTGCGAAATTTGTTTCTTCGCTTGTCGTCTAGGGTCCGTGCCATCTCAAGATCTCAATCCCCGATCTATCGTCAAGTTCAAATCCGAATCCAAATCTTTCCAAATCAAATTCCTCCGCAAAAGTCTATTTTGCCTCCCCCGGGGTCGATGGGCCGAATTTCTCTCGGCCCATCTTCCCCTCTCCCCCGGCGCGCTCCCTCTCCCCCTCTCCCTCCGCTCCGCTCCGCCCCACCCGCGCGCCGCGCGCGCGTAGTGCGCGAGCGGCGCGCCGAAGCGCCCCCTCCCTTTCCCCTCGCTCATGACNCGGTCGCAACGCGCACGCCGAGCGCCCCTTCCCCTCGCCCTCCTTCTCCTCTCCCTGGCGAGCTCCCCGCTCGCGAAGACAGCCCCCGCGCGCCGTCGTTCGCGCGCGCGCGCCCGCGTGGTTCCCCACCCGAGCCGCGTCGTCTGCGCCGTCCGCGTCGCCCGGCCCCGCTGCTCTGCCGCGCCTGCAGCCGCTCGGCCCCGCGAGCCAGCGCGCGTGCCCAGCCACGCCGCCCTTTGTTTCCCGCGCGCGCGTGCCGAGTGGCCGACCGCCTGGTCGCCGCCGCCGTCACCCTCTGCCGCGCCAGCCCGCGCCTGTCGCCCGTGACGTCGCGCCGGTCCAAACCGCCCCGCCATCATCGCCGTCGTCATCGCCTCGGCCCCGCCACTCCCGCGCTAGCCTCCAAGGGACGGAGGCAGAGCCTCCCTCCTCCCTCTGCCGCGACGCCCCCGCTCCCTCCTCCTTTTCCCGAAGAGGCAAGGGGACAAGCCCCCCTTTTCTCTCCCTCTTTTCCCCTTTTTCCCTCCCGCCGGCGTCATCCTCCTCCCTCCTTCCTGTCGCCGCTTTGGCCGCGACCGCCGAGCGCTAGCCCTCTCCTTTGACCGCCCTAAGTCGGTTCCCAAACCGACATTGCCATCCTATAAACCCGAGCTCCCCCCCCTTTTTTCCTTTCCTCTCCCATTCACCTCCGCCTCATTGCCGCCCCTCTGTTTCGCCATCGCCGTTCGTCGTTGCGCGTGTCGGAGGAGCCGGCACGAGCAAGGACGCGGAAGGGGACTTCGGCCGCGCCCTCTCCTTCCTCTTCCCTGGCCCGAGGCCGGAGAGATTACTCCCGCGCCGTCGGCCTCTCGTCACAGCGCCCCGACCCGCACGGTAGTGCCTCTCTCCGTTCTTCCTCCTCACTCCATCTCCCCCCCTTAGTTTTCGGTGGTAGCACGAGTAGCCTCCCCGTAGCTAGCCGGCGCCGCCCCGACCGTTGCCGTCGCCCGCCGTGTGCTCGCCGCCGTCGCCGCTCGAGCTCCGTAGCACCCGCTCGTCGCCAGCCTCGCTCGGCGTAGCTCCGCCCAATCCGACGCTAACATCGGATTCCCGTAGCCGCGTAGATGCTCTCACCACCGGGAATCAGCCCCTCGTGACCTCGTCGCCGTTTCCCTCTTCCCTCCCCGCCGGTTGCCGCCGCCGCGATTCGCCGCCGTCAAGCTTCCTCCGGCGAATCCGAGCCGTTGGCTCGTCTCCCCTCATCTCGTGCAACCACCCGGTGTGCTCGTTTTCGCCGGTATCGCCGTGGTTCGCTCCGCCGCTCGCCACTGTTGTCCGCCGTCCGTTCCGGCCGGCGTCGTCGTCTACCTCCCGCCAGCCCACGTGGCAGCCACGTAGGCGCCACGTCGGCGCCAGCTCAGCTGAGGTCGGGACGGGCCGACCCCGGTCAGCCCCTCCCGTGCGCGCGTTCCACCGCGAGCCGTGAGGCTGCGCGTGGGCCCGCCGCATCCGTTCCTCCGCAGACCGTGCGCGTGCACCGCGTCCCTCCCCCGCCCGCGCGCGTGCGCCGCGTACTCCCTCCGCACGGTGAGCCGAGCCGCTGACAAGCGGGTCCCACCCGGGACCGCGCGCGGTGAGCCCGGTCCACCGGCTCTCTCTCCTCCCTCCCGCGCGCGCGACCGTCTTGGGCCGGCCGGCCCATTTAGCTCGGCCGGACCGCCCCAATTCTCTTGGGCCGCGTCCTAGCCGCCCGAGAAAAGTCTATTTTCCCTCCCTCTTTTCTTTTCTTTTCTTTTCTTTTCCAAAAAGGATTTAATTAAATCCTTTTCCTTTAGACCAAAAATCCAATAATCTTAGAAATTCAATACCTTCCCAACCGTAAATCCGTTTGACTCCGTCCAACTTCCAAAATTCCTCAAATCTCGAGATCTATCTAATGGCACGCTTAGAGGTCATTAATAGGGCTTTATTTTCGCCGTTTGTTGAGTTGTTCCGTTTCGCGTGTAGTTTCGGAGCCGGAAGACCCGCAGTGCGAGGATTTCGAGGATCAAGCTCCAGATCTCGAGCAAGGCAAGCCACCTTTGAACATCTTGAGCCTATATTTGAAATTTAATTATGTTGCTTGAAAAATATTATGCATTGATAGGATCGCACTTAATCTGTTGTCCCGTCTGCAAGGCAGATTGGCGGACCCACCTAATTTGTTGCATTTGATCCTCCCTTTGCTAATTGTTATATCGTGTCCCCTTGTAACCATCTAGTTGCGTCACGATATTCGTGCACCCTGTGCGAGTATCGACGGACGCCTTCAAACTTAAAATCTGAAAAACAACTTGGGTAAAACTTGGGTTTATAAAAGACTTGGAAAACCCGACACCTGGGTCGGTGCTTACGAACTAAATGAATTTCCAAAACCGCGGACCGGGGAACGTACCGGGTGTACGGTTTTCCGCTCTCGCACTTAAGGACCGTTTCCTTGGAATTTCATCCGAACATAAGACAAGTACGACCACATGGGTGGAATGGGACACCCCTGGCTGAGTAACTAGCTTATCAGGGGAGCCTTGATGCCGAGAGACATGTGGATTCGCCGGGGTGGTGTCGGGGAGGACCCCTGGGCTTCCTGCCACAGTATGGTCTGGGACCTAACCTGTTGTTGGTCTGGGACCCCTCTCGTCGGCATATGGTAAACCTGTATCGGCTTTGGAAATGCCTTGTCATGAAAGCTTGGAGGTCTCCCGACGTGGCTGATCCCCACGGGCTGGGTGATCCGGGTTAGTAATGTCGTGTGGGTAAAGTGTACCCCCTCTGCAGAGGTTAACAAACTGTTCGAACAGCCGTGCCCACGGTCATGGGCGGATGTGAGGTGATTCCTAGCGTAGTTTTGTTTGACTACTGCTTGTGAAATTGCTGTTGTGGAAAGGAGTTCGATGTTTGAAAAATCTGCAGCTGAAGGGATCAGCTAGGCCCGGGTGGCCGTTTGAAAGTTGTTGGCCCGGATGGCCGTTTAAAAGTTGTTGGCCGAGTGCCAACCTTGAACAATTTTAAAGACTGATACATTGCACAAACTCCGACCGGACGAGACGCACTGTCTCATCCGTGTCGTTTGAGAAGCACTCACTTAGTTGTTTTCAGAAAAGAGTTCAAATAAAATCAATTGCAAAAACAACAGCCTTTCCTTGAAGCCTGCATTAAACACTTAATTCCCATGGCTTGCTGAGTACTCTCGTACTCACCCTTGCTCTATATAAATAATCCCCCCTAGTTGCTGAAGAAGATGAAGCGGATCCTGCTGATGAGGAGTTTTTCCAGGAGCAAGTCGGCTACGATGAGTTTTAGGGTTTCGGCCTAGTTCCCAAGTCGCGCCTGTGTTGTTTGGTCCAAGTCCTGGCTTCCGTTTCCCTTTTGTAATGCAGTTGTGAGCTCGGGATCTGTCCGTAGCCCAACATGACTGTACTCCTACTCTATAATAAAGAGACCTCTGTTGCTGTGATATTCTGTCTTCCTGTGATACCAGCACTGTTTCCTGGGACTGGTATCGATTAACAGGTTAAGTTGGAGCGTCACGGGCTAGTTCCAGTCGGGACTAGTTCGGGGCGTGACAGTATGTCAGTGCACATGTTCTCACTATTTATATCTTAAAAACAGCTAGCACACGTTACCATTCCTTTTTTTTTAAAAAAAAGGAAAAAAAACCAGCACAGACGTCGTGATCACCGTGTATAATCTTTTTTCATTGCATCCCCATCCACATGAAGTTCAAGAATTACGGAACACACGAGGTAATTTCTCTTCTTTTTTTTCAGGGTGTTCTAATTTCTAATTGATGGACACTGAATTTTTGCCACTACATTTTGCATCACTAAAGAAAAGGGAGGTAACATGCAAAGCCATACCAATCCACCTCGAAGGCCAGCGCACGCCGTGCCGCCCGCACATCCTCCGTCGAATTCGTCAGCGGCTCGTACCATTTCATCGCGACCACGATCCCGATTGAGCCGCCTTGCTTTGCCTAACCACACACACAAAAAAATCTCAGACAACACGTCGAAACATACTAGCCAGCCAAGAGCTCAGCTAAGGAGGGGTTGGTTGTGTTGTGTGTGGTCACCTGGTAATTCGTCTTGTAGTTGTGGACGGCGGCGGCGTGGGAGAGCAGGATGTTGTGCGCCGCGGTGTACGGCTCCCGGCGCGAGTCGCCGCTGTTGCAGCTGCCGAACGGCGGGGAGCACCGGTTCGGAGGGTACGCGCCCAGCATGAATTGGAACTTGGTGATCAGGTTCGGCTCGTTGAACGTCGTCCAGAACCTGACACGATCACCGAAAGCCTTGAAGCACACGTCCGAGTAATACCCAAACTCCTCCCTGAAAACGAAAAATGCATACGTAAATACCGGATTAACCTTAGCGGAAGCTGACATGACAGAATTACAGAAGAGGAAACGTGGCCATGTACGTTACCGGATTCCAGCGCCCAACCAGCCGCCATATCGGATTTCCAACTCTTGTGGAATGTCGAAATGGTTCAGTGTCACGAATGGTTGTATGCCTGATCATATACAAAGAAAAAGAAAGAAAATTGCAACAGTTCATCTTGTTATTAGAGTATGAAAATGTGACGACTTTACTCTTACTCCAGCTATAGCTGCGATAGATATCTGAATCTGATCTGTCGGAAGGGTTACCTTTCTGTAGGAGCGCGTCGATCAGACGGTTGTAGAAGGCGATTCCTGCCGAATTAACTCCTCCAAACCGACCTCCTGCGAGGATTGGAGAACAACAAAATGAGGATATGATCAAATGGCGATCTGCAGGTAAAACTTCAGTACTGAAGTGAACATTAGTACTGCATGTGTTGATCTTGACATACTTGGTAGAATTCTTGCCCACGAAATTGAGAATCTGTAGGAATTGACACCCAAGTTATGCAGAATCTCCACATCTTCCTGTTCGGAACATTAGGCACGGTTATAAATCTAAGATGCATCATGCATCACATGAACATTGTTATAGCTTTGGCTTGTAAATTTTCTCTTGTACCGTGTACCGATGGTAGTGATCATCCGCTACATCCCCGTTGCGTCTATCTGAGATTCGTCCAGCTGTGACGAATCGAAACAACTTTGAGAGAAAAACAAGAGGTTAACTTGAATTACATACGCGTGTTAACTGTTCCGATTTTAGGTAGAACAGTGGTAGATGTGATGTCGACAAAATAGAGGAGAAGAATATGTGCATCCATCATTTGCAGATCTGAGCTCAAAGGAGAGCAATTTTGTAAATTAAGCCCCTCGTGTATATCGTTCCATCCACCATAATTTAAATCGTGTTGGCTGCATTTGCCACTGATGTCCATCCGTTTGACTATGGCAGTGGACACCACTGTATTTTTTATGTGCACACCTTCCATGCAATGAAAAGAAAAGGAAAAACGCCACAAGCACCCTAATAGTGTTTGGAGAATGATAGGAACAATGATACTGACATCATAGGATAGGAACAGAACACAGATGAGTCATGAGAAACCAAATGTTGCCTTGTCTGTAAAGCTACAACCAACAAAAAGAAATATAAGGCCTGATTTAGTTCCCCAATTTTTTTTTTCAAAAACATCATATCGAATCTTTGGACACATGCATAGAGCATTAAATATATATTAAAAAAATAATTACACAAGTAGGAGAAATCACGAGACGAATCTTTTTAACCTAATTAGTCCATGATTAGCCATAAGTACTACAATAATCCACATGTGCTAATGACGGATTAAGTAGTCTCAAAAGATTCGTTTGAGTAATAGATTTAACCTTCCCCGCAAAAAAAATTAGGCTCAAAAGATTCGTCTTGCGGTTTCCAGGCGAGTTATGAAATTAGTTTTTTCATTCGTGTCTGAAAATCCCTTTCGACATCCAGTCAAATATCCGATGTGATATCCAAAAATTTTCTTTTCGCAAATTAAACAGGCCCTAAGTATGGTGGTGGCTAATGCTTAAGGGGCATGCCGGCATGGGCATCTTTCACTATAACAGATTAGGTACGGGCGGGAACGAATGAACGATCGACAAGGAAAGGCAAGCTCCACACCCACCCTCCATGTGAGCAGCCCATGATCGACCAACCCACCTGGTAAGCGGACGTCGCGGCGCCGAAGAGGAACCCCACCGGGAAGTCGTCTCGGCGGAGCCCGCGCGCGCCCGGCGCGAGAGCCGCCAGCGCCGCGACCACCACCACCGCAATGCGCGTTGCCGCCGCCACGGCCATCATCGATCATTCGATCCCCCCCCCTCTCTCTCTCTCTCGTGTAGCTCGCTCCTCTGTCCGGCTGTCCCGGCTCGACTCGCCTTGCCTCGCTCAGCCGGGCGGAACAAGCTAGGCCCTGGAACGGGACGTGCAGGCCTTCGTCTCTCGCTCGGAGTGGGAGATCGTACGTGGATATGAGTGCGCGTGTGAGTGAAGTCAAGTTGGGATTATCCTGCAAAACGTGGTGGCTTTTCAAGTGGGGATTATCCTGCAAGTTGGGATTAGACATGTTAAACTCGGTCCATCCAGATTCTCTCTGGCTCGAGTCCTCGACGCGCGCAAAGGAACAGGAATGCGACCGTGGGGGGTGGGTAGGTGATCAAATTGACCGTTCCGTCTCGTTATTGGACAGGTGAGGTAAACCGGTCGGCTCTATCTGGAGCCACACGTACCAGCAGGGGAGGCGCAACAGACTACAGGCACGCGAGGAGGTTAGTGGCAGTCGTTGAGTTTATCACCGCCGGCCTGTGCAAAAATTAAGTTTGGCTGATTCGGCGGCGTCTCACTCTCAAGCCAAGGCGTGGTCGACAGCGTCGCCGGCTGCGTGAAGCCGTGAACCACTAAAAACCCAGCCACGTTGTGGTCGCGCATTTCCTTTCGCCGGGCCATGCCCGTGGTCATGCTCTGTTTCGGTTTCTATGGCCGCAAGATGGATGGATCATGCATGGATGGTACGTAATCTTTTTTTTGAGAGGATTATGGTACGTAAATCGGTGCAACGGGGCCAAAGTTTGTACTACTCCGTACTCCTACCGCCCTAAAATTTTAGGTAAATTTTTGTTGAATATGACGTATCCTAAAACTGTAAATCAACTATAAATCTATATATTGTCTGTTTAGATATATTTCATCCAACTAAAATTCTTTATATAGGGATTACTTATTTTGGGTTGGTTTGGAGGATGACATTGACATGTCTGACCTTGTATGACGCTGAACTCTATAGAGAATCAATCTGAACTAAAATATAATATCTTTCGATCAAATTAAATGACTTTGCATGACTAATATACTCTATATGACATATCGATATTGTTGTTACTTGAAGGGTTTTTTTTCTTATAACTTTTATAGTATAATATATTAGCAGTATATATTGCTAGTATAAATGAGGGCACGTTTGAAATTTGCAAAAAAAAGGGTGTTTTAGTAATTCATGCTTCGTCTTCAATTCAATAATGGTCAAATCAATGTAGAGCGGAGAGACGACACCATGATAAGGAGAGGCGTGGCCACGTTAGGCGTATTGGCCAACAGGCGAATCTATACCATTCAATCATTAGGCGTGTTGTGCCATAGAAGTTCTTTTTTTTTGGATGGTTGTTACTTGTGGGGTTTGTTAGCACACAGCTGGGAATCGGATCCTCTGACTTCGGCCTTCCCTGATGTTACTCTGCAGTCACCCTGATCTACCGTCCAGCAGCAATCCAACGACTCAGCTCGCAGATGCCTCGCGTGGTGCTCCTTGCCCGGCGCTGGCTCGGCTCACTCACGTTTTTTTGACAGAACTCGCTCGCGGCTCCTGCATGACGGCTCGCTTCCCCTTCCCCTATCCTCTTCTCCTGCTTACTGCTCGCTGCGTCCGTGATGGCGGAGGCGGTGGTGACGGGCGCATAGATCTGATTCCTTCACGGCGGCGGGCGAGCTCCCGCGGGCGAGCAGGGATCGGGCAGTGGCTGGAACGAGGGAGGGCGGAGCGGCACGTAGCAGGTCGGGGGCTGAAGGCGAGGTCGGGCGGCGGCTCCATCGGCGGCGGGCGGGCTCCCGCGGGTGAGCAAGGCTAGGGCGGGCGGTTGGAGCGAGGGAGGAAGGAGGTGGCGGCGCAGCTGCGCAGGCTCAGGTGCCTCGTGGCCGCGGTGGCCGACGCGCTCGCCAAGCTCAGGACGCCAACCTCTTGCCCTGTTTGCAGCAATGTACTGCTTACTGAATCATTTCAGATTGACTGCCTACGTATAGATGATTCTGGACAAGATGGTGTCATGGATTAGCAGCTTCAAGCAAGGAGGGGCAGCTGACTTTAGACATTGTAGAATTCTAGTTCTGCTTTGGCTAGCTGTTCACGTTTTATGTTATGACTGCACCATGATTGTAACACTAGCATTTCCAGCTTCATTTCATTTTTCTTTTTCGTTTGAACCTGTATACAGATTGACATTGTGTTGTAAATTTTCTTGGAATTGAATAAAAAGAAATGCTGATTGTTGCAAGTTCATAGATGCACAAAATGATATGTTGTTTAGAGATGCAATTCCCAGTGTCGGGCGCAGCTCTCGCCGTTCGCGCGTCCTGCTGTCTCCCCAAACCAGCGAGCAAGCCGAGCCTTGGGCACGAGAGCCGAGCCAGCGCCGAGCAGGGAGCACCACACGAGGCATCTACGAGCTGAGTCGTTGGATTGCTGCTGGACGGTAGATCAAAGTGACTGCAGAGTAACGTCAGGGAAGACCGAAGTTAGAGGATCCGATTCCAGCAGGTGCTGTTAATTGTGCTACAAGTCTACAAGCGCACGGCCCAAACACGAAATGAGGTTAGTTTATGCTCATTTGGATTAAATGAATTATATAAGAAACTAGCAAATATGCCCGTGCGTTGCAACGGGAAGTGTACAGAACAGAAAATTGAGAAAAAGTTAAGAAAAATTTACATTATGTAATTAATTAAAATAAAAATTTGCTAAAATATTTGGTATTTTTAAGTAGGTAGGTGTATAATTAATTCAATATACAAGTAAAGCAAGTGTGAAAAATAAAATAACATGGTTAAATTTAATTTTATTAAATTCTCCATGATTAGTTACGCTCTTTAGAATTTTATTGGAATTATCAGAGCTTAATTACTAATTTTTAATAATACAAACATCATTTAACAATTATTTAATTGGAAAAAGAATCAAAATCCTCCTTCCTATGTTTGGGCCGAATATAGAAAAGTTTATTTCCCTCCCTTTTGTCTATTCTATGTGTCTCACTGTTTCCTTTCTTTGTTGAAGTCCATTTGACGTCCTTCATTCGGTGGCCCAATAGGCCGGCGGCCCGACGCGGGAGAAGTTGGGGCCGTCCAATCGAATGGACGGTACAGATTAATCCTAACCTAAATAAATACACCCAAACCCAAACCCTAACCCTAACCATTCATTCCCCCCACCCCCACCCCACCCTGAGCGACGACGGCGGCGCCGCGCCCCCCCGCCCCCCCAAGCGGTGACGGGCGCCCACTCCCCCCACCCCCTCCCACCCCACGCCCCCCACCCCGAGCGACGATGGCGGTGGCGCCCCCCTTCCCCCACCGAGCGGCGACGGGCGACAGCGTGGAGCAGCGGCCGACCTCCTCTCCCTCGCCATGGGGCCCTGGGAGGGCTCGACCGTGGCGAGCGGCGACGCCCTCCCTTCCGGCGGGAGGGGAGGCGGCGGACAGGGGCGCCGGTGCCCTTCCCTCCGCCGGATCCAGTGGGAGGGGAGGCGCCGGCGGCCCGCCGGCATCCCAGCAGCAGTGGCGCTCCTCCCCTCCGCCGGATCCAGTGGCAGGGGGAGGCGGCGGCGGTGGCGCCCCTCCCCTCCGTCAGATCCAGCGGGAGGGGAGCTGGCAGCGGCCTGTGACGGCAGCGGCAGTTCGGCGGCGGCGGCGGCTCGACGGCGGCGGTTCGATATTTTTTTTTGGATATATTTGTGTGTATATGCTTCCTCTGATTTTATTTGTGTGATTGAATTCCGATTGGGAATTTTTTTTGGGTGGGGGTGATTGAATTCCGATTGGGATTTTATGGGGAGGTGATTGAATTCCGATTGGGATTTTAGGGGGGAGGTGATGGATGAAAAATTGGTGTACGGATGAGGTGACAACCGAAAAAATACGAATATTTATATTAGTTATAGATATAGGGGATCCATTGAACCTACTGAAAAAAATTGCTTTGAGATTTGAGAACCTTTGATGTTAAGATTGCCTCATAGAAATTTCGTATTTCCACTATATTTTGAAGGTTTCAAGCAAGAGGTTTAACCACATGTTTACAATTCCTTTGAAAGTTTCACTGTACTTTTTTTTTCTCTCTCCCTTGTCTCTCTAATAAATCAACATATATATATATATATATATATATATATATTCTCAAACTTCCTATGTTTTTTCTGTGAGCGATTCAAACAACTAATTTGTAAATTTCCCATGTTTCATTGCCTACATAATTAAGCAAATCATGATACTAAAATATATTTTTCCTATACCTACCACTACTTAAAAACCGATTTTCCTGGACAGGGACACATTTAGATTGCAGACGGACCATAACTGGTCGCGTCTGGGAAAATAACCTCATTTTCGCGTACGGACCTATTAAGAGAGCTGCACGCAAAATTACCCACTCTCTCTTTCCATCCTACCCACTTTAATTTTTTTCCTCTTTTTCTCCTCTCCTCTCTCCTCTCTATTTCTTTTTCTCCTCTCTATCTCTTTTTCCCAGTCCTCTCCTCCCGAGTACTGACGACGGCAGCGGGCGTAGGCGGCGACGACGCGCGGGATCCGGTGGGCGGCGGCCAACCCTCGCACGGATCCGGCGGAGGGGAGGGGCATCGGCGGCGGTGCGGCCGGAGGGGAGCGCAGATCTAGCGGCCGCCCTCCCCCCTCCCCTTTGGGATCCGGCTCCCCTCCCCTTCCCTTCCTTCCCTCCCCAGATCCGGTGGAGGGGAGGGGCGTCGGCAGCGGTGCGGCCGGAGGGGAGCACGGAGGTCAGTGGGAGGGCGGATCCGGCGGCGCGGAGGCCGCCGCCGCCGCTGACGAGAGTGGGAGCGGTGTCCTTGGCTGCCGCCGCCGACGATGATGAGGATGATGACGAGGATGACGACGAGGAGGAGGCGGTGGCGCTGTCGCCGGATTCTAGGTTTTCATTTTTTTGAATTTTTTTTCAGATTTTTTTCCGCGCGGGCGACATAAGCACCCGCACGCAAAAATTGCCATTTTCACAGACTCCTGGGTGCTTGCGGGCCGCTCACCCGCACGCGAAAATCGGATTTGACCGCACGGAAAAACCGTTCTCCTGGTAGTGTACGTCTAGATGAGCCCTTATAATTTTATTGATATATGATATGTAGATTGATTATGGTTTAGATCCAACCGACATTTCGAGATTCTTTGTAGAACTCTAATATCCATCGAGCAAACTGCACGTACTGATTAGAAATTAACTAATAATGGTGAAGGGAAGTTTCATTTTCCAAGAATGTATCCTAATTTTTGGCCTAATTCTTCTTCCGATGATCGATTTAACCTCTGATAAAAATAAAAATATAGACCTTGGTTCTATTTTATCTCTTCAATAAGTTTAGTAATAAGTATAACGGCCCTATTGTTCCGATGGAGAGAAGTAACTGGTATAATAACGGTGAATGTCTAAGTGTAAGTATGTAACGCACGTTACAACCAATATAAATTCACAATACTACACATACGTATGTCCACTCGAAATCACTAAAAAAAAAGACTCTGATCACACAAATAAACTTCGGATGCACTTTCACAAAACATGATAACATTTTACACATGGCTTCATAAACACATCGTCCTATACATAACGTACACAGCTTGCTCCGGTGCTCTCTATTGGTAAATAAGTACACTTATGCTAAGCTGTACTAGCACCCCCTTGTGTGTCCACGAATTGAGCTTGAGAGCATTTTGATAGGATCACAAGTCCATAACTGAAGTAACTATAAAGTATGTAGTCATGTACACAACAATACATCTGAGTATATATACAACTCCAAGTACAAAATAACTATCCAGTGCTAGACGTATTCTAGCATCGGAATTATTCACGAATCTGCTCTACGTGACCGCACTTGGAGACCGTCTGTAAGACTGGAGCTCGTGAGGAAATCTCTATACCACTTGGCAGACATCCTTGGAATCCTTTCCTGCGTGTCGAAATCCACTTGGTACAACCCAAACTTGACGGTGTAACCATAAACCCACTCAAAATTGTCCACGATTGACCACGCGAAGTAGCCCCCTACGTTTGCTCCCTTCCTGTAGTAAACATATCCCAACAGACTGAATATGAGCTACTGGACATGAATAGATTGTGCATATATGCATATAAAGTTTAGCAATAATACATCACCTGATTGCTGAAGAGAGATACTTGAGGTAATCATGCATGTAGTTGACTCTTTCGACGTCGTTGATCAAGTCTTCCATGCTGGTATCGCTGTGTTGTGAGTAGCCTAATTAAAATGAAATATCAGGACCCCCATGATCAATAGGAACAAAATGAACACATAAAGCCTACGAACTGCTACTAATTTTTCATATGGTTTACAGTCCAATGCATATCCCAAGTCCAAGACAGTTGCCACTCAGGCACTCACCGTTCTCAGTAATGTAGATAGTTGTGTTTCTATATCTATCATTGACGTACATGACAACCTTTTCCATGGCTTCTGGGACGACAAAGTACCCATGAAGTGCAGTCTACAAGGTCGATCATATCACATATGAGATGCATAAGACTAAGCAAATGTTGCAGAAAGTAATTACAGAAGAAGAGACAAGTAGTTCTTACGGGTTTGCCAATTATTTTGCCGTTTCTTCTACCAATGGCGTATACGAGAGCATTCCCCTCGTAAGTGTCAAGCGTGCACGGAGAATAGATGCAATCCTTTGCGTAAATTGCTGTGTAATGATTTATCCCAATGAAATCAACCTTGTTATTCTGCAGTAGTTTTTTCTCTTCTGGGGTAAACTTTGGCAAATTTGATGATAAGATCTCTCTCATTTCTCTAGGGTAATCACCAAAGAATATTGGATCCAAAAACCTGAAAGCAACATACATATATAAGACATGAGCAACATGACGCTTTCAAAGCTCCCACTTTCGACAATTTGTCGGTAGCTACATAACAAAGGGAAAAATCAATAATTCTACTCTCTGCATACCTGCAAGGCTGCAAAACACAAACACATAGCCTTTGTCACATGTTTGCATTTTTATTTTTATTTTTGCAGGACCGGCTAAGAGTTGCCGGTCTAGTTTTATTAAGTTTAAGGAGAGATGATGCAAACACTGCACAGGGTGCTGTGGTGGTTCTCCGCCGGAGCAGATTGGACGCGATTACAATTACAAATTACAGCCTGCCGGTTTTACCCAAGCTGGCAGCTGAGCAGCAAAAATGAAGAAATCCCTATCTACATCAGGTTGAACTGAGTTTGCATTGTTTTTATCTTTAGAACAAGTAGCATACGTTCTCATTCTTTTTTTCTAAAAAAAAAATCAACACTATTCGTGATCACCGTGCGTAATCATTTGGGGTGCGTTGCATTATTTTTTAAGGGTGTACTTCATTAATTTACGAAGTACGCAAGGTATTATTTTTTCATTATTATTTTGCAGGCTATTCTAGTTGGTGGATTCCGAATCTCTGCTTCGCTCATAAAAAGATTCTGAATTTACATGTGTGCATCACTGAAGAAAGGGGAGCAAAAAGGCAAAGCCATACCAATCCACCTCGAAGGCCAGCGCACGCCGTGCCGCCCGAACATCCTCCGTGGAATTCGTCAGCGGCTCGTACCATTTCACCGCGATCACGATCCCGATCGAGCCGCCTTGCTTTGCCTAGCGCACACACACAAAACAGAACCACCTCTGCATCTCAGACGACACATCGAAAAAAACACTAGCTAGCGTATGTACAGTGCCAGGCAGGAGCTCAGGCGCCTCAGCTAGGGATCGAGCCATCGAGGGTTGGTTGTGTGAAGTGTGTGACCACCTGATAATTCGTCTTGTAGTTGTGGACGGCGGCGGCGTGGGAGAGCAGGATGTTGTGCGCCGCGGCGTACGGCTCCCGGCGCGAGTCGCCACTGCTGCAGTTGCCGAACGGCGGGGAGCAGTGGTTCGGAGGGAACTCTCCCAGAATGTACTGGTGCCTGGTGGACAGGTTCGGCTCGTTGAACGTCGTCCAGAACCTGACCCGATCGCCGAACGCATTGAAGCAGACGTCCGAGTAGTACTCAAACTCCTCCCTGAAAACATGCATATGTACATACACGGGATTAAGCTTAAGCTGAAGCTGAGGCGACAGAACCACAGAAGAGGAAATTAACTTGGCCATGTATGTATACCGGATTGCAGCGCCTAACCAGCCGCCGTACCGGGTCTCCAGTTCGTGCGGAATGTCGAAATGATTCAGAGTCACGAATGGTTGTATGCCTGACGAAAAAGAAAAGAAAAGAAAGGAGCAAATTGTGTTCACACAACTTATAGGGTGGGTGCAAATAGATACAATAACTTGTAAATTATTTATTCCGATACAATAACTTGACTAATTCATGCAAACCTAGGCAAAAATGAACCACACAAATAAAATTGATCTAACATAATACATACTTATATTCCACTATGGGTGGCGTAGTTTCATTAGAATTGCTAGCTTAAAAAAATTTATGTGGTTTAACGCTAGTCAATAATAAAGGATTTGTCCCATACCTTATTTCTCATTTTGATTTACTTTTATTTTACCTTTTTATTACTATTAAACTTATGGTTGTGTGTCTTATGACAGAAACCGGAGATATAATCCATTTCCATTATCTACAAATATAATACATACTTATGTGTAATTATTGTTACACATAAAAAAATTATACTAGCTATATTATTGTTGTTGTTGTTGTTGTTTAGGATTTAGACCAACGAAAAAGCAAAATAACTAAAAATACCCTATCACAAAAATACATTTTCGATGAAATAGATTGTCTGAACATGAAAATTAAAATGATTTTTTAGGAGTTAATTGTACGGATAAAAATTGTCTTGGTCTTGAACATATAAAAAAACATTAGACGAGCTATATAGATGATCAAATTTTCTCAAGAAATGAAATAAATACTCTATCCTGGACATGAAAAATAAACTTTTGCACATCTAATTTATCCTTTTATTTGGATTCGAAATAAGATATCCAAATCATAATCATACGTGTATGCTGCTACGTTATTAGTGTGTGCTAATTTAGATAAATTTTATTTGTGTGGATCATTTAGACCTGGTTCGCACCAACTAGCCAAATTATTATATCAAAGTGAGCAATTTACAAGTTGTTATATCTATTTGCACCAATCACACAAGTTCATATATCATGAGCGTAATTTACTCAAAGAAAAAACATTGCAACAATTCAAGTAGTATTTGTCAAAGATTAGAGTATGAAAATGTGACAACTTAACTCATGTTGTGATATACTCCTTTTGGTCATAAATATTTAACACTTCGTTTTCACGATTTGATTGGATTTTAAAGCTTTGACCATCAATTTTAAATTAAATAATTTTATAAAATTTAATAATATTGTGGTAGTATTTTTGAAGGCAAATCTATAAATATTGTTTGAGTTGTTTTTAAACAGCATATAAGAAATTATTGAATGTCATTTTAAAAGTTTAACCAACATCTTATCTGTGCATTGAATATTTCAGTGTCGAAAGGGTACCTTTCTTTTTTTTCGAACGCACAAGATTGTACGTAATATATTAGCAAGGGGGAGGGTACCTTTCTGAAGGAGTGCGTTGATCAGACGGTTGTAGAAGGCAATTCCTGCTGAATTAACTCCTCCAAGCCGGCCTCCTGCGATGATTCGAGGACAGCTAAGTAAGGAACTGAATGGTCCATAGTCAGGTCAAATTTCAGAACCGACTTAAAACAAGCACTGCATGTACAGTTCTTGAAATACTTGGTAGAATTCTCGCCCACGAAATCGAGAATCTGTAGGAATTGACACCCAAGTTATGCAGGATATCCACATCTTCCTGTTCACAACATCACACATCTATTATATTAATCTATTATATTATTAAAGGAATAGAAAAATAAGCCTCCACATTCGCTCTCATTGCCTAGAAATTCTCACATTAATCGTAGAAAAAGAAAAATCAGAGTCCATATAGAAATACAATTTAGAAATAGCTGAAATTCAGAATTAAAAAATAAGAAATATTAGAAGAGAATACTAGAGTCCATATATAAATACAATTTAGAAATCATTAAAATTCGGAATTAAAAAATAAGGAATATTAGAAGAGGAGACTAGAGTCCATATAGAAATATAATTAGGAAATAACTGAATTTCGGAATTAAAAATAAGGAATATTAGAAATAGAGTATAGAGTTTATATAGAAATACAATTAGGAAATAATATAAATTCGGAATCAAAAATAAGGAATATTAGAAGTAGAGTATAGAGTCCATATAGAAATACAATTAAGAAAAAAATAGAAATTCGGAATTAAAAAAAAAGGAATATTAGAAGTAGAGTATAGAGTCCATATAGGAATTTAAAACTAACTAAAATTCGGAATAAACATAATAAAATTAAAAGTAGAGTTTAGAGTCCGTATAAAAATACAATTTACAAATAACTAAAATTTAAAATTAATAAAAACATGGGAAGAAGAGTTTATAGTTAATATAGGAATACAATTTAGAAGTAACAGAAATTTGAAATTAAAAATTAAAGAATATTGAAAGATGAGTTTAGAGTCCACATAGAAATACAATTAGAAATAATAAAAATTCAGAATTAAAAAAAAGAAATATTAAAAGACGAGTCTAGAGTCTATATAGGAATATATATAATTTACAAATAACTAAAATTTGATATTAAAAATAATTAATAACTAACATGTATATAAAATACAATTTGAATATTACACATTAGTAGTTTCGTAAAGTTATTACAAAATTTAAAATTATGTTGTCATTGTAATATATTTTAATAATATAATGAGAAAACATATATACTATTATATGAGAGAAAATATAATAATGCTAGTTGCGCAATCTGCGCGGGCCACCATACTAGTTATTATAAATCTAACATGCATCACTTGGACATTTATGGGCTGTCTTGTAAAATTTCTCTTGTACCGTGTACCGATGGTAGTGGTCGTCCGCTACGTCCCCATTGCGTCCATCTGAGATTCGTCCAGCTGTGACGAAACAAAACAATTTTGAGAGATAAACAAGAGGATAACTTATATCTAATACTACTTCCTTTTTTTAATATAGGCGCAATTGACTTTTTGAGTTTGGCTATTCATCTTTTCTAAAAATATGTGTAAACGTAGAGGCGTGTTTAAAGTATTTTTTTAGGAAGATCTAGTGGTACTCTAATCACTTTACTTAATAACTAAGTAATTAAATAAATATTGTTGGCCAATGTTTGAAAAAACAGTCATCTATATGATATATTGAAAAATTATGGTAGAATGTGCATCTGTGCTTGAGGGATAGCAATTTTGTAAATAAACCTCTCATGCATGTAATCTTCCAAAACGAGATCCACTCCTTGTTTTAGAAGCAAATGGAACACACTAGTATTATCACTAGTTACAAAATTTATTTTACTATCACTAATTGAGGTGGTATTATAATAGGTACGGTTCATTGGATTAGAAAAGGTGATCAGTGTAGATTGATTGTAAAAGTGTAAAACACTTTCCCGTAAAAATGATCGGAGAAAGATAAGAACAGTGATCATTTTCCTAGTAAAACACTTCATAGGAACAGAACACAGATGTGTCATCAGAAGCTAAGATGTTGCCTTCTCTGTAAAGCAGTAGCCAAGGAAAAATACAAGCATGCTGTAAAAGAAGAGGAAAAGCACAAGTATATTTGCTGGCCTATTGAATGACAACCAAGGAGTGAGTTCGGGAGGTATTGTTAGGAACTTCATCTTCTCGTACGTAAAACGGTGTTGCTCATTAATATATAATTAATTAATTATTAGTTTAAAAACTTAAAAAATAGATTAATATAGTTTTTAAAACAACTTTTCCATAATTATTTTTTAAAAACGTACCGTTTAGCAGTTTAAAAAGTGTGCACGTGAAAAAAGAAAGATGTGAGTTAGAAAAGAAGGGGGAGAACAGCTGAAGTGGATAGCGCCCCTTGAATGTCACTATACCAACGACTACGAATCGCTCAAAGTTTAATTGTAGTAAGAAACACTAGTTTTAAGTCCCATTTCTGTTTTTTTTACAACTTATCCTGTTAGGAATTTGCCATTTTCCAATAGTTAACTACTCATCCTGATGGGCTGATGATTGCAAATTGGCTAGTATTCCCTCAGTTGAAAAAAACGAATCTGAATAGAAGCCTGCCCAGATTTGTTATATTAAGATATATCATATCTATTTCTAGTTGAAAAAAACGAATCTGAATAGAAGCCTGCCCAGATTTGTTATATTAAGATATATCATATCTATTTCTAGGTTTTTTTTACGAAGGAAGTATATAGGGAGGAATCTTTGGCAGTAGTCTTTTTTTCCTTTTCATTGAATGCTAGGAAAAGTTGGATGCCATTCGAACAGGTAGATAATATGTATGTCTCATTTTAATTAAGTGTAGTTGTGTATTTTTATATTGAAAGTTTGATTGTCCATCTTATTTGAAAAATTTATAAAATTTTTAAAAAAGTCACGCATAAATTAATATTTATCTTTTATCATATAATAATAATAAAAATACTAATCATAAAAAAAATTTAAATAATTTTAAATAAGACGGACGATTAAACGTTAGATAAAAAACCACAAGTACACTTAAAATGAAATGCTCCTTCAAATATTGGATGTTGGTTAATTTAATTTTAAGGTGACAAATATTAAAGAAAAAAAATAGAGAGTACTATGGAACGGAAGGGAAGGGAGTGGAATGTTGGATGTTGCTTTTCATGTAGAATGATCAGTAAAAAAGGGTGAGAAATCTCAACTACACTGCGTGTGTGAAAACCTGAAGACGCCAATTACTACACTGTTTGGATTAAGACATCTTCAAACTACAGATGACCATACTCTTGTCTTGTTTTTATTTTTCTCTTGTGAGAACTGGCAATGCTCTTGTCCAGGATAAGGTACGCACCTTCAGTCAAGGACAGCAAGTGACTGTGAAGAATTACGCATGATTCGTTATTCCAAGGCTACCGAGAGGAAAAGATGCCTCCTTGCATATGTTGGCAGTGACATGCAGACCAACTTTTGGACACAGTGAAACTGACACATGATACGGGCATACATCTCGAATGGAAGCACTAACCACAGTTTATATTCTTTCAAAAAAAATGCTCTCTTTTGAAAAGTACTAGTACTCCTGATTGGAGAAGAAGAATTAAGAAGGGAGAAGGAGAATCTGAGTTCAGTGTAGCCGGTGATAGACGACCCTAGGGATGTGGTTGGCATGAGAAAAAAAAGTTATTAGTATATAGTTAATTAAATTAATTATTCTAAACTTAAAAAATAATAAATATAATTTTTAAAAGCAATTAAGGCAACTTGTCTATAATTTTTATAAAAAAAACAGTTTAAGCACTTTGGCACGTGAGAAATATGTTTTTCTTTTACTCAACCCACTCCTAAAGAACGCAACATTTTCTTATTCTATTTTCTATCCTTAGATTTAGAAAATTTTGGCAAAAAATCATATCCAACAGAATCCTTAACCTGTCTCTCAACAATAATACAGGTTCCTAACTCTAGATATCTTCTTCCCCACTTTAAGAGAGCGATTTTTTTCCCAATCGCTCTCTCGAGCGAGATGAAAGAGGAGCTGGCCATCCGGCGCACGTATAGGGGAGGAGCAGAAAATGTAATATTCTCTGCTAGTAGTTAAAGGGAGGGACCATTTTTTATTATAGGAAATCAATTTTAGGCTATCAAGGATTAGTTTTCTCACTTCCTATATTCAATTTCTTGCATTCAGTTTAGGAGAAAAATATATAGTTTTAGGAACTGATTATTGTTAATCTGTTGGTGACCTCTTACCCTGCGTGTGGGTGAAGACATCCCAATTGTTGAGCCCCTTGTTGTCGTCCAAGTATGCGCCCTCAATCTGGCAGCAGCAGAAAACGGAATACATGTCATTCACAGCCAGGAACGAATGAACGATCGAGAAGGAAAGGCAAGCTCCACACCCACCCTCCATGTGAGCAGCCCATGATCGACCAACCCACCTGGTAAGCGGACGTCGCGGCGCCGAAGAGGAACCCCGGCGGGAAGTCGTCTCGGCGGAGCCCGCGCGCGGCCGGCGCGAGAACCGCCAGCGCCAAGACCACCACCACCACCGCAATGCGCGTCGCCGCCGCCACGGCCATCTCGACCGATCCACCCACTACAGCACGTACTACTCGTTCTCTCACTCGTTTAGCTCGAGCACTGCTCTCGCTACTCTCTGCGCTGCCTTAATTTATACTACTACCACGAGCACGGAGCGCCCGCGCCCACCACACTCAATTCGCCCAAGTTCTCGTCTCGCCTCGTGTCGCACGAACGGGAAAAAGGATCGAAGCGCTCTCGGTGGAGAGAGAAGGCGTACGGTACGTCGATACGTGTGTGGATGCACGTGGTTACGTGGGAGTGCAGACACCGTGACCGCATGCAACCGGAGAAAGCGACCCCACGGCCATGGGACCATGGGGTCCGTGGCCGGCCGGGTGGGTGATAGTTCGTCATTGGGCAGGTGAACACGGCACGTAATAAGAAGTTTAATAGTATAGTCAACTATTAGCTCTAATTTATCTATAATCAATCTACTAGCTTATTCATACAATAGTTATATACTCTTTCCTTACTCATAAAAGAAGTCGTTTAGGACAATGTTTAAGTCAAACCTTAAGAATATAAATCATGAATAACTCTCAAGTTGTTGAGTTTGAAAATGTAAAAATTATATGAATAGATTTGTCTTGAAAAATCCTTTCATAAAAGTATACATACATCACTTTTTAATAAATATTTTTATAGAAATAAGAAGTCAAAGTTATGTTTTGGAGACCGTGTCGCTGTCCTAAACGACTTCCTTTACTAGTACGGAGGGAGTATTACCTCCGTACCAAAATAAGTGCAGCCGTAGGAATCCGTGTCCAACGTTTGACCGTCCGTCTTATTTAAAAAAAATATGAAAATATTTTAAAAAATTAGTCACACATAAACTATTATTCATATTTTATCATCCACTAACAATAAAAATACCAATCATATAAAATTTCTAAATAAGACGAACGGTCAAACGTTGGACATGAATAGTGTAAAACTGCATTTATTTTAGGACGGAGAGAGTACTACATTATTAATACATGATCGCACCTGTCATACATACACTGCGTCTTAAAATTCGTGCTGCAGCTGGCTACAAATATGTAGCCCGCTGCTCTTCTCTCTCCTTATTTATCTTCTTAAAATATATTTATAGCTAACTTATAGCCTGCTATTGTAGCTGCTCTAAACCGTCCTCACATGTTCACAGCAAGTCGAGTGACTCATCGCCGTGGCAAATCAAGTTTAGCTCATCATTCGCGGTGTCTGAAACTCTCAAAGTTACAGCGTGGTCGACAGCGTCGCCGGCCGCGGCGAGGCACTAAAACCCAGCCATGTCGCGGTCAAGCTCTATTCTCGATTGGCCTGGGTTTCTATGCCCACAAGCTGGATGGATGGTTCACTGGTCCTCCCTCCGAAAAAAAAAAGACAAACCCTGAATTTTCGTGTCCAACGTTTGACTGTCCATCTTATAATTGTTTTATAATTAGTATTTTCATTGTTGTTAAATGATAAAATATGATTAATACTTTATGCGTGACTTGTCTTTTTAATTTTTTTCATAATTTTTTTAAATAAGACGGACGATCAAACGTTGGACACGAAAACCCAGGGTTTGTCTTTTTTTTTTGGACGGAGGGATTAGGTAGGAGTAGAAAAGTAATTAAGCGGCAATATTTGAGAGCAAGTTTAATAATATAGCTAACTACTGGCTTTAAATTATCTATAGCCAATATAACAGTTCATTCATACAATTGTTATATACTATACTATTAATATCTAATCTCACATGTCATACACACTGCGTTTTGAAGTCTGCACTATAGCTGGCTACAAATCTGTAGCCCCCTATTTTTCTCTCTCCTCATTTATTCTTTAAAATATGTTTGCAGCTGGCTTATAGTCTACTATTGTATCTGCTAGGTTTGTGTATGTGGTCCGGAGGATGACACGACATGTTTGGCGCTGTAACCCAGAAGATCGGTCAGGGCCCAATAGTGAAAGCAGCAGTCGGCGGTAGTACATGTTCAGGTCATGTAAAGTTAATACTGTAGATTGAAGTATAAAGATTGGCTCTAGATTGGTTTTACGGAATTAGTTCACACCAAAATTAAAAGTTTGGTTGAAATTGAAACGATGTGACAGAAAAATTGGAAGTTTGTGTGTATGAAAGTTTTGATGTAATGGGAAAATTGGAAGTTTGAAGAAAAAGTTTAAAACTAAACAAGGGCTAGGTTTAATTGTTGCATGTACAAGTGATCAAAACTAAACTCCATCTCTGTAGCCCATCCTGCTTGAGCGTGAAACTAAACTATGCTTGAAACCACACAGTATGCATATGCACATAAGATCAAGTAACTGCACTATAGACCCACAAAGTGAATAAAATATTCCATCTTACCTAATTTACCGTGCTATCGTCCGGCGCTTGCAGAAGCGCTCGCTTCACTCTCTCTCACGTTTTCTCCCTTCTCCACGTATGATAATGCTGATGTGGTGGTTCTTATCGCCGGCTGAGTCAACACTATTATACCTGCTGAGCAAGTTTAATAGTGCAGCCCGTTATCGGCTCTAGTTTCATACACATCATTTGCAGATAATATAAGAGCCAATCAATACAATAAGCGTTGGCCCATCTGCTATAAAACAAATTTACTTTATTATATATAGGACCCGCCATTTCAGCCTTTTACTCTCAGCAAGCTAGCCTAACTAGCGGCCGTTTTACACACTCTCTCTACTTTTTTATCTTCTACGTATGATATAGCCAGCGTATGGGTACCTATTGTACCTGCTCCGATCAAATCATATCACGACGATTTATTACGTGGTTGTTGTTTCTTGTGATGCACAACTACTCAAGGCCTCCTTCAATCAAACGTGCGATAAAATGCACGGCCCAACCGCGAGCTGTCACGCCCCGAACTAGTCCCGACCGGAACTAGCCCGTGACACTCCAAATTAACCTGTTAATCGATACCAGTCCCAGAAAATAGTGCTGGTATCACAGGAAGACAGAATATCACAGCAACAGAGGTCTCTTTATTATAGAGTAGAGGTACAGTCATGTTGGGCTGCGGACAAATCCCGAGCTCACAACTGCATTACAAAAGGGAAACGGAAGCCAGGACTTGGACCAATCAACACAGGCGCGACTTGGGAACTAGGCCGAAACCCTAAAACTCATCGTAGCTGGCTTGCTCCTGGAAGAACTCCTCATCAACAGGATTCGCTTCATCTTCTTCAGCAACTGAGGGGGGGGGGGGATATTTATATAGAGCAAGGGTGAGTATGGGAGTACTCAGCAAGCCATGGGAATTAAGTGTTTAATGCAGGCTTCAAGGAAAGGCTGTTGTTTTTGCAATTGATTTTATTTGAACTCTTTTCTGAAAGCAACTAAGTGAGTGCTTCTCAAACGACACGATTGAGACAGTGCGTCTCGTCCGGTCGGAGTTTGTGCAATGTATCAGTCTTTAGAATTGATCAAGATTGGCACCCGGCCAACAACTTTCGAACGGCCACCCGGGCCAACAACTTTCAAACGGCCACCTAGGCCTAGCTGATCCCGTCAGCTGCTGATTTTTCAAACATCGAACCCCTTTCCACAACAGCAATTTCACAAGCAGTTGTCAAACAAAACTACGCTAGGAATCACCTCACATCCGCCCATGACCGTGGGCACGACTGTTCGAACAGTTTGTTAACCTCTGCAGAGGGGGTACACTTTACCCACACGACATTACTAACCCGGATCACCCAGCCCGTGGGGATCAGCCACGTCGGGAGACCTCCAAGCTTTCATGACAAGGCATTTCCAAAGCCGACACAGGTTTACCATATGCCGACGAGAGGGGTCCCAGACCAACAACAGGTTAGGTCCCAGACCATACTGTGCCAGGAAGCCCAGGGTCCTCCCCGACACCACCCCGGCGAATCCACATGTCTCTCGGCATCAAGGCTCCCCTGATAAGCTAGTTACTCAGCCAGGGGTGTCCCATTCCACCCATGTGGTCGTACTTGTCTTATGTTCGGATGAAATTCCAAGGAAACGGTCCTTAAGTGCGAGAGCGGAAAACCGTACACCCGGTACGTTCCCCGGTCCGCGGTTTTGGAAATTCATTTAGTTCGTAAGCACCGACCCAGGTGTCGGGTTTTCCAAGTCTTTTATAAACCCAAGTTTTACCCAAGTTGTTTTTCAGATTTTAAGTTTGAAGGCGTCCGTCGATACTCGCACAGGGTGCACGAATATCGTGACGCAACTAGATGGTTACAAGGGGACACGATATAACAATTAGCAAAGGGAGGATCAATGCAACAAATTAGGTGGGTCCGCCAATCTGCCTTGCAGACGGGACAACAGATTAAGTGCGATCCTATCAATGCATAATAATTTTTCAAGCAACATAATTAAATTCAAATATAGGCTCAAGATGTTCAAAGGTGGCTTGCCTTGCTCGAGATCTGGAGCTTGATCCTCGAAATCCTCGCACTGCGGGTCTTCGGGCTCCGAAACTACACGCGAAACGGGACAACTCAACAAACAGCGAAAATAAAGCCCTATTAATGACCTCTAAGCGTGCCATTAGATAGATCTCGAGATTTGAGGAATTTTGGAAGTTGAACGGAGTCAAACGGATTTACGGTTGGGAAGATATTGAATTTCTAAGATTATTGGATTTTTGGTCTAAAGGAAAAAGGATTTAATTAAATCCTTTTGGAAAAGAAAAGAAGAGGGAGGGAAAATAGACTTTTCTCGGACGGCTAGGGCGCGGCCCGAGAGAAAGGGCGGCTCGGCCGAGCTTAACGGGCCGGCCGGCCCAAGAAGGCGGCCCAGAGCGGCCCAAGACGCGCGCGCGCGGGAGGGAGGAGAGAGAGAGCCGGTGGACCGGGCTCACCACGCGTGGTCCCGGGTGGGACCCGCTTGTCAGCGGCTCGGCTCACCGTGCGGAGGGAGCACGCGGCGCGGCGCTAGGGTGGGGGAGGGACGCGGTGCACGCGCGCGGTTCGCGGTGGACGCGGATGCAGCGGGCCCACGCGCAGCCTTACGGCTCACAGTGGAACGCGCGCACGGGAGGGGCTGACCGGGGTCGGCCCGTCCCGACCTCGGCTGAGCTGGCGCCGACGTGGCGCCTACGTGGCTGCCACGCGGGCCGGCGGGAGGTAGACGATGACGCCGGCCGGAACGGACGGCGGACAACAGCGGCGAGCGGCGGAGCGAACCACGGCGATACCGGCGAAAGCGAGCACACCGGGTGGTTGCACGAGACGAGGGGAGACGAGCCAACGGCTCGGATTCGCCGGAGGAAGCTTGACGGCGGCGAATCGCGGCGGCGGCAACCGGCGGGGAGGGAAGAGGGAAACGGCGACGAGGTCACGAGGGGCCGATTCCCGGCGGTGAGAGCATCTACGCGGCCACGGGAATCCGATGCTAGCGTCGGATTGGGCGGAGCTACGACGAGCGAGGCTGGCGACGAGCGGGTGCTACGGAGATCGGGCGGCGACGGCGGCGAGCACACGGCGAGCGACGGCAATGGTCGGGGCGGCGCCGGCTAGCTACGGGGAGGCTACTCGTGCTACCACCGAGAACTAAGGGGGGGATGGAGCGCGGAGGAAGAACGGAGGGAGGCACTACCGTGCGGGCGGGATGCAGTGACGAGAGGCCGACGGCGGGGGAGTAATCTCTCCGGCCTTGGGCCGGGGAAGAGGAAGGAGAGGGCGCGCCCGGAGTCCCCTTCCACGTCCTTGCTCGTGCCGGCTCCTCCGACATGCGCAACGACGAACGGCGACGGCGAACAGAGCACGGGGGCGGCGGCAATGGCGCGGAGGCGAATGGGAGAGGAAGGAAAAGGGGGAGGCTGGGGTTTAAATGGGCGGCAATGTCGGTTTGGGAACCGACTTAGGGCGGTCAAAGGAGAGGGCTGGCGCTCGGCGGTCGCGGCCCAAGCGGCGACAGGGAGGAGGGAGGAGGATGACGCCGGCGGGAGGGAAAAAGGGGAAAAGAGGGAGAGAAAAGGGGGCTTGTCCCCTTGCCTCTTCGGGAAAAGGAGGAGGGAGCGGAGGCGGGGCGGCAGAGGGAGGAGGGAGGCTCTGCCTCCGTCCCTTGGCGGCTTGCGCGCGGAGAGGCGGGGCCGAGGCGATGACGACGGTGATGACGGCGGGGCGGTTTGGAGCGGAGCGGCGACACGGGCGACAGGCGCGGGCAGGCGCTGATGACGGCGGCAACCAGGCGGTCGGCCACCACGGCGCGCGCGCGCGGGGAACAACGGGCGACACGGCTGGGCACGCGCGCTGGCTCGCGGGGCCGAGCGGCTGCGCGGCTGCAGGCGCGACAGGGCAGCGGGACCGGGCGGCGCAGACGCGACGCGGGCGAGGACCACGCGGGCGCGCGGGGAGCGTCATCGAGGGGGCGGAAAGGAGGGCTCGGCTCGGCGCGGGCGGCTCACGCGCACGCGCGCGCGGCACGCGGGCGGGGCGGAGCGGAGCGGAGGGAGAGGGAGCGTGCCGGGGAGGGGAGGGGGCGAGAGAGAGAGAGAGAGAGCGGGAGCGCGCCGGGGGAGGGGAGGGGGAGATGGGCCGAGCGAGATTCGGCCCATCGACCCCGGAGGAGGCAAAATAGACTTTTACGGAGGAAATTGATTTGGAAGGATTTGGGTTCGGAATTGAACTCGACGATGGATCGGGGATTTGAGATCTTGAGATGGCACGGACACTAGACGACAAGCGAAGAAACAAATTTCGCAAATAGGGTTTTTAGGAGAAAATTTTCCCGCTAGGCGCCACGACGGAACGGGCGCTACACATACTTTCAGTACTCATAAACTACAACGTGCAACATGTGAGTAGGATTAAATTAGAGGAACGATTATTGATCACTGACAAGTTGTCTCTAAGGTTGGAGCTTTGAAGGTGTCCTTTTGGTCCGTGGATCTAGAAATTTAATAGATAGAAAAAAAAAGACATGGTCACAAAAACTATAGTGCCTATAGTATTCCATATCTATAGTAAGTCATACCAAGCGCTATTCTCTTATTAAGAAGAAATAGGCACTATATATATTCGGATCAGTATGTCATACAAGTCTAATATATACGACGGTCCCTATTACTCCTTAAATCAAATTGATACCGAGTTTCTTAAGTATTCCATATCTTCTATTTATGAGAACTAATTTATGATACCTACTACAAGATTATATCCATTCCGTTATGTTTGTGTTTTCCACTATTAAGAATATATTACACATTCAATTCGAATGCATTTTTTTACAGTTTTAATGTGTTACTTTCAGGTTTCTGGATCCAATATTCTTTGGTGAATACCCTAGAGAAATGAGAGAGATCCTCTCATCAAACTTACCAAAGTTTACACCAGAAGAAAAGAAGTTGTTGCAAAACAAGGTGGATTTCATTGGGATAAATCAATACACAGCAATTTACGCAAAGGATTGCATCTATTCTCCGTGCGCACTTAACACATATGAGGGGAATGCTCTCGTCTACACCACCGGTGTAAGAAACGGTGCAAAAATCGGGAAACCTGTAAGAACTAGTACTTCTCTACTTTTTTATGTCCCTACTTGATCTTCAATCAACTTTGTCCAATATTTGTTTGGTTTCTATGTATCTCATATTTGAATATGTGATATGATCGACCTTGCAGACTGCATTTTCAACGTATTTTGTTGTCCCAGAAAGCATAGAGTCGGCTGTCATGTACGTCAATGGTAGATATAAGGACACAACAATCTACATTACAGAAAACGGTGAGTAGTGATATGCATTGGACTCAACCCCCTGAAGATCCAGTTGCAAGTTCATATGGCTTTATGCGTCTATTCCGTCCCCATCACTTATCATGGATTCATGGGTCATGGTATTTGCTTTCAGGCTACTCACAACATAGCGATACCAACATGGAAGATTTGATCAATGACGTTGAAAGGGTCAACTACCTGCAAGGTTACCTCAAGTATCTTTCCTCGGCGGTCAGGTGATGTATTATTGCTGAACTTTGTATTGCATATGCATGTAAAATACATTCGTGTTTGCTGCAAGGTGTATTTGTGCTTTCCTGCTCACATGAAAGATCCGCCTGTTGGCACATGCTAAACTGCAGGAAGGGAGCAAATGTAGGGGGGTACTTCATGTGGTCACTCATCGATAATTTTGAGTGGGTATTCGGTTACACCATCAAGTTTGGGCTGTACCATGTGGATTTTGACACGCAGGAGAGGATTCCCAAGATGTCTGCCAAGTGGTATAGAGATTTCCTCACGGGCTCCAATGTAACAGACGATACCCAAGTGTGGTCACGTAGAGCAGATTCTTGAATATTCCGATACAAGTAGCTATACTACACCGGGGAACTGTTTTAACAGCTCGAGTGGATGTCCACCCATTTATTGCATGTCATCTAAATGGTTATAAAAAATTTTGAAAAAGTATAAACAAAATATATCAATATGTAATATATCACTCCACAAACATGCAAGTTAAAATTCAACTTCTACAAATTGTAACAAAAATAACAAACAAGACTTAAATTAATATATGTATATTTACAGTTAAATTTATTATTTTTCTTACAACTTATAGAAGTTTAATTTGAACTTACATGTTTGTGGAGTGATATATTATATATTGATCTATCTTGTCAATTTTTTTAAAATATTTCACATCCATTTAGTTGACATACAATAAACAGGTGGACGTCTACTCGAGCTATTAGATTCCAGTTCTCGACTTCCAGTCAATACATCTAGCACTGGATAGTAGTTTTATACTTGTTTAGAGTTGTAGACCCGCTTGTGTTGAAATGTAAAATTGGGGATATTGTAGTGCACACTAATACACTATTGCACTACTGTACAGTTACTTCAGTTATGAACTTGTGCTTTAATCAAAACTAGCATATATATTTTCTCTCATATAATAGCATATAGTATGTTTTCTCATTATATTATTCAAATATATTAAAATGACAACATAATTTTAAATTTTGCAATAACTTTACAAAACTACTAATATGTAATATTCATATTGTATTTTATATACGTGTTAGTTATTAATTATTTTTTATATCAAATTTTAGTTATTTGTAAATTATATATATTGACTAGTTTTTCAATATTTATTTTTTTTAATTCCGAATTTTCTGTAAATTGTATTTCTATATAGACTCTATACTCTTATTCCAATATTATTTATTTTTATTTCTGAATTTTTATTATTTCTAATTATATTTCTATGTGGACTTTAAACTAATTTTTAATTTCGAATTTCAGTTACTTTTAAATTGTATTCCTATATTGACTTTAAACTCTTCTTCCCATGTTTTTCTTAATTTCGAATTTTAGTTATTTGTAAATTGTATTTTTATACGGACTCTACACTCTACTTTTAATTTTATTATGTTTATTCCAAATTTTAGTTAGTTTTAAATTCCCATATGGACTCTATACTCTACTTCTAATACTCCTTATTTTTTAATTCTGAATTTCTATTTTTTTCTTAATTGTATTTCTATATAGACTCTATACTCTACTTCTAATATTCCTTATTTTTAATTCCGAATTTCAGTTATTTCCTAATTGTATTTCTATATGGACTCTATACTCTACTTCTAATATTCCTTATTTTTAATTCCGAATTTCAGTTATTTCCTAATTGTATTTCTATATGGACTCTATACTCTACTTTTAATATTCCTTATTTTTAATTCCGAATTTCAGTTATTTTCTAATTGTATTTCTATATGGACTTATTTTTAATTCCAAATTTCAGTTATTTCCTAATTGTATTTCTATATGGACTCTATACTCTACTTCTAATATTCCTTATTTTTAATTCCGAATTTCAGTTATTTTCTAATTGTATTTCTATATGGACTCTATTCTCCTCTTCTAATATTCCTTTTTTTTAATTCCGAATTTCAGTTATTATTTCTAAATAGTATTTCTATATGGACTCTATACTCTATTTCTAATATTCCTTATTTTAATTCCGAATTTCAGTTATTTCCTATTTGTATTTATATATGGACTCTATAATCTACTTCTAATATTCCTTATTTTTAATTCCGAATTTAAGTTATTTTCTAATTGTATTTCTATATGGACTCTAGTCCACTCTTCTAATATTCCTTATTTTTTAATTCCGAATTTCAACTATTTCTAAATTGTATTTCTATATGTACTCTAGTCCCCTCTTCTAATATTTCTTATTTTTTAATTCCGAATTTCAGGTATTTCTAAATTGTATTTCTATATGAACTCTGCTTTTTCTTTTTCTCCTATTAATATGAGAATTTCTAGGCCATGAGAGCGAACGTGGAGGTTCCTTTTTCTATTCATTTAATAATATAATAGATGCTTTAGTTCCACCATGTGAATGCATGAAGACAAGTCGGTGGCCTAGACTATCTTGGAGCAGCAACCGTGGTAAAAAAAACTGACACTTGTTACTGCGTGTGTGATTCATAAACCCCCGATTACTCTGTTAGCATTAGCACATGGTGTGATTTAATTTGGGCCTGTTTGATCAATGCTAAAATATGCCTAGTTTAAATAGTAAATGTGGTGGTTTGGTTGAAGCCAAATGGTTGGTAATGCCACAGTCAACTCGACATAATTCAAGAACTATTTTTATCATAATATAAAGTCAGCTCTCAATTATTATCAATTCAAACACATTCATTTTCTTCAATGCTACCTCACAAAACATTGGTAATACCAAAAATTAACAAGATAATATTATGGTATGATACTAAACCAAACAAGTTCTTTTTTTTCCAAATGATGTCCAAAGGATCAAAGATTAATCGACTTGTATCCAGAAAAACATAATCAAGGATAATAGTCAACAGAATTTAAATCTCTAATGCTAAAGAATCTATGTTTATTCCTTTGATAAATTTCGTTTGTTCCTTAAGGAGGTTGGGGGTAGGAGGCCCCCTAACGACCAATTGCGCGGGCTGGGCCGCAATGGGCTGCCACAGTGGCATGCAGAAAATAAAAAGGAAAAAAGTACACCAAAGATCCCTCAACTTGTCATTAAGTTTCAAAATCGTCATTGAACCGCAAAACCGGATACGACCCATCCCTCAACTTACAGAACCAGTGCAAATTAGGTTACTTAGCGGTTTTGACTCCGGTTTTGTCCGAGGTGGTATCTGACTCAGCGTGAGACCCACGTGGGCCCCACACGTCAGCCTATTCTTCCTCTCTTCCTCTCACCTATCTTCTCCACAGGCGGCGGCCAGCGGGCGCATGTGAGCGGTGGAGCGGCGCGCGGGCGGGTTCGATTGGTCGTCGGTGTTGGAGGCGGTGCGGGCGAGCAACGACACCCGCGTCACCGAGGCCCTCCGCGACTGTCGGATGCTGCTCGACGACTGCCGCGAGATCTCCAGCAACACCATCGCCATCATCCAGCAGGGCGCCGCCTTCGCCGCCATGCTCGACCTCCACGCCATCGAGAGCCACGCCGGCGGCAGCGAGGTCGACGTCGAGGATGACATCTAGCAGTAGCACCACGTGGACCGCCACCTCGAGGGGTCAGTACCCGTCCCGCCGTGGGTGTCCGACGAGGACTGGAGGATGCTCACCAGCGGCGAGGAATTCGTTGTCGGGCTGACACCGAACGTGACAGTGGCCAACGACGGCAGCGGCGACTTCACCAACATCTCGGCGGCGCTGGACGCCCTGCCGGAGACGTACACCGGGAAGTACATCATCTACGTGAAGGAACGCGTCTACGACGAGACGGTGAATTGAACGTCACCAGCCGAATGGCCAACATCACCATGTACGGCGATTGCTCCAAGAAATCCATCATCACCGGCAGCAAGAACATCGCCGACGGCGTCAGGATATGGAAGACAGCCACCTTCGGTACGCCACCGTACACCGCCATTGACTCATCCATTCATGCATTGACATGGACATTGACATCGGTGTTGCTGGTGCAGCGGTGGACAGCGACCGGTTCACGGCGATGAGGCTGGGGATACGGAACACGGCGGGGGAGGAGAAGCAGCAGACGTTGGCGCTACGGGTGAAGGCGGACAAGAGCATCTTTTTCAACTGCCGGATCGAGGGGAACCAGGACACGCTGTTCGCGCAGGCCTACCGCCAGTTCTACCGGAGCTGCGTCATCCTCGTCAAGCCTTCGCTCCCGGGAAAACCCACCGTGGTGACTGCGCACGGGCGTCGCGACCGGCAACAGACCACGGGGTTCGTGGTGCACCACAGCCAGGTGGTGGCCGCTGCACCGCCCGCCGCCTTCGCCCGCCCGCGCGCCGCTCGCCTGCGCCCACCGGGCGCCGCCCGTGGAGAAGATAGGTGAGAGGAAGAATAGGCTGATGTGTAGGGGCCACGTGGATCCCACACTAAGTCAGCTGCCACATCGGATAAAACCGGAATCAAAACCGCTAAGGGATTTAGTTTGCACTGGTTTTGTTAGTTGGGGGATGCGTCGTATCGGTTTTGCGGTTTAAGGACGATTTTGTAACTCGATGACAAGTTGAGGGAGACATGAAAAAACATTCAATTTAACCTCCTTAAGTTAAGGCTTTAACTAGTGATGGGCCCTTCTAATGGGCGATCGATCGCCAGCGATCACGCTGGGCGATCAGTTCCCCCCCCTTCCCCTCCCCCCTCTATACTCCTCCCTCTTCTCCCTCCTTCCTCCTCCCCTTCTTCTCTTCCTATTACAGTACACCACACAAATTTTTTTAAAAAAACAAAAAGTTAGAAAAATTTATGTATAGAAATACTATATAAAAAAAATTTGAATTCAAATTCAAATTTGAATCGGGTATATAAACTTTTGTTTTATAAATTTTGGGTCTATAAACTTTAGGTGTATAAACTTTTAGATGTATAAAAATACTATATATAGAAAATATTTGAATTCAAATTTGAATTTGAATTCAAATTGTGTAAACTTTTGACTTATAAACTTTGGGTCTATAAACTTTAGGTGTATAAACTTTAGATGTATAGAAATATTATATATAGAAAATATTTGAATTCAAATTCAAATTTGAATCAGATATAATTCAAATTCAAATTTGAAACGGGTATGTAAACTTTTGACTTATAAACTTTAGGTTTATAAACTTTAGATGTATAGAAATACTATATATAAAAAAATATTTGAATTCAAATTCAAATTTGAATCGGATATATAAACTTTTGACTTATAAACTTTTGGTCTCTAAACTTTAGATGTGTAAACTTGAGGTGTATAAACTTTATGTGTATAAACTTTATGTGTATAAATTTACTAAAATAAAAAAATAATGCGGTGCCAAAAAAAAAAAGAAACCATGTGGAGGGGTGGAGGGAGGGAGGGGGGAGAGAATCGATCGCTACCCTATCCCCATAGCGATCGCCCATCAGCGTTCCTGACTAGTGATCGGATCTTATTTGTACATCTTAAACGTATAAAACGGGATATATTGATCTCTTGACTGTGTAAAACAACTTCACGTGACAGCCTAGGCATACGGCCCATATGCTGGCCTTGTTGACATATTGCGACTGTTAGACCCCCCCAACGACGTATGGTGCTCTGCACGGGCTGGGCTGCGGTGGGCTGTGATAGTTCCATGCAATGCCACGTACTCCTCGCTACCTGCTGGGCTACACAGCAAAACATCATCGGCTTCCGCCCTTGCACACTCTTCGGTGGGGTGGTGACGCGCGCCAGTCGGCAGATCACCGGGCCGCGCGCGGTAACGTGGCACCACATCCTGCTCCTCGCCGATCGTCCTTGTAGGCTACAGCGTTCGGTGGGAGGTGACGCTGACGCAGCGCAATCGCCATATCACCGGGCCGCGCGCGGTAACGTCGTAGGCGACATCGTTCTCTGTCTGTCCCGCACTCCCGCCTTTTGCCAAAGCGGCCCGCGACGCGACACAGCGGAGAGGTGCAACTCTGCCATCGTCGTCGCTTCTCAAGGTTTATCAATATCTCTCTCTCGGCGCGTATAGCCGTCGCGCGGAGGGACGAGCCAAGGCCACGCCGCATCCACAGATCGAGAATCGCGACGGGGAGAGGCGAGGCACCGTGTGGGCCGCCGGGAAGACGCACGCACGAGATGGCGGCGGCGTGGCTCGTGGTGCTCCTCACCGTGCACCGGCTCCTCCACCTCTCCGGCGTCTCGGCCGTCGACCGCAGCCAGTTCCCGCCGGACTTCCTCTTTGGGACCTCTTCTTCTGCTTACCAGGCACGACGGCGGAATCCCCACTCGACCATGCTGCATAACAAGTCTCTTTCTGAACTCTGCTTCTTCAGGTTGAAGGCGGATATTTGGAGGGTAACAAAGGTCTCAGCAACTGGGATGTCTTCACTCATAAGCAAGGTAAATAAAGCATGAAACTTCAATGTGTTTCCTTTCGTTTGTGCTTATTTCTGTTCCCTTTCTTCCCCACTATACAATTACTTTTTTTTTTCGAGAACATGTGGCTATGAACTTGCGATTATATCTTTGTTCACTCATCCTATATGGTTTTAGGTACAATTGAGGATGGAAGCAATGGCGATACAGCTAATGACCACTATCACCGTTACATGGTAACATCTCAAAAGAACCGCAAATTGCAAGATTCTTTCAGGAAAACAAAAGGAACTGCGAGGAATTATTCACGGATAATTATTCTGTAGAATGAACTTAATACTACTTATAGAGATATTCTAATGAATCTTTCTATCTGTTTAACTGCCTGATACTGAAAAATCTCTGCTCCAGGAAGATATTGAGTTGATGCACTCCTTGGGTGTCAACTCGTACAGGTTCTCCATATCATGGGCAAGGATTCTACCAAGTGAGCTTAACGATTCAGCTTATATACAATTGGAACAAACGATGTATTAAAAAAAATTCTTGTCGCTCAGAGGGTCGGTTTGGAGATGTTAATCCGGATGGTGTAGCATTCTACAACGCCCTTATTGATGGTCTTGTACAGAAAGGTATTTAAATAATATTACAAAAATCATATGTTACAAGCTAGAACAAAATTTTGAGGGAGACTAAACATAAGAGTTGTTAACTGGATATGTAACCAGGAATACAGCCATTTGTTACAATATGCCACTATGATATCCCACATGAACTGGACGAGCGATATGGTGGATGGTTGAGTCCAGAAATCCAGTATGTATTTTGATGTTCCATAAACATTGATTCATTTTAACTGGTTTCTTACTGATTTCTTATTATTTTCCAGGAAGGACTTCAGTTACTTTGCAGAAGTATGCTTCAAGCTGTTTGGTGACCGAATAAAATTCTGGACAACATTTAATCAACCGAATTTGTCCATAAAGTTCAGTTACATGGATGGATTTTACTCTCCTGGTCGTTGTTCTGAACCATTTGGGAAGTGTGCCTTAGGGAATTCTTCAATAGAGCCATACGTAGCAGGTCACAATATCATACTGTCGCATGCAAATGCAGTCAGCGTTTACAGAAACAAATATCAGGTACAAGGCCTACCCTTCAGACAAAAGGACTACAAAGTGATTAGAAGGACAAGAACATCAATTGTTATTTCCACACAGTTTATTAAATATTGAAAGCAATATCAATCTAATCCTTTTAATTAATTTTTTATTACATACAAATTTCAATATTCTGGTCATGTTGCTAGGGAAAACAAGGTGGTCAGATTGGAATTGCTTTGAGCATAACCTGGTATGAACCATTCCGGAATACCACTATAGATCTCTTGGCGGTTAAGAGGGCTCTATCTTTCGGTGCTTCATGGTATTATGCATTCCTTTAATATGCAATTGTCAACATGGTGCTACCTTGTTTTCTACTAATATGTTCTGATGTCCAAAAGTGTTTGCCATGAGAAGTAGTATCTGATGTGTTTTGGTGCAAGTCATTCACATAAATAGCTCATTCAGATTTCATCACAATAAGAAACTCAAAGGACTACCATTATGTTGATAGTTGTACTTGAAGATTTCCTCTGCTATATTTTTGACAATTTAACAAGAGAATAATACAAACATTCAATTGACATGTACTCCGTATGTTTTTGCACCGTTGCCTGACTTTTTTTTTCTAGGTTTTTAGACCCTATACTTCTTGGTGATTATCCCACAGAGATGCGTGAAGTCTTGGGTCAAAGCCTACCCAAGTTCACATCAAAACAAAAGAACAGACTGCAGAGCACAAAATTGGATTTTATCGGACTAAACCATTACACGACATGTTATGTGAAGGATTGCATCTTCTCACCGTGTGAAATTGATCCTGTTAATGCAGATGCACGAGTATTTAGTTTATACGAAAGGGATGGAGTGCCCATCGGTAAAGCGGTAAATATATAGTTATCAAAATTCTAAATTGTTTTGCAGACTTGGAACTTAAAGTAAACAGCAATTACTAGTAGTTGCACTCTGACTCAAACAGACAGGAGCGCCATTCTTTCATGACGTTCCACGAGGGATGGAAGAAGCAGTCACATACTATAAACAAAGATACAACAACACACCAACATATATCACTGAAAATGGTATGGCTCTCTTTCTCCCTATGTTGTTTCTATGAGCTAGAATAATCATTAGCCTGAACTTGGTAGGATATTTGCGGGTATCATTTGAGTAGAATATCATATACTTCCTATTGACCCCATGTGTGCAGTAGTGCACCAAAAAAGTAATTAATTTTTACATATCATAAATAGCTCATATACCAAAAAAATGAAAATGTACTTTTTTAGTGTTTTTACAGTAATATACATGTCTTTGAAAAAAATACAAAAATATATGTTTGCCGTGGGATGGTAACGTGGGACTGCGTCATGGACACGCGATACCGCGTCGATCCCACAGCTTAGAGCAAGTTTAATAGTATAGCCAACTACTAGCTTCAAATCATCTATAGCCAATATAATAGCCAATTCATACAATATTTGCTTATTATACTATTAATATCTGGTCCTACCTGTCATACACACATTACGTCTTGAAGTTCGTGCTGTAGCTGGCTACAGATCTGTAGCTCGTGACGCTTCTCTCTTCCTTTTATCTTTTAAAAATATGTTTATAGCTGGCTTATAGCCTGCTATTGTACCTGCTCTTAGCCATGCGGCACCACGCGGGCCCGCAGGCCGACCGTGCTGCACTGCGAGATGACCATGTGCGACCGAGCCTCACGCATGCATGCATATACCTCACGCGTGCACATCGTATTTCTTACCTCACGCATGCATCTTGGCCGTTGTCGCACGGCTAGCCCGCGGTACCGCGTGGTGCCGCCCGGCCAGCCCACAGGACCAACACGGTACCGCGCGTACCCCGTGCGGGATTTTGTGGGCTGTTGTCCCGCGTTTTGCACCGGGCCAAACACTCTGCCCCGCATTGTATATTTTCAATATTTTTCCATATACCCTCAAACTTACCTTCCTAAGTTACTTCTAGTTATTACTTCTTGCTATTCTTTTTTATTATGTTGTGCACACTGCACAGTAGTGCATTATCAATTTGTGAATCATTTTTTTAGGTTACTCCCAAGCAAGCAATAGCAACATGACTGCCAAGGATTTTACCAACGACACAGGAAGAATTACCTACATTCAAGGCTACCTCATTTCCTTAGCCTCGGCAATAAGGTAAGCTGAATAACTCTAAGCAGCCTCTTGCTAAGATTTGGCTTCAGACATTGCAGTAGTGATGTGTTGCCATGCCTGAAAATCAAGTTGTGTACCCTTTCTTGTGGAACAATTTGAAGGAAAGGAGCTGATGTACGTGGCTACTTTGTATGGTCTCTCCTTGATGACTTCGAGTGGAATTTTGGATACACGTTAAGGTTCGGGCTCTACCATGTCCACTACAAGACACTGAAGAGGACGCCAAAATTGTCGGTAGATTGGTACAGGAAGTTCCTCACGGGTTCACTGCTGAGGAGAAAGTTCAGAGATGAATCTCAGCTTCATAAGTTTAACTCTTATTAATCCATACATGCTGTTCTTCCCTTTCCATATTACTTTATGTAAAGTCAATATGTGATGCTTTAGCGTACATATGCTTGTACTTGCATATGTTCGCAATTATCCATCCTAGACCATATGCATAGAGTATAATATGTACTGAATAAAAGGGACGGATTTTTGTGTGTAATTCATCTCCGGAAGAACGCTTTGTGTCATCAAAGACCTTTGCCAATAGATAAGCTGAGTTTAAGGGGTTCTTCACGGGCTGTCTATGCATTTAGGGTGTGTTCGGCACCCATTTTCCTAACCCCTCTCCCTCGTTTTCCGCGCGCACGCCTTTCAAACTGCTAAATGGTGTGTTTTTTGCAAAAAGTTTCTATACAAAAGTTGCTTAAAAATCAAATTAATCCATTTTTGAAAAAAAATTAGCTAATACTTTATTAATCACGCGCTAATAAATCGCTCCGTTTTTCATGTAGGAGGGATTAGTTCCTATCCCCTGAAACTGAACACAGCCTAGCCTAGTTCATGCTGTAGTTAGGGATGGCAACTTGGGCCATCCCCGACGGACAGTGACCACCCGTCCCCGTCCCTGCCCCCACCGGGATTCCGGGGCTATGACGGGGGCACACACCAGAGGAGAGGAAACACGGTGCAGCACTGTGCATCAATTTGCGAATAGAGAGAAGGGAGACACGAATACAAATTGAGAAAATTTTGGGGATTTGGGAGTAGAGAATTAGAGATAATGGATACACAAAGTCACATACGGATTGAGAAAATAATGCTGAAACACGCACACAGGTGTGGCCATTTCCATTTTGATGTGGTAAATAAGAGTGTAAAATTACTTTGGTAGATTTTCTTATGTCACTCTATACTAATGTTATAGCTCTAGTATTGTAATTTATCCATTATAGGTAGAATTTGAACATTCTACAGTTCAGTAAGCATGCAATCTATGAATATTGTACAGCAATTTAATGGTAGTAATAACAATTAACAAAAGAACAAAAAAAACGATTACATAAATACCTGACCTCTATCTTCAGATGGTGATTTTGCTTGTATTTCATCAGTGGTTGAGAGCATTTTGGCCATTTTGTCTGCAAGAACTTGGAATCATCAGTGTTAGGCTACACTAACATTGAATTGACGACCTGCATTCTGGGCATTAGTATTCAACTGAAGCATTGCCACAGAACGAAAATTCAGGAAATCAAACAAAGCTTGTATCTGAGATACAATAAAACTGCTGCATTCGAAATCCAGTTAGTCATACCTGCATTCTCTGGAAGCTGAATGGCAACAAATAAAGTTCAAGGAATGTCTCAACACATCTGAAAGAACAAGTCAAACCACCATATGCAAGGTAAGGTGACAGTCCAGGCAGTGTACTATTCAAATTATTTTGAGTTTTTTTTTTTTGGCCCAAATCACTCTGTCTTCGACATGTCTCCTTTGATGTTTTCTGGATGCTGTCAAGAAAGGTGTTATTTGGAGTTTACAGCAATGGTTTCTGCTCTTCAAGTTTGTATGAATCTGATAACTAGGATGAAATGTTGCATACAATTACTCCCTCCGTCCCATTAAAAATCAACCTAGTATCGGATGTGACATATCCTAGAACTATGAATCTGGACATACAAGATGTGTCACACCTGATCCTAGATTCGATTTTTATGACACAGAGAGAGTAGGACAGAACCAGATAGAGAATAGACATATCGGCTTTCTTATAATTGTATTTGCAAAAAAAAAAAAAAAATCTCAAAGATCCAAAGTAAACTTATAAATCTCATTATGTGAAAATTAAACCATCCATTCTTTTAATTGAAATGCCGGATATTCACTAACGAAGAAAAGGGCATTTCAGGGTTACATGCCACCGGAGAATCTCTTACTTGGATTACAAAAAGCATCTTCATGCAGCACTAACTCTTCATCACCACCTATAGCTATTCTTCCTGTGTGGGAGTAGGGGGAGGAGGTGTCGATGTCGCAGGTGCAGGCGCCACAAATGTTTTTGAAGGTTCCCTTAAAGTCTTCGGGCTCTTCTCGTCAACGACCTCCATAGCAGCTCTCTCCTTTGCCTTTTGGGCTCTCTGAATTACTTCCTCCTGTAATGCCATTATCCCCCAAAAGAAGAACTCATAAGCATGTGCCATGCATTCAGATTTACAGAAGAATGGTAGGGTGATTATAAAGTTCTTTGTATATGCTATGCAGTGATCAATAATTATTAGTTGCAAAACCTAAGCAAACCTGGTGCATTGTGGCTAAGGCTGTAAGGCGTGAAGATACATTGTACTCTACTCCCTCCGTTTCATATTATAAGTTGTTTGATATTTTTCTTAGTCAAACTTCTTTAAGTTTAACCAAATTTATAGAAAAATATACTGACATTTTCGATACAAAACAAACATATTATCAAAATATATTTAATATTAAATTTAATGAAACTAATTTGGTACAAAAGATGTTGATGATTTTTTCTATAAATTTGGTTAAACCTAAAGAATTGTGACTAAGAAAAAAGTCAAATAACTTATAATCAACCTGAAGAATTGTGACTAAGAAAAAAAGTCCAATAACTTGTAATATGAAACGTACGGAGTATACAGCTAGCTCTCTAGTTCCCAATTCCCTGATTCATAGGCACAATTGCAAGCAACCACCTGAGTTAGGGAAATTATATAGTTTTTCACCAGCTAGATCGCATCCCTTTCCACAGTTCCAGATTTACAGGCTCACGCTTTGCTGCATTCTCATATGAGGAGTTCCCATCAAGAGGAAGGAGCGTGGTGATGCAGTACCTGGAACTCCTGGACCTGCTTCTGCTGCTCGGCTTGCCACTGCCCCACCACACTGAACACCTCGCCCACCACCGACTCCACCTTCTCGGTCAGCGCCTCGGCGAAGGCCTTCCCAAGGAAGAAGGCGTCAAGCACAGCCTTGCTCTCATCGTCACCTACACGGACAGCAACAGCAACACCCAATCCCACAGTTCAGAAGCGCCTCTCTCTTTCTCTCGGTTGCACCTTTCTGACCACACACACCAAACAGGTTTACCTACCTGGTTTGGGCCCTGGATTGGTCCCGCCGCCGCCGCCGCTACTCCTGGCTACGAATCTGGAGAACCTTCTGGCGGAGCACGGGGCGGCGGGGAAGGAAGCGCTGCGGCCGCGGGGGCCGGGGGCGTGGAGCGAGACCCAGCAGGTCGGGGAGGCAGCCGCTGCCGCCGGTGGTGGGAGCGGCGCCATGTGTGTGCTCGGGGTCTGAGCCGTAGTTCCGTGGAATTCCTCGGCTTCGCCAGCGGCCGCTAGCGGGTGGGAATTGCTGAAACCCCTCCGGCAACCCCCACCGGCGGTCGGCGGACGCGCGGCTTGGATTGGGGACAGCCGGGGGAAATGGAGGGATTGTTTCTCGGTAGTTCAGGATTTTTTTTTTTCTTTTGGGTTTCCCGTCCATCGAGAAAACTCACTAGTGGTGGGCTCCGACTGGACTGGCCCATCACGCTTGAACATTTGGCCCACCGAGGCCTTCACGCCTGCCCGTTTCGTCCTCACGCTGCGTCGCCCGGAGTAAAATTCTTGGTCAACTCTCTATCGTCAACGTCCTCGCATCGCGGATGGCCGGCCGGTCAAAGAGCGCTCGCTCGCTCGCTCACCTCACTGATCTCATCCGTGCTACTCCTGTCTCGATTAGAATTGCCAGAGTAATCGGAGCTCCGGTTCCGATCCCTGTCCATGGCGCGCTGCGGCGGCGAAAGGATGGTGGACGAGCTGCGCGACGTGCTGGACGACTTCGCGTTCCGGGCCAAGCGGCTGGCCGCGCCGCTGCTGCAGCCGTTCGGCCGCGCCTCCGAGGCGGTGGCGCTTGACGGCGCGGAGATCGACGGGCTCAGGCGCATCCGCGCGGCGCTCCGGGCCGCCGAGGAGCGCGTGGTCACCGATGACTTCGTCAGGCTGTGGCTGCGGGAGCTGGAGGACCTGGAGCGCATGGCCGAGGACGTGCTCGAGGAGCTCGAGTTCGAGGCGCTCCGCGCGTCCCGCCTCGAGCGGTTCAAGCTCCAGCTCCTCCGGTCCAGCGCCGGCAAGCGGAAGCGCGAGCTCAGCTCGCTCTTCTCCTCCTCCCCGGATCGCCTCAACCGCAAGATTGGGAAGATCATGGAGCGCTACAACGATCTCGCCAGGGACCGGGACGCGCTGCGGCTGCGAAGCAGTGATGAGGAGAGGCGACGTGAGCCGAGCCCACTGACGCCGACCAGCTGTTTGACGAAATGCTCCCTTCATGGAAGAGAGCGGGACAAGAAGCAGGTCATTAAGCTGCTCCTATCTGATGAATATAACTGCCAGGGTGTCTACTCTGTTGTGCCTATAGTTGGCGCTGCTGGTGTTGGGAAGACTAGTCTGGTTCAACACATCTACAATGATGAGGCCTTGAGATCCAAGTTTGACATGAAAATGTGGGTCTGGGTGTGCCAAGAGTTTGATGTATTGAAGCTCACAAGGAAGCTCGCTGAAGAAGCAACGGAGTCCCCTTGCGGCTTCGCTGAGATGAATCAACTACATCGAATCATTGCTAAACGGCTGGAGGGAAAGCGATTCTTGCTTGTTCTTGATGATGTATGGGATGAGAGTCTACTCCGCTGGACAAGCTTGCTGGTTCCTCTAAAATCTGCTGCACCTGGTAGTAGAATTGTAGTGACGACTAGAAGTGCTAAAGTTGCTCGAATGATGGCATTCAAGATACACCAACTGGGGTACCTCACTGATACTACCTGCTGGTCTGTGTGCCGAAATGCTGCCTTGCAAGACCGTGATCCTAGTATTATTGATGACGGCTTGATTTCTATAGGTAAATCTGTTGCAGCCAAGTGCAAAGGCTTGCCATTGGCTGCAAATGCAGCAGGAAGTGTTCTATCCATTGCAATTGATAGGAAGCACTGGGAGACTGTTGAGCAAAGTGACTTGTGGGCTAACAATGAAGTGATTGATCATACCCTTCCTGCTCTTCTAGTGAGCTACAATAGCTTACAGAAGCCTTTGAAACATTGTTTCTCGTATTGCTCGCTGTTTCCGAAGGAGTATGTGTTTAGAAAAGACAAGCTGGTCAGGCTATGGTTGGCACAAGGCTTTGCTGCAGCAGATGGAGAAAGCGATGCTGAAGATATTGCTTGCAGGTACTTTCATAACCTCGTGGAGAGGTTCTTTCTTCAGCAATCTCCATCTTATGACCATAACGAGCAAAGGTAATGTCACTTATTTTCCAACTCCAAAAAACCATGAACTATTAATTATGTCACAGGGATGTGCAATTATGCATGAGTGACCATCCTTTGGTTGATTGTTGAAGGAAAGTTCCACAAGAAAATATTACTGCATTGTTATTTTACCTTTATGCTCCCAAGGATAAATATGCAATTATTCATGGCATGCACAAAAATTGAACTGGCATGCAAATTAAACTCAATGTTAGCGCACTCCATTTTATGTACCATTCAAATACTCAAACATCACTAGCTACACCACATAAATGTCTGTACTGCTTACATGTTATTTTGCAATCTAAAATAGAAATTTGGCACTGAATTCGACATGGTGACTTGGTGAATGTCAAAATAATGCTGCTAAATATATTTTAATTTTAATATGGGAAGTTAAAAGTAAAGCATGGAAGACTTGGTTTACAAATCTAACTTGAAATGTTTCAGTATGCATGCTTTATGCAGAACAATAATACTAGAGACAACAAGAACTTCTGAAGTAAAAAATTGTAATTCTGCATATGCACAACCAAACTTGATGAATGGATATAGAATTGGTGCAGATGTGCCGTGTTACCAAAGATATTCAGGAAATACAGCATGTTAAGATTGCTATAAATTTATTATTTTTAATAAAAACTTATGTTTCATTTTTCTGTGGTGCTTTTATTAGTATTCTCCTTGTAATAGGTGAGTCTATACATTTTTTTCTTGAAATTTCCGAATTGAATGCTTTTTATGGACAATGTCACATAAGTGCCACTATTATGTAGTGGAGTTTAAACCTTAATATTGCTGCTATTATTTCCTTAGTGGCTGAAGAGTAGCACTGCAAGAGCTCACACTTTGATAGCCTTCCATATTTTCCATGTCTTAATCCCAGTGGTTTGATGAATATTTGTATTGATGGCTATTGATTATTAGATGAAAAGCTCCTATGGTTATAACTAGATGGATGGCCTTAAACAACTACTAATGTTGGTCATATAAACATTCATTTCTGGTTAAACCTTTTCAGGCTTCATGTTAGTTAGGTATAACTCATTTTAATCATATTCTTGCTTCATGGGTTTATGCTGTTTTAAGATCCTTCAGAAACTTCCATAACACTGATTATACTAACAGGTATGTCATGCATGATCTCTACCATGAGCTTGCTGAGTACGTAGCAGCCGATGAGTACTCTAGAATAGAGAGATTTACATTGAGCAACGTAAATGGAGAAGCTCGCCATCTATCCTTGACTCCAAGCGAGACTCATTCTCATGAAATAGGAGAATTTCATGCATCCAATAACAAATATATGAATGAATCCCAATACCCTGGCCTGCGAACTTTGCTGGTTGTCCAGAGAACCAAACATGACGATGGAAGAAAAACTTCGAGCATACAAAAACCAAGTGTTCTGTTCAAAGCTTTTGTATGTTTAAGGGCTCTGGATTTGAGTAATACTGACATGGAGGGCCTGCCAAACTCTATTGGGGAACTGATACACCTTAGGTACCTCAGTCTTGAGAACACCAAAATCAAGTGCCTGCCAGAGTCAATAAGTTCTCTATTCAAGTTGCACACGATGAACCTCAAGTGTTGCAACTATCTTAGTGAGCTGCCACAAGGGATAAAATTCCTTGCTAACTTAAGGCATCTTGAACTACCACGCATAGATAACTGGAATGTGTACATGCCATGTGGAATTTCTGAATTAACTAATCTCCAAACAATGCACACGATCAAGTTCACAAGTGATTCAGGAAGTTGTGGGATTGCTGACTTGGTTAACTTGGACAATCTTAGAGGTGAGCTGTGCATATCAGGCATAGAGAACGTAAGCAAAGAACAAATTGCTACAGAAGCTATCATGAAGAACAAAGGTGAATTGCGTAAGTTGGTACTCCAGTGGTCACACAATGACTCCATGTTTGCTAATGACGCATCATCTGTGTTGGACAGCCTTCAACCCCACCCTGCTCTGGAGGAACTCATTATCATGGGCTTTTTTGGTGTCAAATTTCCTGTATGGATGGGGAGCCAGTGCTCGTTTAAATTGTCCTTCCTAGAGCTGAAAGATTGTCGGAATTGTAAAGAATTGCCATCTCTTGGTCTATTACCCTGTCTGAAACATCTTTTCATCAACTCACTCACCAGCATCAAGCACGTGAGACGGATGTTATCTAGCGGTGATCATACTAGCTCTGGTGATTTTCAGTCCAGGATTGCTTTTCCTACATTGGAGACACTGAAATTCACAGACATGGAATCTTGGGAGCATTGGGATGAAACTGAGGCTACAGACTTCCCTTGTCTCCGACACCTTACCATTTTGAATTGTAGCAAACTAACGGGGTTGCCCAAGCTTCTGGCATTGGTAGATCTGCGAATAAAAAATTGTGAGTGTCTACTCGACTTGCCAAGTTTCCCATCCCTCCAGTGCATTAAAATGGAGGGTTTCTGCCGTGTCAACCATTTGTTGCAACTCCCTCTATTCTCTCAGCTTGAGATGCTAGAACTTCGGTGTCACAAAAAACTCGTATCGCTGAGAAAACTCCAGCATATTTCCCCATTTCACAGTTTGAGATTGAGAAAAGAACTAGTACAAAAGGTATCAGGTTGTGAAGTGTTGCCATTCCAGAATCCCTCTGTTCAAGATAGTCAGGTATTTGTTCTTTCTCAAGTAGAAATCAAACATGATTGCTATCAAATGTTGCATACTCTAAAGCATTGCATGCTTTGTGGTTTTCTGTGCATTTCAGAAAACTTGGACATTTTTAAGGTGTGCCGGGCAAATCCTTGAATGTAATGTTGTTGCTTGTACTGATCTTACCTTCGGCCAGACGAATGTCCACTCTTCTGAAGGTAGCTTACATTTTTCTTTCTTGTTCTTTATTGCCTTCCACCATTTTCGAAACTTGTGTGCTGATGGCACCCAATCATGTTCAAATTCGATCCATCTAAAGAATATTGCTCTGATCGACTTGTATGTTTAATATGTTTCAGAGGAAATCGGCAATGGTGTAATATTCCACATAGGACAGGATGAAGCTGTTGAGCTTGTATCCTGCAAACCGGTTTGGGTCCAAATAGGCCAGCCAGAGGAGGTTGAGATTATTTGCATAGACTAGCTATTATGAAGTCAGCTTGATGGTCAAATCTTCTTGTGCTAAACCTGGATACTGCTTGTAAAGTCAATACATAATAGTTTACAGTGTGATCCTACGTTGCAACTTGTGGTACAAGATTCTTGAATGATGTTGTTAAACATATAGTAGATGCTGATTGGATGACTCATAAGCCTTTGAAGCTGGAGTCATGAGTAAATGTTATCAATGAAACTCGGTCAGATGGTGACATGGTGGTGTGGAGGCTGTTTTCTAGTACATTTCCTATGAAATATATTTACGTTGTTCTGAGGAATAATGCATATATGTACTGGAAAAAATATACACGGCAACACTCTATACTCAAAATTCTCACTTCGATCGATGGAGGATAATATTTGACTATTCGAAATCTGTAGTGATCAATCCCAGCAAACATCGCCCAAAGGAATGTAATATATAGCCCGTTTCAAACCAAGATTGACGGATAAACTTACACAAACCCATAATAATAGATATAAAAAAAAACTCGGGTACTTTTATCATGATTAGATGCATGACAATAGGACATATATAAAACTGACGCAGAAACCACATGTTTACCCTTACAGCTGCTCCCTGCAGCTATTTATAACAACAACTTAGATATGTCTTCCTAAATGTAGGAAGAGCACTGGAGACGGTTCGCCTGCATCTCCAAGAGCTTAATTTGTTTAAACATCAGAATGCTCAGGCCAACTTATCTGCTGACCCTGCGCCGCGCGGTTTATCATGCCCAGGCCAGTCTCGAGCTGGAGGAGCACGCGCTCGTCGGCGAGCAGCTCCGGCGTGAAGAGATCCTTCCACGACTGATACCACACGGCGGCCTTCCCCGGGATGGGCCTCACTTCCGTCACAAACGGGTACACCGCGTACCTCCATTTGGCAAAGAACTCCGACTCCAGAACCGGCACCATGTACCTCGCCGGAACTAGGAGCGCCCACCTCATCACCAGAGGGAATGTGTTGCTCCCACCCCATGTCCTCGTCGGCGAGATCGTCGGATCCCGAAGGCTCCTGCTCACCACCGGCACGACGTGCCGCTGCACAGTCACAAACTCGTCCCACGTCTCCGGGTCGAACACGCCCTTCCACTGCGACACTTTGCCGTAGGCGCATCGCGTGACGTCCCGCCCCTTCATCCACCTCCCGAGCTCCCCCGCTATGTCGAGGTATACCCCGTGTAGGCGGTCGACGCCGAGGTGAGGGATCCACGGGCTCACCCAGACGCTGGCTGGATCCACGGGCTCACCCAGACGCTGGCTGGCTCTGTCCACCACGTCGGCGACCAGCTCCGGCATGACCACCTTCTCCAGGATGATGAAGGCCAGCGCCGATGGCGGGAGGGTGTCTTTCCACGTCTCCAAGAACCGGAGCATCGGCTCGGGGTTGCTGAGACGTTCCACGGCGACTCACTCACGCTCGGCGGGACGACGTACGTTGTCGATGAGCATCGCGTACGCCGACATGCCCGCCGACGGCGCATCCTCCTCCTCTTGCAGTATGTTCCTCAGCGACTGCACCAACGCCAGCGCCCAAGCTGGCCTCTGCAGGATGTCCCAGCGTCCGTCCTGTGGGCGCAGCAGCGGGCGGAGCCACGGCGCCGTGAGGTGAGCCGCCGTTTGCGCGAGCTGGAACGTCCCGTACGCCTCGGGGAACTTCTCCTTCAACCCCTCGAACTCGCAGATGAGGCCGCCCAGCGTGAGCGTCCTCGACGAGGTCTCCCCCCGGATCACCGCCATGGCGCTGACGATCTCCTCCTCCGCCGGGACCGGCCCGCGGTCCTCCCCGTCGTGGCTCGACAGCACCAGGCGCCGGGCCGTGCTGGCGCTGCCGCTCGCACGAAGCGTCTTCTGCGCCCGCTTGGCAGCGTAGGCGGCGCTCTCTTCGCGCAGCGTGGCGAGTGTCCTCTCGATGTCGAGGGCCTCCCACCCTGCACCGCCGCCGACCTACCGTGCGATCCCTCGACGGCGCCGAGGGCGGCGTTCCTAGGCCGGGAGGTCATCTCGATGGGATCGATGCGCCTAGGCGCCTAGCTGAGAGACTACGGGAGGAAAAGGGCATTCTCTACCGTTGGATAATGCCCCTTATATAGGGAGGCGGCGGCGCGAGGAGAGCCAAGCCTAAGTGGGGAGGCGCGCCGGCGCCACCGTGGCAGCGCGGAAACCCTAGCGGCTAGCGGCTCAGGTTAATGGGGCGGCGCAAGCGCCACAGCTGTGGCTGTGTGGCAAACTGGCAACCCTAACAAGCAGCTGATTTGGAAAGAAACACCGAAACAGGAAGCCATTCAAAAGCGTACAGGATAACCCAGGCTGGCGAGGCGCGGGAAGAAGGATAAGGCGCGCGAGGAAGAGGGAATATAGACGTTGGCGACGGGAAACTGTTTAAACACGGGTGTACGTTCACCCGTTTCTTGCATGTCAATTAAATGGTTAGAAAAAATTTTAAAAAATTTGACATGATAGGTTAATATGTAATATATCACTTCACAAACATGCAAGTTCAAATTCAACTGCTACAAGTTGTAACAAAAATAACAAATTTGATTGCGAATATACGTATATTAGTTAGAGTTAAATTTGTTATTTTTGTTATAACTTGTAGAAGTCGAATTGTAACTTGTATGTTTGTGAAGTGATATATTACATATTAACCTATCATGACAATTTTTTTGAAAATTTTTCATAACTATTTAGATGATATGCAAGAAACGGGTGAACGTCCACCCGAGAGATTAGAATCCACCTCCCGTTGGCGACGTACTGTTTAAAATCTTTCCAAATTTCTTCGGTTCTCCACCCTGGACGGTTTCACATTTTGAGGTTCCAAAAAGGAACCATTAGAAAAGATATCAAATGCCGTCGCGATTGATTTTCATTAGAAACCAAAATTAAACAACTATGTTATTAAATATTATATGCTCTATCTACAAGTACAACTTGCGTGCTTTCCTGATTGCTGCTACGTACTATTTCAGAATTTTACAATTAGTTTCTGGCAAAACGTCTCCCAAAAATTATTTCATATGTATTTTCAAATCAAAAGCAAGTCAAAATGACATTCATAGACATAGTATAGACATAACAAGCAAAGAGGCAAAAAAAAAACTGAACTTAAGCTTCATATCACGATTACATGATAGTAGATGCCTAGATGGCATACATGAATTGACCTCGGTAAACACAATATCTAACACATACAAGCTTCTTACTAGCAGGGGCTCAGCATCTCGAACTCGTATAGGCCTCAGCAGTTTATGTTACTAATGCTCCGGCACGCTTATCTCCAATCCCTGCGTCGCGCGGTTGATCATGTCGAGGCCGGCCTCGACATGCACGACCACGCGCTTCTCCGCGAGCAGTTCCGGCGTGAAAAGCCCTTTCCACACTTCATACCAAGCCATCGCCTCATCCAACCGGGGCCTCTCGCCCATTAGGTACCGATAGTTGGCGTACATCCATTTCTTGAAGAACCCTTGTATCAAAAGTGGCACCATGTACTTCACCGGCACGATGGATGCCCACCTCATTACAAGAGGGAAGAAGTTGTTGTTTTGTAGCCAAGTCATTCTTATCGAGATCTCGAGGTCATGGAGAGCCTTCCTCAGATGAGGCAGCACGTGCCGCTCAATGTGTTCATCCCAGCTCGCTGGATCGAACACCTTTTTCCATGGCAACGCAAGCTTGTAGTCGTACTCAGAGATCCCACCGCACAGCCAATCTCTGAGCCGCCTGCTTATAATGTACACTATTCGTAGGCGGGCGTGGCTGAGATGAGGAATCCACATGCCCACACAGACGCTCAGCTTACTCGGCCTCGTCAGCCTAAACACGTCCGTCGCGGCTACCAGCGTCGGCAAGATGACCTCATCTAGGATGGAATCCATGGTGGCTTGCGGAAGGAGGCCCTTCCATCTATTGACGAACCGTAGCATCGGCTCCGGCTCCTCAGCGCTCCACCACCACGCATCCAAGGGCGGTGCCATCACGAGGTCGTGGATCAGGCGAGGGTACGCCGCCGATGCGTCCGCCCCCAGCTTGTCCTTGAGCGCTTCTACCATGACAAGTGTACGGTTCAGCAACGGCTGCGTGCCTCCATACTCACCTGCGTTGTACTACCAGCTCAGCTGCGAGTGGAGCAGCGGCGCCGCGAAGCTGATCGCCTTGTACGGCATACAGTTTGTCCTGTAATCCTCCAGGAACTTCGCCTTCACTCCCGCGAACTCGTGGATCAGGCCGCCCAACGTGAGCTTCCCTGACTCGTTCAGCTCCCGGACCATCTTCAAGGCACGCTTGATCGCCGTGTACCTGGAGGCCATCCCCTCCCAGTCGTCGGCGGCGGTGGCGTGTTTCGGTGGGCGTTGCCTGCGCATGTTATAGGCTCGAACCTTCTCGTGGCGCCGCTCCCACGCCCGCGCGGCGGCATAGGCTTCACGCTCTCTCTGCAGCGTGTCCATGGCGCGAACCTCCTCGACGTCGACAACGGCTTCCGGCTCTGCTTCGCCGGTGCCCCGCTCGAGCTTGGGCTCTACAGGCGGCCCCGTGTCATAATCCGAGTCGCTATCGTACGACGACTCGAATTTGCCAACGCCTCCTTTCCCATACTTTTTGGTCGGGTTGATGGGATCGATAATCCCGTGGCCGTACTTGCCAAGGCCGGTGCCCTCCTCGTAGTTCATCTGAGCCATCAACCTTGCCACTATCTGGTTGGTTGCCATGCTCCCGGGCTGCGGCGGCAATGGGGGATAGTAGGAATTGCAGTAAGCGGGAGGGGAAAACAACGATTGACAATGGTGATCCGTGTCGCCGGAGCTCACGCGCACAAAGTGGATGGTGGGCACGTCTTTGCTTGCAGCCGCCGCAATTTCCTGCACGCCACTAGTCTTGGTGTTGGAGGAGTTAGGAGGAGTGCGATCAGATGTTTCCAACTCTTGGCCTGCATTAGTCTCGCCGTGGGAAAGACTACCACCTTGGTTTCTCCCCTCGTCACCGACGGAGGCCATTGAAATAACCGAGGCCAAGATCAGCATTGGGTGAAGTGTGCGCCTCCCTGTTAAGGCCGGCCTGTGTTATATAAGGGGAAGTAGCGGTTCTGTTCTGATTCGGTATACAGGGAAGTAGGGGCTGCGCGATCCTGTTCTTTCTCTTCCGAATCGGAAAGAGACGCGTATCGGGATTCGGGACTCTGTTCTCTTCCGAATCGGAAAGAGACGCATATCGCGGCTGCCCGTGCCACGTCCGCACCTGTCCACTAATCTGTTAGTCTTTGTTCGCTATCTATGGAAATTAATCCAAAGGAAAATCAACCCACGTGGGGTTTGGGTTGTTCCCCCACCTGACACCCAATCCCTCCTTGTGAATCCCCCTATCGTCCACTTGCGCGGGTGGTTAGTGGGATTAGCAGGGATTATCCCTGGGTTTGGATAGAAGGGGATTAGAAGGGATCACTACCATTCAAAAATAATTCAGAAATGATAAGAAAAAAATTGATCGTGAAAACAGAAAAAAAAATCAATGTGCAAAATAACTCTAAAAAGCCCAAAAATAGAAAAAAGTAGATTTACCATAGACGAATTCTGAAAAATAGTCCAGAATATTAAAAAAATTCATAATTTTGGATAGATTAAATTCTACAAGCAGTAAAACATCCAAAATAATCATATGTTTTCCATAGATATGCTAGTCACAGACAAGAGATTGATTTGTCATTTACATTGTCTACTAGTATAGCAATAGATTAGAAATTAAGCGCATATATCGTCTTCCATGTTCGGCCCTGCATATACTGATCTGTTGAAACAGTACAATTAGAGACTCCTAAATCTGCAGTTCTGCTAATTGAATTACCATTATACTACGAATAACAGTTCTGCAGGCAAACCCCAAAAGAACTGACGAAACTAAAACTAGTTTATCATCAAGCCCTTGAAAACAAACTTTTCCTTGTCTCTGAATTTTTCCCAAAAATAAAGAGAGTTTGGCAACTACCACCATCAGCTTCCAAATCCATCAAAAGTCCTGTCTCTTAATCTTAAAAACCTGAAAAACAAACAGGAAACATTATGGACACCTGAATAGTCATATGAAAATTTGTTTGGAAAATGACAATTATTCTGTGTTAATTTGGAAAAACTAAAATAAGAAGTGAGTTATCATCTACAATTCTGGGAAAAAAATATTTTTAAGACAAGGAAGAAGGTCAGGCATGATTAAGCCTAGTACATATACTCACAATTTTCAGTTTTTAAGCACTCAACCATACTTGCTATAGAAAACAAGGACTATTTGGACATATAAAGTACTTACCCTGATAAACATCATCTCTACTTGTCTTTGTCTGAACGTACCAGAAAACCAGCGTCTCATTTTTCATATTGTTCTTCCCTGAAAGGTTAATCTTTGAATATAAGCACAGAACTTGCAATGCCAACAGTTGCAATATCAACACAAATGAGTTATATGTCGATTTGTCCACAGTTCTGCACTACATATAGTAATAATTGAGCTAGTCAATGATATTCATGTTTTTGTCATATCTGTGAGACCATGGGCAGTGGCAGCACTGCTGAATGTGGTAAATTCATCAGATATATCATATAATTATTAATTATATTCGTGATAGAGCAGGTAGCTCCTTGGAAAAAGAAAAGTATGCATAATACCTGTTATATTTGTGTTTCTTGGAGTATCAACCAATAATGTAGGACCTGTCCAGCAAAGAGGAAATCGGTCAACTTCAAATATCTATAACTACCTGACAAATTTTCACTCAAGTTTCATTTGCAATTTCCTTTGGAATGTATTACATTACAGAGAGTGCATTTCTAAAGAATTGTTGAATAGGCATTTCACACTTTTCACAGCTATTATCTCACAAAATTTCTTCAGCTAAACTGTTAATTTTGTTGATCGAATCATATCAGGTGAACCTTCAATGTTGGAACAAAGCCAACGAAAAAATTGATCTTTGCAAGCAGCAGGACAAGAAGCTGTGCTCTGCACCTCTGCATGAGAGAAGCAACTGGAACAATGACAGGCTAATACTAGCACCTAACACTGAAATGGAGCTGTCTAATTCACTTGATCCTGCCAACTGTCAGTATACAAAGGGAGATCGTGCAAAATCAGAAAGACTGGTTTAGCTTCTACTCGCTCATCTAAGGCTTTGGAAACAACCGTGTTGCTCTCCTCGTCACCGGAGGAGAAGGGCATAGAAATTTACCAGGCTAACTAGCACTAGAGGATAGATGAGATCAATACGGGTTGTGTGCGTCCTCCCCGTCGAGGCCGACACTCTTATATAAGTCCGCTGTAGCGATTGTCTTCTATTCATATTCGACGAGGGGACGGTGTTCCGATTCGGTAAGGGATTCGGCGAGGGAAGTAGTGGTGTTCCGATTCGGTAAAGGGTCTGCAGCCGTCGGATTGCCAATCTACGATGTGGTGGACCTTGTTGTAATATGCTGGAGTTTAGGGTCTTTTTTGCAAAAAAAACGCTCAATTCCTATCTCCGCCTTCTCTCCCACCCTGCCATGGCTGCCGCCGCCTCCTCTTCATACTCTGCTGGTGCCTCTCCTCTCCATATGCACCGCTTTGGCACGCCTCCCTCCATGTCCCTAGTGAGAGCACTGCAAACCATCTTCATCTGAAATGTTAGTAACATTGTTCACAGAATTTACATACATATGTTATAGTTTATAAAATCAGATAAGAGATATGTGAATTTTGTGAATAATGTTACTATCACTTTATCGGATGAAGAAAAGACCAAAATAAAAGTTATAGATCTTGATGATTTATACAACTTTGTTGTTGATGGCTTTTTCAGTTGAAATTATTTAGTATTTGAAAATATTGTTTGAAGTTGTCATATTTTTAAATTAAAATTCAAATTGTTCAAAAAAATGTTATATAGAAAAATAACCAAAATAAAAGTTATAGATATTGATGAGTTATACAATTTTATTGTTGATGGCTTTTTAAGTTGAAATCATTTAGTATTTGAAAATGTTGTTTGAAGTTGTTATATTTTCAAATTCAAATTCAAATTGTTCAAAAAAATGTTATATAGAAAAATAACCAAAATAAAAGTTATAGATATTGATGAGTTATACAATTTTGTTGTTGATGGCTTTTTAAGTTGAAATCATTTAGTATTTGAAAATATTGTTTGAAGTTGTCATATTTTTAAATTCAAATTCAAATTGTTCAAAAAATGTTATATAGAAAAAAAGACCAAAGTAAAAGTTATAGATCTTGATGAGTTATACAACTTTATTGTTGATAATTTTTCCATTTGAAATCATTTACTACCCGAAAAAATATTTGAATTTCTTATATTTTAAAATTCAAATTTTATATAGCTCTATTAAACCCAGATGGAGAAATGACCAAAATAAAATTGGTAGATCTCAATGAGCTCTACAACTTTGTTTTTGACAGCTTTTTCATATGAGTTCATTTAGTATCGTAAAATTCAATTCGAAATTTATTTTTCCTAAAAGTCTGATTTATCTCCTCCTTACGATAATACTTGCTAAATATATATTTGATCCAATTAACTTGGTTTTGCTGGTGAAATATGTGATTAAAATAGATGTTATGTGAATGTGGTTGTGTTAAATATATGTATGTGAATGAATGTATATGAATAGGGTATGCTAGGGTGTGACATCCTGGCCCAGGGCTTAATAGGATTAATAGAATACTCATGCCAACAAGTTACAATTTCTTTCTCGGAATCCAATCTCCAAAGAACTATGAGGCTAAGCGTGCTTAGCCTAGAGCAATTTCGGGATGGATGGGTGATCGACCGGGAAGGCGCACGAGTGAGGGCAAAGGCGTGTGAGGCTAACAAAAAAACAAAATTTATTTTTTTTGGATTATACTTATCCGTGCGAGCTATAATTTAGGCCCGTTAGAGATGAGAGTCATCCGTGACGGGTTTTTGTGTTGGCCCGATTGAGATGTGTGTCATCCGTGACGCCCGGATGTCCGGTTGAGATATTTTCTCACATCACTGACCTTTGCTTAGTGAAGGGGCCCTGCCCGAAAGAGATGAGCTTTAAGCCCGTTAGAGATAACTGATCCCGTTCTAGTGTGTACACCAAGTTTGTATATGTACGTATTAAAAACCAAAAAAAAAAAAGAAAAGTGTACCGTCTGCTGCCTCCCTCTCCGTGCGCGCCACGTGTTCAATGGTGCACGTGGAGGAGGGGGAATGCGCGTGACTAGCCACGCATTAGCATTTGCGTGCTGCCTCAGCTGTGTCGATCTATCGTTTAATAACGCTTCTGCATTTTTTGCTGGTGGCCTATGAAAATTAAAATTTTCATATACGGGATCTAGTGAAAATAAGGTAATTTTTACGGCTGTCCTGTTATACACATTTGTAAAAATCAATTTTTATAGACAATGCTGAATTTATAGGGTCTCTTATCCTATATATCTATAAAGTTCATCCCCCGCTGAGTGTAGTTAATAATATTTATCTCTTCTCTCATAAAGCCACATTACCTTAATTGTGTTGTTAGCCTTTGGATGATTCATCAATAATGTAAATTACATCTCTTCACGTCATCTCAATTATTTTTAGCCTTTGGATGATTCATCAAGGGTGTAAAATACATTTCTTCACATCATCTTATTTGTTTTTAGCCTCTGGATGATTCATCAAGGTTATAAATTGCATCTCTTCCCCCAAAAAGTACACCATACAACCCAATCATTTCTAACATTTAGATAATTTATAAAGTATAAAAATAAATAAATACATGAAAAAAAAATCGAATAGTAGATAAGAAAGAAAAATTTAGAACTCATATCTACTATATTATCACACAATTTTTCCGCAGCAACGTGTGGGGTATCCATCTAGTTATTTTTAAAGGAGGATTCTTTTGAATCCACCTAAAAAATAAACCCATGTGTTGGGAAAATCGCTTCTTATAGTGCAGCTAATCATCTCCATTAAATATTCATTTGTTATATATGCTACAATTTATTTAGATGACCTGGAAAATATGGTATTTCGCTTACTCATGTTCTACGTACGCACATGCCTGATGCATATTTTACCCTTGATGTATTGCGCATTATATACTGGTCTTTTATTCAAAGCCGTCATCATTAGTTCTAAACTGAATGATTAACATGACTATTATTCTACTAATTAATTTCACGACATATTTTATTGGTCTTTTTAAAGATTTGAACAAAAATAATAACCTATTGTTTAAAAATTATATTTTCGCTGGAACCCTGAACCTCTGAAGTCAACACAACAATATGGTTAATTTCTAGCAAAACGTCTCTCGAAATGAATCTAATACCCATTTCCAAACCAAACCGAGTTAGTCAATTAAAATGACCTGATACCATTCACAGTTGATATAAAAGACTTCAAGTTTCCTTTTAAAAAGCAACAATTTAAGAGTTATATCACTGTTAGTACGTAACATTTTTTTAAAATAGAATTAGCACGGGATTGTGCTTTTTATTAAATATAATGGAAGAAAAAAAAACCCAAAAGCAAGAAAAGAGAAAAAACATCATATACAACCCCCGCGGGGGACTCGATGGGTGAGCGGGACCCGCACAACCAGATAGAGTTAGGCTGTGTTCGGAAGTGCCTGTTACCAACACACACAGTGCGTATAGAAAACGGAGTGGTACATTAGCACATGATTAATTACTAGTAATTATTAGCTAATTTTTTTAAAAAAAATGGATCAATATAACTTTTTTAAGCGACTTTCGTTTATAAACTTTTTTAAAAAAAACACACCGTTTAGCAGTTTGAAAAGCATGCGCGCGGAATACTAGAGAGGGGTTGGGAACCTAGGGCTCCAAACACAGCCTTAATACTCATTAGAAAGGACACATCACACTGAATGATAATGTACAAATCACAGAATTAAATCCTAGGCTATTGCATTGGCAAATAGCACAGGACCCATCCATGAGAGATGTATTGGAGTCTAGAATATCCTCGTTCCTCACTGGTTGCATGCCGGATTTAACATCCTGTCAAAAAGAAGTGGTTAAAAACGGTGAGAATTAGGACTAAGCACATCCCTTCTTTCTATAAAGTTAAGGCCAAAAGTTTAAACCTCGTGCTTCCACGTCATCATCAAATTGTGAACCGTTGGATAAATATATTAGATTGCTTCTCAGACATTAGATATAATGCAGCATAGAGCCCAACCCATCAGTCACCACCCCGGTGAGTCTCTTAGCTTCTTCAGTGCCAAATGTAACCCACATGGGCATATCTCCACACACATCTATATGCATCCAGCCTGTCAATCCATATAAAAGAGCTTTATGGCTGAACATTCCTTCACTTGACATGTGCTATCTAAATTATGTACAAATTTTTGATAGGGCTGCTAAAAAGAATTTCTTCAAGAAACCTATTTGTTTATTTTGTTTCTTTTTGAGATTATACCTCTTATCTAACAAATTGATGTTAACAAAGTCCTGCAGCAACGCGCTGGGCATCCTCTAGTTTGTAGAACACTGGATACCGCTGCACTAACAAGGTAGAAAGCCCCACATCGTACCCATGCATCTGAAGTCAGCGTAGGAGGAGGAGGCAGCGTGGTACTCAGAGAAGCAGGAGGGACTCAGGAATTCAGGAGGACGGGGAGAGGTGGCTGTGGGCTTCTGGTGTCGAGGTCTCAAGGAGGACACAACGTACCGAGCCCAAGCCCCGCTCGAGAGCCTGTGTCGAGGTCTCAACGGAGAAAACAAAGAATGAGGTTGGAGGAGAGGGGGAGGGGGGGGAGATGGGAAGTGGAGAAATTATGGTTTACTTCATATACCTCTATTTAAAAAGGCCAAATAGGCTTCAAGGTTCTACCTCATATCTTCGGAGCCCACCGGGTCATCCGCGAGCTGGAATTTCCACTCAACCCCAACAAGAAAATTGTCACCCCTAATAAGTATCATAGATATTATCACTGTTGGAGCCGTCGGGAGGAGTGTCTTAGAGAAGACGGTGCTTCCGACACCAGTCTTGGTGTTAAACAACTTAAGTAACCAATCTTATTTTAGAAAACAGATAAAACTTATATTATCATCGATGTCTCAATTAGAAGGACTTTAATTCTCGATCCATCCTACAAATAAGCAAAGATTTTAAAACTCAATTATCTGGCCATCTACAGAAATACGGAGGATTTTGGGCTTCCCAAACAAACTGCAACTAATAAAGCCAGGTCCGGTCCCACGTCCCAGACACCTGAGGCGGGAAACAAAAACCTACCCAAAAGATTTCCCCCGCTCCACTGACGGGTGGGCCCATCGGACGGGACCCAGCGTCATAACAACCGGGTACACGGCAGTGGCAGTTTCCCCTGGCCCCACTCCACGCCACAGAACCCACATCCCACCATGACGCGCAATTACCTCATTATCCTCTAGATTTTGTGGCAACTAGACTCTAGCGAGGATGGCATCCCTTGTAATTCTTCCGAACCTTGAGTCCTCTCTCTAAATCTCTCCGATATAAATATGAGCCGGCATCCCACAGACCCCTTCCCTTCTACCACAAATTTTTTTTCCACCTTCCCTCTCTCTCTTCTCTGCTGTCTCTCCCCCCCTCCATCTGCTTTGCTGGCCCCTGGCCTGTGAAGTTACGATTTTGCCCCTGGTGGGCCCCACCTTTGTACATCTCCTTCCCTTTTTTTTCTACCCTTTTTGCAGAACACATCGCCCTTCTCTTTTTCCTTTTCTCCCATCGAAACCTTTTTTTTTTTTCTGAATTCCTCTCTTTCTTTGACGGCTCTGACTCGTGCTGACGTGGCACGTGGCGAACGACCCTCAGCCGTCGATATGTCGCTCAGCGAGAAGCTGGAGGCGGCACGTGTCGCGGTCGGCAAGCGCAAGGAGCGGGAGCTCCTGGCTCAGGCTCCGGCTAATAAAGCTCTAGCCGAGCCGGGTACTAATAAGCCGGCTCCGGGGCCGGTCCCCAACAACAAGCTCCTAGCCGGTCACCTGGCGCACGAGTTCCTGACCCGCGGCACGCTCCAGGGCCGCCGGGTCGAGCCGACGAAGCCGAGCCAAGCCGCCGCCTTGCATCCCGGCGAGCCCGTGCCCGAGCCGGAGCCCGACGCCGCCAAGCGGAGGAGGTACGCCGAGGTGTCGTGGCTCCTCATGGCGAGCGGGGCCCGCGTCCCCGGCGTCGTCAACCCGACGCAGCTCGGCCGCTGGCTCCAGATAAAGGAGTGACGTGCCGGCGACCAGACATCACAACCCCAGGTGGTTTTCCCCCTTTTCACCGGGGAGAACCGACACATCATCAAACCGGTTTCTTCGTTTTCTCCTCCTCTTTGCCTGCTCCTCCTGTTTAGATTTTAGATCTAGGAGAGAAAAAGAAAAAAAAAACGTTGGTGTACTAGCAGCTTTATTCGATGAAATTATTGTTGTTATTCAAAACCAATGACCAGAATGGTCCAGCTTTCTATAGAAAGCGCGATTTCTTGTTAGTACTACTACTAGTTCGCTACCTGTATATCATGTGCGTGCAATGTTTGGTGGTTGTCATTTGTCAAGTACTAGTAGAACGGCGAGCGTGTGCACGCACCCGGGACGGTGAATCGCAATTTTTTTATATAACTGTTGATTCGCGTTGATGGGTGGATTTCGCGTGCTACCGAGCGCCGCCGCCCTCGCCTATCGGTTTCCTCGGCCTGTGTTCCATGGATGAGACGGCGGCTATTCGCATGAAGAGACGCGTAGAGGCGGTGGCGCGCGAGACGTGGGGGATGTGCCCAACGAGCATGGCGCCGTGCAAGCGGTTAGTGGTGGCCTGGTGGGAGTTGCTCCTCCCCCATCCATCATCGTTCCATGTGCCCTGGTGGCCTGATGCTGTTTTTAGATCTAAAGTTTGACGCAAACTTCAGTCCTTTTTCATCACATCAACTTGTCATACATACACAACTTTTTAGTCACATCATTTTCAATTTTAACTAAAATCTAAACTTTACGCTGAACTGAACACATCCTAAAAACGCATGTGTTTCCAGACCACAACCAGACGAATTATTGGAGAATTGTTCGGTGTCCTCCATGGCTGACGGTGTACACGGTTGAAGCATGCTTTGGACGACGCGATTGCAGAGGAGGTGATTCACGAAAAGGACGCACGCACGCACTACGTATTATTCTGATCTGAAGCTCTCTGCGAGTAATTTATTTCTGATCTTCCTCTGATTATTTATTCGGGCAATCAGGCAATGGAAAGGGCGTAGGGGCAGCTCCTCCCGTATTGTTTTCCAGAGCAAGATTAGTTGGTGTTTGCTGTTTCCATTTGATTGATTGGCTAGCATTGTTCCAAGTGGTTCGATTCCTGCACCTGCCTGGTCCATTCCTGCCAGTTTTAATTGCATTTAAATAAATCGGGGATCATTGTTGGTTGGGTAATTGTCTGAACTGTTCGTTCATCTCGTCTCTCGGTTTTGGTCAATGGCCTGCGGAGGGCAATGTCAAATGTCCAAGCAACCGGGGGAATTGGATGGGGGTAAGCAACGCGCAAGATAGCGTAGCCGTGTTAAGGGAAGACGAGAAAGGAGATGCGTGTGATTTACTTGGAAAGCAAAGCATTCCTCGGCTTTGTTTACAACATCGAAGCATTTCTGAGATCATTTTCACCAAATTTACATTGCGAAAGTTTAGACGAAAATGCCTACACGAAAAAAATCTGGGTTTAATTTTTACTTTGTATAGCTTGTAAAATAAAATATGTTTGATTCGACGCTCCCACAGGGTCTGCATCCGACGCTCCAACCTTAGGGCCCTTTGATTCGGAGAAAAGTCAGCCTTAGGTTCTGAGTATTTCATTTGGAGGAAAAACTTGATTTAGGGGAAAAACAATCATATTAAAACAAATGATTGAATGATATACTATCATAGATTTTGAAGAAAATTTAACCAAAGCTTCAACATCTTAAAAAATTTTCCTTTAAGGCCCTGTTTAGATCCCATAAAAAACCTTTACACCCTGTCACATCGAACGTTTGAACACCACGTGAAGTATTAAATATAGGCTAAAAATAACTAATTGCACATATTGTGATTTATGTGCGAGACGAATCTTTTAAGCCTAATTGCTCCATGATTTGACAATATGGTGCTACAGTAAACACTTACTAATGATGGATTAATTAGGCTTAATAAATTCGTCTCGCGGTTTACTGACGGATTATGCAATTAGTTTTTTTATTAGTGCCCGAACACCCCCATGCGACATCATATATAATATCCGATGTGACACGTCAAAACTTTACACCCTTGAATCTAAACACCCCCTAAATCTATATTTTTCATTCGATTCATATGATCCAATCAAACAATCATTTATGTGTCTTATACTTCTCTATTTTGCACTTGCTTTACTACCAGAATCATATGTTTCTTTTTTTTATTACTCCGTTTTCCCTTTGTATGTTTCAAGCGACCCTTAACTCGTGAAAACTGAAAACACTACTTATCAAGTCTAGGGCCTCGTTCAGATCCAAAAATTTTAGCCAAAAACATCACATCAGATATTTGGACACATGCATAGGGCATTAAATATGGGAAAAAAAATCAATTACACAGTTTGCATGTAAATTGCGAGACGAATATTTTGAGCATAATTACGCCATGATTTAACAATGTGATGCTACAGTAAACATTTGCTAATGACAGATTAATTAGACTTAATAAATTCGTCTCGCAGTTTACATGCGGAATATGTAATTTATTTTATTATTAGCCTACATTTAATACTTTAAATATGTATTTAATATGTGTTTGTATAGCTAAAAAATTTTACGCCCAAACAACTTAACACCCTAGACAGATCAGCTTTGGTGTCTTGGTGGTTGTTGTCACTTGAGAGCGGTTCAATTCTGCCAATACGACAGGCGATGAAAACCAGGCAAGTGATTGATACGGCCGGTCCGCTTCCATCGGTCGGTCGTCCGCCCATGACCTGATCCCGTCTCTCGGGCTCTCGGCACGCAGCCACGCACGCACGCACGCACGCATGCCGGGCACATCTCGGACTTCGCGAACACGTGGCCGCACGAGCACGTCGCCGACTGACACTAAAGAAGGCCACCCCAAGAGGCCGACGCGCACCTCGCGGGCCAAGCTTTAGCCTCCGGCCCGTGCTTCTCCAACTCGCTCTCCTCCGCGGCCCGGCCCGGCCTGCCTCACCACCCCCGCTTTAGCCGGCTGCTAGGTCTAAGGTCTTCAGTCTTCACCCTAAAGCCGCGAGCCCGCGACGTGCGCGGCGCCGGTTGGGGGCGCGCGCCTGCGCGCCTCTCTCCCGCAGTCCCGCCCGCCCGCGCGCGCGCGCGGCGCTCGAAACAGGCAATCGCTTTCCCCATCCAAAACCAGTCCACCCTCGCGCCGCGGGGGAAAACCCCGAAAAATTTTCTTCTTCCCGCCGATGGCACGCCGGTTCAGACCCGCGCCCGCACGCGGCGGCATCCAAACATTTTTTTTCCAGCCGCCGCCACCCCTTCCCTCCAATTTTCGAGCGTGGCCACGCGTATTTCAGTGGCTCCGGAGCTAGCTTAATTAGCAGTGCCCACAAGCCACCGTCTCCGCAGTCCGCACACAGGTTCTTCAATCCTTTGAGAGAGAGCGAGAGCGAGAGCGAGACCGTGCGGCCGTGCAGGGATGGAGAGCTTCAGGAGGTTCCTGAACCCGCTGGTGCTCAACCTGCAGAAGATGGAGCTGGAGCTCACCTGCCCCGTCTGGTACGCGCCTTCTCTTCTCTTGAGCTCCCTCTCCTTTGGATCCAGATGAAAGAACAGATCCTGGGCAATCAATCAGGCTAGCTAGGTTGGTGTTAGTTTAGATCTGCGTAATACTGCCGGATCTGAACTTGTTTACCATAATAAGACGTCAAATGAAAATATTTTGATTGCTGATATTTCCGGTCTTCTCATGGCATTGTCTTTTGCTCGGCAGCCTGAAGTTGCTCAACGCGCCTACCATGCTGCCATGTTACCACACTTCCTGCAGGTTATTTACAAATACCTGAACTGATATGAATTGTATTTTGATCTACGCATCTGGTCTTGTGACTAATTTGTTGAATCCTTTCAGCAAGTGTGCTACTACACGGACCATGGACGGTTACAGCTGCGCGATTTGCAAATCAGCTTATCGTTCTCAAGGTGACATCATGCCAGACTGAAATGTTACAAGCATCAGACCAATGCTTTGATTCTTTATCTGACCTTAACATGGCTTGCAGACCTAAGGCCTGCCTCTCACCTCGAGGCAATAGTGAACATCCACAGGAGCCTAAGCTCTACAGTCAGCAGCATGGTCACTCAGCAGGAGGCTCAAGCTGATATTCCTGGTACATACTCTGCCAGTTATTTGCCCCCTAAATTCACAGAATATCTACATCGGAAACAAAATACTTCGCACTGATAGTTGTATAAGGTCGAATGCTGATTACGCTGGTAAAATATTTCTTCTGTTCAGTTGCAAAGACATCATTTCAAGGAACTCCAGAATCGGGAAACAGAAATGGAGCAGAGAAATCTGATCAGGTGAAATCATACACCCCGGTTGCTTCTAAACTGGCATATAACCAGTCAACTGGGCTTGCATATGGAAATGTGGACGGCGTGAAAGAAAGAAATCCTGCATTGGAGACTAGAGGTGCGGCTGATGTGACTGCTATGCCCACAATTCTTGTGCAGAAGGGACCCTGCCGATCTCAATCTTCTGATGGCCCTAGGGATCTGGATTGCGACAGCAATGACCTTGAAGGAGAGCTGGTAATATTCTATCTAAGCAACTCCATTGCTAAAAAAACCTTGTCTTTGGGCATTCATTAATTGAATTCGGATGTCTGAATCTTGGAGCTGAACTAGTTCAAGTCTAATGAATGTTCTGAAAATTTTCCTTTGCATGTGCTAACTTATTTTTAAATCTCACGCATGATGCATGTATCATTCTGATAGATAACAAGCAGATCATCTCCTCAAAGTGTCTTGAAAAGAGAACCAAATACAGCGAATGATGATAATAGAGAATTAAAAAGGCAAAAGTCCACTGATCAGGATGATAGTAAGTCTTCTTTTCAAACTGCTCTCCTTTCTGATTAGTTAGAATTGCAAGGTCACTAATGCATATGCAATCGTTGATACAGGACAACCAGCTGTTGCTGGTGCTTGGAAATGTGAATTTTGTCACTCTTCCAAAACCACTGAGGTAAGTCAAATGGCAAAACCTGAACATTGTCTTTTTCACTATTCAGGACATGCCTTGGATTGCTTTTCTATTTCAAGAATCTAATATAAAGTTGGAATTAACAGAGTACTGGCCCTCTGTCCCATTATCTGCATGGTGAGCCATTAGAGGATAACCAAGCATGGAAACCAAACGTTTTACATGTTCATGAGAAGTGCATTGAATGGTATGCTCCATCCAGCTTATGAGCTTATTTTTCCTAAATGAATACATAATTTTATTTGAGTTGTAAACCGATAAAATTAAGTTTGTATTTTTATATGCTTTTTTAGACTGAAGCATGTTTATCTAGCTAGAATATCACCTATAATTCCTTATACTTTTTAATATTGAAGTTACTGATACCAATGTAGGGCCCCTCAAGCGTTCTTTACTGGTGACATTGCAAATAACTTGGAGCCTGAGTTGGCCCGTGCTTCTAAGATCAAATGCAGTGTTTGTGGACTAAAAGGTGCAGCCCTTGGCTGCCTTGTCAAGAGCTGCCGCAAGAGCTTTCATGTTCCATGTGCCCATGGGATATCAGGCTGCCGATGGGATGATGTAAATATTTCTTTAACCTTGCACTGTCCATTCTTTTTACAGTCTGAATGCATGTCTTTATTTGTGGCACAAAATTATGTGAATAAGTGAATTCATCTCATCAAATGTACTGTGTTTTAGGAGAACTTTGTTATGCTGTGTCCTTCTCATTCCTCGAAGAAGTTGCCATGTGAGAGATCAAAGTCAAAAAATAAGAAGACCAGCTTGCAGCGGTTTGTTCTCTAGTCCTGTTCATTGTAACTGCATTTTGCTATACCTTCATGGCTGCACATATCCTTAAGTTGAACCTTTTCCCTTTCTTGATTTGCCAGATCATCTTCCGATACAATGCTTGATGACCTGAACTCACCATCTACAATCCATATGGATGGACTTTGGACTGCTTCACCTTTTCTCACTAGTGAATGGGTTATATGTGGATCTGCTCTCTCTAGTCAGGAGAAGGTGATTAATAGTTATCTCTTATCTAATTACAATTTCAACAGGCTATTGCATGATTTGGTTGTTTCAAAAATGTAAACTTTCTTTGTTTGGAACTTGACAGGAAATCTTGGACCAGTTTGAGCACCAAACTGGCATCACTGTAACTAACGGTTGGAGGTCGAATGTGACTCATGTGATTGCTAATACGGATGAATGTGGGGCATGTGCCAGGACACTCAAGGTTCTCATGGCCATACTAGCTGGGAAATGGGTTCTGAATATAAACTGTAAGTTCAATGCCTCTGAAAATTAAGACCTGGGTTTACCTGGGGATAATGGTTTCTGCTCTTGTGCTTTTCTAACACATCCTTTGTCATCTTTTAGAAATTAGACAATAGCTGATGGATTTTGTCACTTCTTACATGTAGTTCTCTTTTCATACGCTTAAAATAAGTTGAGCATGCTTACCACATGAATATTTTTATGCTTGCATTTACAATGGTTGCTCCATTGTAAATACCCTCTTCTGCTAGGAAGTTTCTCTGATTCATGTTATTGTGTAATATTTAGGGCTGAAAGCTTGTATGGAGGCTAAAGAACCAGTCCCAGAAGAGCCTTATGAGATCAGTTCTGATGTTCATGGCTCCTTTGATGGCCCTCGCATGGGAAGACTACGAGCAATGCAAAATGTGTGTATAAATTCACTGAGTAAATAAGTCAAAGTACAAGTTCAATCTTCATGGAGTATTGATCCCATGTGTTTCTTGTTTTCTAGGCACCACATCTGTTTGCAGGATTGACCTTTTACTTCAGTGGCCATTTCATGCCCAATTACAAGGTTCACCTTGAAGATTTGATCACTGCAGCTGGGGGATCAATCTTGGACAAGGCTGATCTCTCTAGCACATCCTTGATAATTTACAGCATGGAGCCACCACAAGGAAGTGATCCTGATACCCTTAATGAGGTCATCAGAAAGAGGAAGGCTGAGGCTGAAGAATTGGCGGCAACGATTGGCTCCAGGGCTGTTCCTCATACATGTGTTCTGGATTCTATTGCATCATGCACAGTGCAATTGACCATGTGATGCTGTATCTTAGGTTAGGAGTTAGGATGTTACTGATATGTTCTTGAGTGAAAATATCTTCTAGATGTTGTAAGTTGTAACGTGAGCAAGCAATTTAATTCAAATAATATTGATATGTCTCTTTCCATTTTCTTGTCGGTGTCGTCATTTCATATGTTTCACCTACCGGCTACCGCCGGGCGCAGTTGGTCTAATATTTATTTTGCAAAAAAGGTGAGCCTTGCAGGCAGGGTTACTCCCAAATCTGCTTGAGTTGATTGGGGAAACACCTACTTGCCGTTCTTTTTCTTTTTACCAAAAAAACAAAAAAAAACTTCTTGGCGGATTTGAATCACATCAGTGCTTCGGTGCTACTAGTATTCAAGAGTTCCTCTGTTCAGCTATGGAGTTTAATTATTCACTGCTACAGGGATGATGGGCAAAGGCGTCAAATGATTGTGGAGTGCATTTGAAACAAAGCAAGGAATTGAAATGGCTGAGCTCAGCTGGTTGCTTCAGATGTTTACCAACAACAGTAGAGGTCCCCTTCAGGCTTTCAAGTCTCACCAGTCAGACGGTCACCGGTGTCCCCTTGCTGCTGTTGGTGTCCCATGATTTTGTTCTTTTCACCAGACCCTCGTCCTCGTGCAGTGATGTAGAAGCACTTCTGCATCTTCTCTTCTCCCACCACTAGGCCCCTCTATAATAAGGAGCCAGCAATTGATGCTATGCGGTAACAGTGCTAGCTCCATGGCGTTCTTCAGCAGCGGATCGCGGGCGCTGGTGGAAATCCTGACGGGATTGCAGAGGTGCGTTGCTGTTGGTTAATCTTTCCTTCTCTTTCTTTGCCAGTGAAAGCGGAAATCTTTTTTCGATAATTGAATTCAATCCAGTCTCTACATTGAGGTGAAAGCAGAAAAGTTGTCTGTGTGCAAAGGTTGGCTGCCTGAGTTGTGCCGCTCCTACATACATACATGGATTGGTTGACGCAATGTGATCAGAAAACTATGTTTCTCTTGATCTTTGCAGTGTTGAACGACCTATGCCTGTTGATCATACCTTGTTTGAGTTTGGATCAATCCGTTACCATTTACAGGTAATTTTGCTCCAAACACCTTTGATGCATTATCTTGCAATTTGAAACAAATAATGTAGGGCATGGAAAATGATCATATAATACGCATCAAGTATCAACCAAACAGAACATCTCGGCACTTACAATTTGCATAATTGTTCAGGCTTCTATTACAGATTCAGAGAACATATACTTGTCAATATCAACACCATCTCTTTCTTATGAGGCTTCGCCATCCAGCGGCTTGCCTGAAATCACATTACAGGAGACAAGGAAAATGTATCACAAGTTTGCAGAGATCATCGAGCCTGCAAAAGAAGGATACACTTTGACACTGAGACTGAACTTCTCTGGCCTTACTCGACCGAAAGGTATGAGCATCCTCAGTCCTCACACCCTGTTTCAGTTGCTGTATTTGGTGATAGAAATATTAGCCAAGGCAACTGCAGGTCTGCAGCAAACAAGGATTCGATGTAAGAACGATTGCTCTTTATGCAGATCGCACCAAGGCGATCAACCAGATATCGTTGCTGCAATCCGTCATCCTTAGCTCGCAGCTCAAGGACATGCTGGCGAGCCTCGGCTCGTCCGGCACGATGAAGCTCGTGTACAACCAAAGGGACCCTTTCTTCGTCAGCAAAACGGTACTATCCTAAGCTACGCAGATTAACAAAAGCTTCACAGGTAGAGCAAAGCATCAGCACGGCTCGCTGACGATGCGGTTCTTGGCCTGCCTGCAGCCGGTGAAGATAAGCGCCATATTCCCCATGCGTTTCAGGGACGACACGGACCTGGCCATCGCGTCGTCGTTCTTCCAGGTTGGGCCGGCGCCTTCTGTACGTACTTTTTTGAGTTTTCTGGTTAGCTCCGAGACCTGAAGAAAAAAAACGACAGGAGCTACAGGACCTCGGGAGCACGTCGTCCTTCTCCAGGGCGCCGCGGTGCAGCTGGTCGCCGATCCCGCCACCCGAGCTGCGCGGGGAGTACGTGCACCACCTCACCACCAACGGTGGCTTCGTGTCCTTCGGTACGTAGCAGTAGCACATATCGCACGCGGCATCCGCGTCCGCTCGCTCGCTTGCCCCGCACCGCACCAACCACGCATATTCTCCGTTTCGCCCCCACGCGGCCACGCCACGGCACCGTGCCGACGCGCGCGTTTTGTGTGCGCCCGCACCGCGCGATCGCGAGAGGCCGGCCTCCGTTCCGCGGCGTCGGTGGCGACTACCGACGCGGCCCTCGCGAAACGAAACCCGCGCGAGCGGGTGCGCGGGGCAAAGTAGCCGATCCGGACGGACGAGGCCGCGGTGCCCGCGGCTTGGGCCGGCGCTTCTTGGGTTGGGTTGGGTTGGGTACACTTCGACTTTGGACTTTTGGAGGGTTGACGCGTGCGGGTTTGGAATTTGCAGACATCCTGGCGCGGCACGTGAAGGGGAGGAGGGCGGCTAGGACGGCGTGGATCCTGCTCAATTTCCAGTCCTACGTGAAATACCATATCAAGGTAGGATGCGGCATCGCACGCTGGTTTTGTGTGCTACTACATGATTATATCGGCGTTTTAAATTTACTGGGAATGGTGTGGTTTTACTGACGGCGAGAAAGTTCGTGTGCGCAGTGCACCCGAAGCTACATCCAGAGCAGGATGAGAAAGCGTCTGGAGATCATGACAGAGGTAACAACTCCATACCATTTAAAAGAAACATTGGGTATCGAAGGAGTGGCAATTGCTTTAAACCGGGCTCGCTGTGCTTCAGGTGATCGATGACGCGAAGTTCAGAGGAAACGATGAGAGCAGCAAGAAGCTGCAAGGTATTAGTACCTGGATACTGCAAGCTCTCGATACTGGCTCACTGGCTGACCGATCTTATGCTCGCGAACTCTGATGTCGCAGTGAGGAAGAGAAGCAAGAGAAGATCAATCAAATTCGCGAGAGCCAAAAAGCTCCAAAAGGGTTTCAAAGCTGTCATCGACAAGATCAAGCGGCTGCGGCTGAGGATCAGAGTGAAAGGCCTGGACCGGTTCAGGAGGCACTGCCAGTGCTTCCCAGTGCTCAAACTGACCATGGCACAGAGGAAGGAGCAGAAGTACCAGAAGCTGGAGTGAATCCTAATCAACTTTACGACTAATCACTTTTTTTTTTCACAGCACAGGCACAAGCGTGGTGATACATGCATGCTGACTCTTATCCTTTTTCCATACTGATCAAGTATACAAATCTGGTGAGTGATGAACATCCATTCAGATGGAGGGCACTACCATAGAAAAAGGCTAACAGGAGGACAGACAGTACACGGTTATTTAAAAACCGTTACATATATCTAAAAAATATCATAGACGACTATATTAGGAATTGTCTATGATAAAAAGCATCTAGTGTGTTTTTTTTCTTTTGAAAAGCACGAATGTGTTTTTTGTTATTTTCACTTGTGGCCAATCGTGCATTGGATTGTGGAAAACATGCATTTTCACTTGACGTACGTCAGGCAGTGACAATACCTGTTCGCAACTGTGGTTGCCTCTACATGATTATTATGTACCTTCAGTTCCAAGTGTACTCCCTCCGTCCCATAAAAAATCAATCTTTCGTTGTATTAAAATGTGTCACATCCAGTACTAAAATATGTCACACAGCAACATTTTCTTAATTATTGTGTGCTCTGTTAAAAATGAAAAGGTACTGAGCAACATGAAGCGTGGATTTCATTAGGCTTCTGGAGTGAAATATGCCAGCTTAAATACATTTAAACCTTCCTCTCAAAATTTTAGCATAGGCACCTATATAACTCTAGGCAGTTGTGAATCATAACAAAAGGCATACTCTAATCAATGATTCCTAAATATTGTGGAAACTTTATCTATCCACTGGATTTTCCGTAGAGAGAGAAGAAAAAAAAACACCCATCTGGACATCAGTAACTCATCACGTAGAAACTGAAAGGTCCTCACGAGAATTGAGAAGTAATCACTAACAGTTTCCTATTCTTATTTTTTCAGGCAAATTCCTTCGAAATAAACTAGTATTTATGCATAAATCTCGATATATGATTATCCAGATTTACTATAAAAGTTTATTTATTTTAAGATGGAGGAAGTATGCACTTAGTACAAGCAGGATGCAAAGCTTCTTCATGTTTACCTAACCATCTTCTTAGGGCATGTTCTAAAGTGTGTGTTTGAAGACGGCTGATTAGCTGCAATGCAAAATGAGAAATATGCTACGGCTGATTAGCTGCCATGCAAAATGAGAAACATGTAGCATATGATAATTAAGTATTAATTATCAAAACTTAAAAAATAAATTTATTTTTTAAAAACAACTTCTATATAAAAGTTTTCGCGCAAAACATATTGCTTAGCAATTTAAAAAGCGTGTTAACAAAAATTGTGACACAATTTAGAACGGGCCCTTACAAGTAATTGATTGCTCCGATTCTAAGCCTTCGTTCACACAGTATTGGAGTAGTTCTGGCTCAATCCTAAAATAAACCAGCCTCGTACTAGGATGTAGGATGTGTCTGGTTTATTTTGAGATGGAAGGAGTACATCTAAGGCCGTGTTTAGTTCACCCCAACTACCCCCGATTTCCAACTTTCCATCACATCACATCACATCTAAAACTTTCCTACACACATAAACTTACAACTTTTTTTCCAAACTTCCAACTTTCCCCAAACTTTCAACTTTCTGTAGGAACTAAACACAGCCTAAACTGTAAATTTCTTTCTGAACTTTGATTTGACTGCCTGGGGGTTTGGATTGCAAGAATTGCAGATAACATCACACCCTTGTTTTTATTTTTTGTCTTCCATATCGCCTCTTTTAGTACTATTTCCCTTGCATTCAACAAGAGGATCTATCAAGAAGTACTCTACGATGCATCGAAATAGGAAGCATTCACCTAACAGAATTAATCACAAGCAAGGAGAGCTAGCAGGCATGTTTTGTGTGATGAGATCACCCTGCAAGCATGAATTACACACCATGTATGGGCATGAAATGGACCCTTTTTTTTTTTTTTGCAAAATAGAAGACTTGGCAGAAGAAAAAGGTCTAAGCCCCCAATCAAATTCTTGAAGAAATCAACAAAATTTCCTGAACTACTAAAAAATGGCCTATTCAGTTGTGCACGACAATGCAAAGACTTGGGGCGCCACAGTATGCAAGCAGAGCTGACCCTAGCTAAGCTATCCAAACGGGAATGCAAAATGTGTGCACATAACAAACAAACAAACAGTAGATTAGTGCTTTGCAAATGCTTTGATTATAGTACATATCATGTCCAAACTCTCAACGACCTCCAAGGACACTAACATTTGTTGTCTCACCTGTTCTTTTCCCAACTGATTTCTTCAAGAGCACACATCCAAACAGCGTTCTAATGACCGGCAAATTTGGGGGTTGAATTTTTTCTAGGAGGTGCCTGACAAAAGATTCTAGGGGTGCTTCACAAATCCCCTTGCGTACATGAGGTGTTTTCTGCAATGTAAACAGTCCATGCAAATAAAATGCTACCGAAGAGCTTACCAGTTAGCACGGTCGGGTGAGGGAGCTGCTTGCTTACCTTTGGGTCAGAGAGGAAAGACACTGCCCATCACCATGGCGACGCGACCAGGCCCTTTGACCGAATGGCCATGGCAATGGATGGGGGGCTACAAGGTATGCCAAGAATTTGCCAGCATGTCCTACTCCTTCCATACAGGATGTCTTGTTCGAGAAATATATTAAACCAACTCCAATCCATTTACCAATTAACATGCTATTAGAGGATTGCACAAACCATCATCGTTTAGTTTTCGATTTTTCATGAATATATTGATGGATGAATTAGTCGTCGTCGTTCTTGTTTCTTTAGTACCCTTAGTAGTTCCTATACCGGTCATATTTCTTGGGTTATTTACAAGCGGTATTCAAGTAATGCGTGATCATAATAATGTCTAGTTGAAGGAGATCAAGAGAATTAATCAATATTAGTTGAAATATTATCAAGGAAAAACTAATCATTACCAGAATGATGGCTTGAACATGAATTTGAGCCACACGGGGTTCTGAAACAATGGAAGGTCTCCATGCATTGTCAATTAGGGATTGCAGCAAATTTGATTTCCATAGGGTCAACAATTGGACCATGCTCAAGCATATCCTAACAAGTTATTGGAACCGCATACGTTGCATAGATATAGATCAGAAGCTGTCTTTCTCGTGTTCGTGCATTTTTGGCCCGCAGATTATTTTCAAATTGTGTAGTTACCTCACTTAGCCATGATATGATTTCTTGTTAGTCCAACAATATATTCCATCTCCACACCCAGAAAAAAAATGCTTCAAGAAAACGATGGAAGTAAACCATGGTGCCAATCATTCGCCCAAAATATATGGCAGGTTTCTTTGCTTGCATGATCTGATCAATACTGACAGTACCATCGTCCAACATGTGCCCAATCTCCTCTGTTGACGTCTCAGATTCTTTGGCTCAATAAGTTGCACAATCGCCAAATGACATAAGTACCAGCCGTCTAAATATGGCAGTAGCTGTACATTTCAAGCAGTTTCATGATTCAACTGAACTGACACTGTAAACTGCAAATCCACGGTGATAAACTTGATGACGATCAACTGAAAAACCTTTCAAAGACAAGATGTCATTCCAACATAATTTGTTCCCACCACCCAGTACTTGACCGAATGCTTTCTGTCCATGCACAGTACCTGGTCCTGGCTCCTGTGGCCATGCACACGGCACACAGGTTGGCCACCAAGGGGTGGGGAGACTTTGACCCAGCGTACACTTTCATGTTGCCAACTCTGCTGCTGAGGATGATCCACAACCAGATCTGGATCAGTTTGTCTCGATACCAGACTGCTCGCAGGAAGCACCTCATTGTTGATCGCAGTCTCGACTTCGAGCAGGTGGACCGAGTATTATACTTGGCATGGGCACGGGCAGGTATGCGATGCCCAAGTAATCCTTGCGTTGGTGGGAAATATCTCCACTGCAGGCAAATCTACTCGTGTTAATTGAAATGATGATTGATCCTTGCTATTATGTGCAGGGATGATCAGATCATCTTGAACGGACTTCTGTTCTACCTGGGCTACGCAATCATCCCGAACTTTCGCCTAATGCCAGTGTGGAGAACCAATGGAGCCCTCATCACTATCTTGCTTCACATGGGACCTGTCGAGTTCCTCTACTACTGGTTTCACAGGGCACTGCACCACCATTTTCTCTACTCGCGTTACCACTCGCACCACCACGCATCCATCGTCACTGAGCCCATAACCTGTAAGTAACGACACTAAAAACAACAAGAATCAACACAATGATATATCCAACTTATTCTCTAAGGTGGTGTTTGGGAAGAAGGGACTAAACTTTATAGTCCCTCTCACAAAAGTATAAGTCCCTCCTATAGGGATTAAAATTTTTGTACTTTAGTCCCTCCTTCCCAAACACCACCTAAATCTACAACTAGATGCACAAACAACGATGCCTCAAGAACATAGTTATTATCCAAGAGCTTTAAATAGGAATAAATAATGGCAACATGAAATGGCGAACATGGAACTGATCTTCTTGTTTATTGATTGTTTCAGAAAAAGCGCGGTAAGGTTTTAGAACATTTTTACAGGTTTATGATTCGCCCCACGCCACTAGTTTGCAGAAGTAACAATTGTTTTTCCTGTTGCATCTTAAGACAACTGCCAAGAACACTAGATAAGTGACATTGTGCCAGTTTGAGAGCATCAACAAACACATCAAAGTCCCCAAAGATGGACAAAACAAGACAAAGTGTACCTTAAATTTACTATATAAATAAATCAAAGCATGAGTACCCTGTAATATTGCACTGTGTGATTTTGATCAGCTTCAGTAAATGTGTAATTGCAGATGATGGTAAGATGTTAAAAAAAACAAAGCACTTCTCATGTGATATTCACATCAATCTGCCGCCAAAGTAGCACCACATGCTATCATGATGCTAAGAGCACACAAAGTTCTTATCATAGAAACATGAAATGCATCACTCAACTTTCATCACCAAAAACTATTCATGAGCCAGTAATTCACAGTAATTGCTTTTAGTAGTTAACAGTAAGTAAGGTGCATGTACTGTTACACATGTAAGACCATTCTTTTTTTTGTTACATGTTTGTCATTGCTCCTACAATTTATGCTACTAGCACACATCATATTTATGTTACTTCACAGTCAGTTTTTTTTTTTACCAACAATGGCTTGAAGAGTGTAAAAACATACAAAATAAATAATTGTTTATATAGCTCATTTACTAACGTACTGGAAGATATCAAAGTACCATCGGTATTTTTTTTGTCTATACTACATGGCATCAACTGAATTCCTGAGAATAATTTGTTGCTGTGAGCACAAAAAGTTAAAAGCTTAGAGATTTTTTTTTAATTTTTTGAACCTTTTCTATTTTAAATTTTAAAAATAAACTCATGCAAAACTTATTTTCAAAATCTGAACCATATGGCCTTGCCAGCCCGCCTGGCGTGGCAAAACAACACTGCCACGCCGCCTGTAGCGGGCGTGACAGTTTTGTCCTGTCACTCCAGCGAGAGCGGCGTGGCCAAATAACGTTGTCACGCCAGCAGGAGCGGCGTGACAATATTGTTTTGCCACGCCAGTTTGGCCAACGTGGCCAAAAAGGTTCATATCTTGAAAATAAGTTTTGGATGGGTTTATTTTTAAAATTAAAAATTAAAAAGGTTTAAAAATTTTAAAAAATCAAGCTTAGATGAATCTAAGAGAAAGTATTGAGCTATATGTAGTCTCTCAAAGCCATAACACAATTCTCAACTAAGGTGTTATGTCATTGGTCCTTACACCAGCTCATCTACTTTGAATTTGCCTTCTTCGCTTGGACTAACGTATTAACTCACTAGATGTTCATTATGTTGGCAACGCGTATTATTGTGTTGCAGATAGCATGTTGTGCAACATTTATGCAGTAATTCCACAGCCTCCTTTGATTCTAATGCAATTTTAATATATGACTGGCAGCTGTCATCCATCCGTTTGCTGAACATTTAGCCTATTTCCTGCTATTTTCAATCTCCATATTGCCGCCAATTTTTATGGGCTGTGGTTCTGTCCTGGCTGGTGTCTTGTACATTACTTACATTGATTTCATGAATAACATGGGCCACTGCAATTTTGAGCTGATGCCAAAGTGGATGTTCCAAACTTTTCCTCCTCTCAAGTATCTCATATATACTCCATCGTAAGTATAAAATTTTAACATCAAGTTCACAATCTGACCAACATATTAGCAGTCCACTAGGTAATGGACTTGGGATTTGTTGCATTCTTAGTCAAAGCTGACAAGTGGATTATGGATAGAAGTATATAAAAAAACTACTTATTTTTGTTCCATTTCACAGGTTTCACTCTCTCCATCATACCCAGTTCCGTACAAACTACTCATTGTTCATGCCATTCTATGACTACATTTACAACACCATGGATAGTTCAAGTGATGAGTTGTATGAGAGATCATTGAAAGGAACAGAGGAAACACCAGATATTGTTCACCTGACACATATGACTTCCTTGAAATCAACGTATCATCTAAGGATTGGGATTACTTCCATATCATCTAAACCATGCAATGACTCAGTGTGGTATATGTGGATGCTATGGCCTGTTGCGTGGTTATCAATGGTACTGGCATGGATTTATGGATCTTCAGCATTTGTTGTCGAGAGACTAAAACTGAAGAAGTTCAGCATGCAAGTATGGGCACTACCAAGATACAACTTCCAAGTAATGGATTCATCCGCAGTAAGAGCAAGTTTAATAGTATAGCCCACTATTAGCTTCAATTCATCTATAGCCAATCTAATAGCCAATTCATACAATAGTTGCTTACTATACTATTAATATATGGTCCCACCTGTCATACACACATTGCGTCTTGGAGTCCATGCTGCAGCTGGCTACAGATCTGTAGCCCGCTCTTCTCTCTCATCTTTTATTTCATTAAAATATATTTACAGCCGGCTAATAGTCTGCTATTGTACCTGCTCTAAGATTGCTATGCCTTAACAGTTAACAGTTTGAAAACTGCTAACAAGTTCTTTCCATGCAGTATGGCTTGTCTTGGGAAAGTAAGTCCATCAACAACTTGATCGAGAAGGCAATATTAGATGCTAATGAAAAAGGGGTCAAAGTGCTCAGTCTAGGACTTCTAAATCAGGCATGATGATAATTATTGTATTGCATAATTTTCTTTTATACTATTACAACCTTTCTGTATAAATATGGATTCAAGTACATTAGCAAAATGCATGCAAGAATAACATTTTGTCTACTTCTAACAACTTCGTAGAATTAGTCAGTTTTTTACCAGAATCATTGTGAAATGTCAGGTCATGCATAAACACATACAAATTTCTTTGAAAAAAATTGTACAAAAAACATTGATTTGTTTCATCCAAACTTCAGAAGTGTACCATTTAATCAGATGGCCATGATTTTAGACCTCATTTCATCGTTGCAGGCAGAACAACTCAATGGAAGCGGTGAATTGTTTGCCAAAAAATATCCAAGATTAAGGGTACGACTTATTGATGGAAGCGGCTTAGCAACTGCCGTGGTGCTCAATAGCATACCTTTTGGTACAAAGCAAGTTTTTCTCTGTGGAAGTAATTCTAAGGTGACCCGTGCAACAGCCATAGCTTTATGTCAGAGAGGTGTCCAGGTAAATCTAGCAGCCTCCCACTTTGTTATGTTCGATACATTTTTATAATCATTTAGTAGATTATTTTTTATATTAAATTATCTTAATGTATTAAAACTTGGGTTATAAATCTTGCTATAATCCAGACTATTCCACATATTTTTGTGCAGGTAATCCTGAATCAAGAGAAAGAATATGGAATGCTCAAGTCTCGAGTTCCAGAGAGTAGAGCTATCTATCTGAAATTCTCTAATGATGAAACACCACAGGTAAAATAAGGAGGGAGTTTTCCTCAAGAAGCATAAATTGGTGAATAAATAGTACTGTGGTACCATAGACACTACTGGAGCTTGGTAGGCTAGTAAAAATCTCAACTATAAACCTTGTTAAAAGAATTCAAACAAGTTATTCATGCATCATGCTATCACACGAGTTCCCATATGTGTGACACTATATTATATAACCACTATTGGGATTGCATCAAATGACGAGTAAATTAGTGGGTGATGTATATTAGTAATACTTTAATGCTCCTTCAAAATTTGTCCACAACTTTAAGACCATTCCCAACCCAATGACTAGGATGATGTCCATAGCATTAAATAAGCTAGCACCTATGATGAAAAATGATGTGTCAAGTGAATAAATGAGGAAAGAGAAGAAAATTATGTCTTGCATGAAACATAGTTTCTACACAACACCCAAGACATCATGTGAGATAAGTAGCATTAAATTTAAGTATGGAATATTGGTGTTTGTATTGAAATAGTAGTGTCTAGTACTAGTTCTTGATGAGGCGGAGTTTATGGAAACTATGTCTAGTGTCTTGGGTTAGGATTGACCTAAGGGGTCCTTAGAGTACTACTTCTCCCACCCAACTACCAGTCATTTAATTTTCACCCAATTTTACCCCCAAACCACCCTCCCACTCCCCTAACATCCGTCATCATTAATGAGGGGGTACATGCATCTCTTCCTTTCATCCTTAATATCTCAAAAAAAAAACAGCTAGGATACCTTGTGGACAGAGGTTCATAAAAGAGATAACCAAGAAAAAAAAACTCATGCAAGCTTATTATATTCATGATTATACTCCCATTGCAACAGATTTGGATAGGAGATAGCATAGACGATGCACAAGGGAGGGCACCAAAGGGAACTATATTTATTCCCACGTCACAGTTCCCCCTTAAGAAGGCACGCAAGGACTGCACTTACTTGAGTAACCCAGCAATGAAGATCCCAGAGACAATGCAGAATGTCCACACCTGTGAGGTATTTTGAGCTAAACAAAATGGGCCCATATGTTATATACCAACTATTTCTCCATGCCTAAATTTACCAACATTGACATGAGTATACTACTGGCTGTATGAACAGAATTGGCTGCCAAGAAGGGTGATGAGTGCATGGCGCATTGCTGGAATATTGCATGCTTTAGAAGGTTGGGAAATGCATGAATGTGGAGATGATATGATGACCATTGAGAAGACTTGGTCGGCAGCTATTAAGCATGGATTCAAACCTCTGACAAAACCTTGCTCTCTGAATTCTGGAACGGACCTTTAAATGCTACTGCAACAATGCAATGTTGAGTGCAGTGTTAAAGAACGCTGGATATCCTTACTGCCTCGTCAACCAGAGTTTGTATTTTCGAGCCCTAAAAGGAAGGAAAAACAGATAGAAAAATCATATACTCAAGTCAATAACAATAGACAGTACTCAGTTATGTACATGCAGCTATGGATGAGAGGTATAAATACTACCAAATCATGTATCATTGATTTTCAGATGCAAAAAGTCAAACTACGTTCATGGCCAAGAATCGAGGTTAGCAATTCATGCTTGAGAGTGCAGATAGCCCCAGAAGAAGAGCTAAGAACTCTACTGGCCGTTAGCTTAATGTCCTTCAGCGGTACAACCTTTGTGGTTCCCCTAAATCTGTGTAATACTAGCTATAAGTTCGTTCAATGAATCATAACATGATGGCTGAAAAAAATATAAACGTTACTCCTCGCCCAATTCACAAACCATATTGGTGTAAGATATGATGCCTATTGCATTAATGTACGGTATTTTCAGAAAATTAATCGCATGAGCAGACATATTCCCCTATGCCCCTAGACTCCCATTCCCAGATGCTCAAAATTACCGGGTGGTGGACCACAATGGCTGATGGCTCGGCGGCTTAATAACTACTCCCTCCGTCCCAAAATAAGTGCAGTTTTGCACTATTCACGTTCAACGTTTGATCGTTCGTCTTATTTGAAAATTTTTTATGATTAGTATTTTTATTGTTATTAGATGATAAAGCATGAATAGTACTTTATGTGTGTGACTAAATATTTTTAAATTTTTCACAAAATTTTCAAATAAGACGGACGATCGAACGTTGGGCACGGATATCCATGACTGCACTTATTTTGGGACGGAGGTAGTAGATAGGTCTTGAACTTGCAAACGAGGCAGATGGGAGATGAACAGAGACTAACTAGATGAGGGGAGAGCGATGAGGCGGGGTCGGTGAACCTGCGGTGGGCTGCTACGACGAAGAGGAGAGGTATATATATGTGGTGACCAACGCGAACAGGATGCTGACCGCCGGTAGATTTAGGCCGCATTGGACCCGGGAACCCAGCATCGCAGGCGGCACGGACACCGGAGGTAACCGAGGAGTCGACGACGACGACCGGCGGCGCGGCAGGGTTGACTAGGTGCCTAGGTGGGGTGAGGGGACATGGACATGGACATTTGTATCCAGGCCGTATTTTATTTTCTTTTTCTTTTTGACTTCGATACGTTAATTTGAACTAAGGTCCTCTACATTGGATATTTTACATGACCTGTTAAGTAAAATGAAAACTTTTGGGTGTCACATCGGACGTTTGACCGGATGTCGGAAGGGGTTTTTGGATACGAATAAAAAAACAAATTTCATAACTCACCTAGAAATCGTGAGACGAATCTTTTGAGCCTAATTAATCCGCCATTAGCACATGTGGGTTATTGTAGCACTTATAGCTAATCATGGACTAATTAGGCTCAAAAAATTCGTCTCGTGATTTCCCCTAACCATACAATTAGTTTTTCTTTTAATCTACATTTAATGCTTCATTCATATGTTTAAAGATTCGATGTGATGTGTTCAAAGGTATTTTGTTCGAGCTAATGTGAACTAAATTGTTCGTTATAAAGTTGATATGCTCCAAGTGGGACTAATTTGTAGTAAAACTCATGTGAAGGTTTATACCCAAATACATTGACCATATCAAACATGGACCATCTCTTATGTAATCGTCTGAGATTAATAAAAGCTACTTTTATATAAAAAACAGCGACCATCTCAAATCTGAAAATAGAGCGTTAAATCTTTCATGTTCTTCAATATACATTTAAATACTTTAAGCTCCACAAACTTTTAAAACCATCAGTCAATACCCTGATCATACACTATCCTGAACTCTGTAGTACTCTGGAGTAATAACAACCTGGTTGTGTATATTTAGTTGGGGGGCTCCTAATGCGCGCGCTCGCGCCGGAAGATCAAGTCGCGAGCGTGTGGAGTAGACTAGGAATCCGTGATTTATTGTTTCTCGTTCTTGTTAGCGACAAAAATAAAAATCCTCTGATCAACCCGCTTAAGTGCCCCCCTCCTACTATGCTAATAATGTGATTAGCGTTAATTACATGATTAACGCTAATAAATACTAGCTAACATGAAGATTTAAATTTTAGATACGAACTTGAAACTTTTGAATTTTGGACTTGAAAGTTCTCGAATTGGAATTGATTTTTAAAAAATTTTGGAGTTGAAAGTTTTCAATTTTGATTTGAAAGTTTTTAATTTTGAATTGAAAGTTTTCAAATTTGGATTTGAAAGTTTTGAAAATTCGGATGAAAATTTTTAATTTTCAGTTGAAAGTTTTTGAAAATTTGAATTGAAAGTTTCAAATAATTGAGTTGAAAATTTCAAATTTAAGTTGAAAGTTTTAAAATTTAGAGTTGAAAGTTTTAAAATTTCAGATGAAAATTTTGAATTTTCGCTTGAAAGTTTTTGAAATTTTGAGTTGAAAAGTTTCAAAATTTTGAGTTGAAATTTTTAAATTTGAGTTGAAAGTTTTAAAAACCGGGTTGAAAGTTTTCAGATATGAATGCTCGTGTTAATCACGTCACCTAATTACAATACTAGAACTAATAATGAAGAATTAAAGCGGTAATCACGCTATAGATTGATTTACTCACTTGCCCGACTGCCCATTTGCATCACTTGCATGCATTTGCACTGTCGGACCGAAAAACAAAAAGTCAAAAGTGTTCTTGGACCTTGGGCCTTGCTAACGATGGGCCAAACCTAAAACGCGCGCTAGTTATTTATCTAGCGCGACTGCGCCAATTAACAATTTCGATTTAGTTGTAGACCATTCGGTGTACTAGTACTAGCAGTTTGTAACTACACATAAGCATACACCATCACCCGGTACTTTTTACCCTGCTAACTATTACGTTGGTCTAAAATACAGGCCTAACTCTAAAACTGAGTTCTAAATTATAAATCCAAATTATAACTTTTTCTGTTAATACGCTTTCTAAGTCGTTAAAAGGTATTATTATTATTAAAAAATCTATATATTTTTAAAGAATAAATCAAATAAAATTATTTTTGAAAATTTAATGCTTAACTAATTGTACGCTAATAAACCATCCCGTTATACACACCGCTAATATGCAACTCCAAAATGATCTTTGAACGGGATCCTAAAACCGAGAAGAAACACCCCTTAACTTATAGAGCCGTTTAATTTACCGTCTTAACTCATATCAGAGTAGTTTTTGCCTATGCGCTATGTCCAGCAAAAACAATAATAACGATGTTTGATAGGGTCCAGTGGTCCACATGTCTTCTTCTCCCTCCTTCCTTTCACTCTTCTCTCTCTCTCATACTTATGGCTTGCACATTGGAAGCCTAGAGCTCGACAGAGGTTGCTCAAGCTAGACCTTATCGTGGGCTCCGCTAGCAATGAGAAGCAAGCTCATAGTGAGATCGAGACCGTCCCGTGGACCCTATCTTCACAAAGGGAACGACCCATCGACATTCACGATGAGGGGATCACCATGCTATAGCTAACACCCTCAACACTGACACGAGCGCCGTAGCAGCACGCATGGTTGGGGCTTTGATGAGGCGGGCGCAGGGAATCTCGTGTGAGATATCCGACCATCTCGACGGGAAGTAAAGGAGCCTAATGTTGGACACATTTGTTCGACCCTTGCTTAAGCCATTAGCTCCCGTTCTTCGACTGAAGGTGCCATCGACTGGGCTGTAACCGTCAGTACATGCAGTTCTCTTTGCTGTCAGTCCTCTTGATACGCCTCTGTCTCCATCTCAGCCATGATCTGCCTCCCCAGGCACCGTCGTGCAACTCTTCTAAGCTCCCTTTCCACAAGCTACCTACCCCTATACAGAAAGAACTTTGAGGATATTGTCGCCCTCTCTCTCTCTCTTCTCTCTGACGGTGTGCGGCGTGCCTAGGGAGGAACCTAGGCGTTGTCTCCCTCATCCAGGAGAAGCCGTCACTCCTTTCTTAGGTATGAGAGCGGCGATTAGGGGTGGAAATGAGCTAACTTGAGCTCGGCTCATTTCCTGGCTCGAGCCAGCTCGAGCTGGCTCGCAAGCCTTCCTGTTGAAACACCTCTTCATATATATTTTGTAATTATTAAAAAAAGTAAAAACAAATCATCAACATATAAAATTTAAATAAGTTTATATATTTAATTCTTCAAAATCTTAATGATACATTTCAAGTTGATAAATAATAACGCTATATAAAGTAAAATAATCGATATAAACACACGATTGTCGACGGGTGATACCCGTAGACCGGATATAGAGTGTACAGGGGTACGCTGGTACAAGGATCTACGTAGTACGACATCAAGCAATCAAAAGACAGGAATTATACTGGTTCAGGCCCCTTGACAGGTAATAGCCCTAATCCAGTTGATATGGGATTATATAGCGGAAAACACAGGTTACAAAGGAAAAGATGGAACTTGTCAGATCCGGCGAGATTGTAGTCGAGTTGATTCGACTAGCTCTCGACGACTTGGCTCCTCGCAGGCTCCGACTTCGTAGACTGTGTGGGTTGTGTTGGCTCTGAGATTCGATCCCCAATGCCCTCCCCGGGGGGTCCCTTTTATACCATAGGTCTGATGCTCTCCGAGTAGGACTCGAACACACCAGACCTAGCATGATACGTAGGTAACCCAGTCCTCGTCCGAGAAGGACTCTTCCTGTCTGTTGATTTCGTGAAAAGTTTCCTTAGATTATGAAGGAAATGTCCGCGTACGCGTGGGCATGCCACGTCGATACGTAATGTATATCGAAGGGTAGAGGGTATGCCAGACCCGTAACCCTGACAGTAGCCCCCGACTTCTGCTCAAAATGAACTCGTGTGACCATTCGCGACTTCGGGTGTCGAGAACGCTATCATTCCAGGTGTGAGGACCTCGGAGATGACTTGTAATCGAACATGTCGTTTGAAGCCCAACAGTCACGAGTGAATTTTGAACTGAAGTCAAAAACTGCCGCGCATAACGGACCTAGAAATTTCCGGCGAGGATTTCTCTCAGTCCCTTGGAATTTGCACCGTCGGGGGTGCGTCTATTTAAAGGGATTTTGGGTGCGCATTTTGGAGTCCGCTGACTCCGTCAAACACACACCGCCCGTTAGCATTCCTCGCCTTCTCCGTCGCCGTACAGAACCCTAGCTTCGTCAGCTTTAGGTTCATCTCCGGTGATCTTGCAGCTGTGATGGATCTCGGCAAGTCGGCTTCCACCAGCGCGACCCTGAAGAAGCTCCAGGAGGATGGCGCCCTTCCTAGCCGTGGAACTACGGAGAGGGAAGCAGGAGGTACTGATCCTCAGCCCGTCTTAGGTCGCATGGTTGCGATCGAAGATTATGTTGTCTGCGGATTTCTCCCTCCACCCTCTGAATTCCTTCTACTGGTCTTGAATTTCTGTGGGCTTTCTCTTCTGCACTTGAACTCTAATTCCATTACTTTCCTTAGCGTCTTTGT